CCTCTGTTATTTTCCCTGACCGATAGGGAACCCTCTTGAGGACTCTATCCGGGCTCTTGTGTCCCCCATAAGGGAATAAGGGCAGGTTTTCGTTTATTACAGAAATAAAAGCAAAAATGGAGGATTCAGGAGACTATCTGCTCTCCTGGGAAACCAGGAAGTCTGAGCCTGAAGCTCCTCATTCATCTGAGGCTGCAGTGTGCACCCAAAAGCAGAAATCAAAAAGTCCAGCTGGAAGATACAAGGGCAGCTTTCCCAAACCCAGGGCCCTCCAGATGTTTTGGAGTCCAGCTTCCATTGCCCCCTCCCAGCACAGCTGCACACCCATCAGCCCAGCGTCATACAGCCCCTGACTGGGGATGATGGGGTTTGTTGCTGTGGCTCAAGGGTTGAGAACTCGCCTCGCCTGCAAGAGGCCCCAGGTTCCATCTCCAACAGGACTGGGAAGAGCTTCCTGGATCAGGCCAATGTCACATCCAGTCCTGTCTCCTGTCTACACAGGGACTGACAAGGCGCTTGTAGGAAACCTGCAAACAGGATTTGAGGACAAAAGCAATTCTCACTTCCTGTGGTTTCCAGCAACTTGGATTATGGCTCCAATGGTTGAGGCAGAGCTTAGCTATCATGGCTTAGTAGCCATTGATAGCCTTGGATTGGAGGAATCTGTGAGTTGGGAGGGACACCAAGGGTCATCTAGTCCAACCCCCTACAATGCAGGAATAACAGTGAAGTATACCTGGCAGATGGCCATCTGACCTCTGTTTAAAAACCTCCAAAGAAGAAGAGTCCACTACCTTCTGAAGGAGACCATTCCACTGTCAAACAGCTCTTACTATTTACGGGACCGCCTCTCCTGGTCTGCCCCACAGAGGACCTTAAGGTCCATGAATAATCCTAGTTTACAGGTCCCAGGCCCTAAGGAAGTCAGATTATCCTCCACCAGGGCCTTCTCAGTGATGGCTCCGACCTGGTGGAATGCTCTGTCCCATGAGACCAGGGCCCTGCAAGATTTAACCTCCTTCCTCAGGGCCTGTAAAACAGAGCTATTCCACCTGGCTTTCAGTTTGAACTTAGCCTGATCTTTTATTTCCCTTCCTTCCCTCCCATTCCCCTTTTTATGAAGATTACCCGCTCTGGGATCCCACAGCTAATTCTCCCCTGGTCTCCTCGCTGGCCCAAGTAGGACTAATTTAGCCAGCTAGCCCTGGGGATCATCTAATGTTTATTGGATGGATTTCCCCCTAAATTGATTTTTGAATTCTGAATTTATTGTTATTCACGCCAGGCACTCCTGTCTTCCATTGCCTCCCGCAGTTTGGTCAAACTCATGCTGGCAGCTTCGAGAACACTGTCCATTTTCTCCTGCTCTGGAGGGGAGGACCTGAATCAATTATCCAGGTTTGTTGTCGTTTAGTCGTTTAGTCGTGTCCGACTCTTTGTGACCCCATGGACCAGAGCACGCCAGGCACTCCTATCTTCCACTGCCTCCCACAGTTTGGTCAAGCTCATGTTAGTAGCTTCGAGAACACTGCCCCACCATCTCGTCCTCTGTTGCCCTTTCTCCTTGTGCCCTCCATCTTTCCCAACATCAGGGTCTTTTCCAGGGAGTCTTCTCTTCTCATGAGGTGGCCAAAGTCTTGGAGCCTCAGCTTCAGGATCTGTCCTCCTAGTGAGCACTCAGGGCTGATTTCCTTCAGAATGGAGAGGTTTGATCTTCCTGCAGTCCATGGGACTCTCAAGAGTCTCCTCTAGCACCATAATTCAAAAGCATCCATTCTTCCGCAATCAACCTTCTTTATGGTCCAGCTCTCACTTCCATAGATCACTACTGGGAAAACCAGAGCTTTAACTATACGGACCTTTGTTGGCAAGGTGGTGTCTCTGCTTTTTAAGATGCTGTCTAGGTTTGTCATTGCTCCCCCCCCCCGACTCCCTCAAATGTTCCTCATAAGGCGTAGGTCAAGACCCCACTGCAATAAGATTCCTCCCACTCCAGACTTCAGAATCAGCCCTAGAAATTTACCAAAGAGTCTGGCTGTTCCTGGGCGTGGGGTCTCTGCATGAGTCTGTGTTTCTGCTTTAATGTCCGCAGGGTGAACTGCAGGGGTGACAGGAAGGCAAACAGCATCTGCTGAGATGAAGAAGAATTCTTGACTCAGCTTTTCTCAGAAGGGGCTGCTGATTCTTCAAGTCACATCACCCTCCAGTTTACTCCTTGGTTGTCTAAGCAAACTGTTGTGTTTTTTTAAAAAATGTTTTTTATTAGGAATTTCAACAATTAACAATTTATAAAAAATACATTATCCTCATTTTTCCCCTCTCCCCATTTTTCTACTCCCCCTCCCCTAAAAAGACAAACCCACCCTCCCACCCCACCCTCCAGACTTCCCTCAGCTCCTCTCTCTCTGGTTTCTCAGCACATATTATTCTCTGCATGTTATAAAGTTGTAAAGATCCTCAATTGTCTAAGCAAACCGTCAAGTCAAACATGTTGACCTAGAAATAGCTTGAGACAGTCAAGAAGAAACTTCGAGATAAAGGCAACAGAGACTTTAAAAAAAGACTGGGAACCATTTAGTATGTTATACTTACAGAAACATTGTAAAGAAGTGGACTCACTAGCAGGGTTTGAGTAAACACTTACAATTAACAAAACAAACATAGAAATTAAGGTGTAAAAATTGGAAAATAACAAGAGCAGAACACTATTCAATTTAAAGAATGCAATATTACGGTATAAGAAAATAAGCAGTAGATTATGTAAAGAACCAGAAGAGGAAGTTGAGGGAGGTCGTGGGCACTGATAAGGGAATTGCATTTTTCTTTTTCTCTGAGAAAATGTCATTGTGATGAATATAAAACTGTAAAATTTAATAAAAACTTTAAAAAAAAAAAAAAGGAGACAGTCATGTGGCGAGGAAAGCAGGGGAAAGGTCCCTGGAGAGATCCAAGCCGTGGAATTAAGCAGGGCAGAGAAAAAGTCCTCCTTCATCCACTGCATAGTTAAACTATGGAACTCCCTTCCACTTGAGGTAGTGATGGCTTTATAAATCCATGCAGTAGGAGAGGGCTTTCAACAGCTTCCAACCTCTGCTTAAAAACCTCCAAGAAAGGAGAGTCCTCCCCCTCCCAAGGGAGACCACTCCACTTCTGAACAGCCCTTACTATCAAAAAGCTCTTCCTGGTGTTGTCAGAACCTTGTAACATGAAGCCATCGGTTTGAGTCCTACCCTCCAGATCAGGAGAGAACAAGCTTGCTCCATCTTCCATGTGACAGCCCTTGGGATATTTGAAGGTGGCTCTCATATCTCCTCTCAGTCACCTCTTTTCCAGGCTAAACATAACCAGCTCCTTCAACCGTTTCTCACAAGGCTTAGTTTCCTGCTTAGTTTCCTTCAACCTCCTTCTTAAATTGCGGTGCCCAGAACTGGACACAGTATTCCAGGTGTGGTCAGACCAAAGCAGAACAGAGTGGCACTATGACTTCCCTTGATCTGGACACTAGACTTCTGTTGATGCAGCCTAGAATAGCATTAGCTTTTTTGCTGCTGCCCTGTGGAACGCCCTCCCATGTCAAAGAAATAAACAACGACCTGACATTTAGAATACATCTGAAGGCAGCCCTGTTATAGGGAAGTTTTTACTGACTGATGTTTTAATGCATTTTTAATCTTTTGTTGGTAGCTGCCCAGAGTGGCTGGGGAAGCCCAGCCAGATGGGCGGGGAATAAATAATAAATTATTGCTATTATTATAATAATCACCACCACCATCACAATCTTGACTCATGTTCAGCTTGTGGTTTATTAAGACCCCCTGATCCTTTCCACATGTCCTGCTTGCCAGCCTGACTGCCAGTAGCCCTTTCCCCTCCATGAATTTGCCTACTCCTCTTTTAAAGTCACTCAGGTTGGCCATCTCTGCCTCTTGCAGCAGTGAGTTCCACAGTTTCATTCTGCCCTGTGCGAAGAACAACTTTCATTTCTTTGTTCTGAAACTTCCAAGATTCAGCTTCATGGATGTCTATGAGTTCTAGAGTTAGGAGAGAAGGAAAATTATTTTTTCTCTGCTTTCTCAATTCCAGATATAATTTCATAAGCTTCAGTCATGTTGCCTCTTCCTCGCTCAAGAGGATTGAGACCTACCCCTCCTACTGCACGCACTACTCTAAAAGAGAATGTAATGAAAACGATATATCGCTGGTATTTAACACCTGTCAAACTAGCAAAAATGCATAGGATGGGTAGTAAAATCTGTTGGAAATGCAAAGAAAAGGACGGTGATTTTTACCCCATGTGGTGGACATGTGATAAAATGAATTTTTTGGGGGAACTGATCTATAATGAATTTAAAAAGATGCTTAAATATACTTTCCCAAAAAAGCCTGAAGCTTTTTTGCTAGGTTTGCTAGGGGAGGATATTAAGAGGGTGGACCAAAGATTATTCATGTATGCTACAACTGCTGCCAGAATCCTGATAACCCAAAAATGGAAAACACAGGAATTACCAACTTTGAAGGAGTGGCAGATGAAAATGCTCAAATATGCGGAATTAGCAAAACTGACCCACAGGATCCGTAATCGGGAGGAAACAAAGTATCAAAAAGAATGGAGTAAATTCATGGACTATATAAGTGAGAACTGTAGAAATGTTAGCAGGACTGAAATAAATCTTATGACATGGTCTAGATATTACTAAGGAACTGCGGATTAGAGATTGGAATAAGAAAACCTGCGGAAGGGAAGGAGGGAAGTCAATGGCTCTATGGAGCGTAAAGAAAAATAGATGTAAAAAGATATGAAATATTTGTGTATTTTGTTTGTGTTTGCGTATTTGAAATGAGAACCTAATAAAAAGCATTTAAAGAGACCTACCCCTCCCTGTGAATGCCACAAAAGAGCCCCAGTTTTCAGGTGGGGGCAGCAGTGGGGGCATCTTGTCCCCCAGGGAGAACATGTGGCTGATCAGCCGGCTAGAGGGGGCTCTTTCTCCAGCTGTGCCACAGTTGACTTGGTCACTGAAAAGCCCGCTCATTTATGTTCAAGTTCAACAAGTGCAGCCTTAATTTCCCCTGGAAATGCGTTTGCATTTCTCCCCCTCCTCCTTCCTCTGCCACAACTTTTGTTTGGCCACGGCCAGACATACACCCAGCCTGGGGGTGTGTGTGCGCGCTCTCTGGATGACTATATAAGTGGACAGACGCCAGGCAGGGGAGCTAAGCTAGGAGCTCCTTTTGCAGAAGCAGGAGCAGGCAGAGACAGGAGGCGAGGCCAAGGAAGGGCACTGCGGGACTCCTCTGACGGGCAGCATGGCAGAAGGTAAAAAGAGAAAAGGGGAAGGAAACCCAGAAAGGAATAGGGAGGCCTCTTCTCTCTGGCTCAGGGCAGAGATCTTGTCTTCTTCTCACTGTCTTTCTGCAAATGCTTTTGCCTAATTGTAATGCAAAAGGATACGGACAATATTTTTGTGTGTGTGTGCATACTAACTCCAGAACGAGCATGTTCCAAGTCGACTCACCGACTCTATTAATGGCAACCTTGTCAAAACAAACTGCACTACTTTTACTCCTTGAACCTAAACTGTCCACTCAGTTGTTGAAAGATGTTCTGCTTGTTATTTTTTCTTTTTAAAAAAGAAGAAATTCTCAATTGGGAAAAGTTGGGGTAAACACAAGCTAAAGCAGCTGTGTGTGGTGTATGTGAGTTTAGGGACAGGCAGCAATTAATTTATCCGTATAATACTGAAATGATTTTTAATAATTTTTGCTTTTAAGTAAGGAAAAAAATACCAAAAAAGGGAAACTTTGGAAGAAAAAGTTGGAATGTTTGAATAGGGTTTGCAGGGAGTTGTTAGAAAATGAAATATATATATATATTTATTTTAGAGTGCTTCTTGCACATCCAGAATTTATAACAGTTACAGCCCAATGGAATATTTTTCTGCACAAACCCCACTGTAATTAAATTCCTGTCTTTAAGCTGAATATTTTCTGCAGCTATTCCCCGCATTGGCCAAGGAGACAAATCCGCTTTCTTGCTTTCTGCCCATGGTTTTCGCTTTTGGAAACTCATCTTCAGATTCAGAAGGGACGTCCTGCAGGTCTACGCAAATAATTGCTTTAGCGCGGAAAATTGTAGAGAATTCCTTCTGCAGGGCTTCCTTTCATCTTCCTCATCACTCTTCTCTGAAGTTTAATTCTCGGTTCCTCCATGTCCTTGTTATTAATAGGGAAAACCTTGCTGGGTCTCTCAGGAGAGGATGGGTGCATGAGATCCACAGCTTAAGAACAGGGGCTCTTGGCTTTGGTTTTTGCACAGACCACTTTCATCTTCATCCAAGGTCTCCTATGCAATGCTCATTCCGGATCACCTTTGCAAAAATACACTTTCCTAGCGCTTAGCTCGGCTCTTCTTCAGGCAAATGAAAACGGCCCTTGCAAAACCTGAGCTGCCAGCTTATACGACGCAGCCTCTTGCAAGACCCCAGCTGCTTTGCAAACTTACTAAGCTGGTCTAAACCCTTGCGGGGGAGATTAGCAAGACCACCTCTCCTCTCCCACTGGAATGGGCACGAGGGCTATTTCTGAAGCCCTGGGTTCAAATCTCAGCTCAGCTGTGAAATTCACCGGTGTGGTCAGACACCAGCACCATCCCTTGGCTTCACATACCTCACAGGGTTAAGTCCTCATGAAAAGTGACAATTCTTGAGCTGGACTGTTCTGTTTTCTCCCTTGGGAGGCTTCCTCCCATCCTTCTACTTTATTACAAGGACAAAGAAGAAGCCATCGACCTAGGAAGGGGTGCAAACTCTCTTTCACCAGAGGTTTATAAGCAGAGGTTGGAGGGACACCCGTCAGGGATTCTTCTGCTGAAATTCCAGAATTCCAGCATTGCAAGGGGGTTGGACTAGATGACCCTTGGGTACCTTCCAGCGATTCTATGGGGTGATTGTCTGTATGCTTTTAGACCTCTTCTTTTCCAGTGATGCTTTACCAAGGAGTCCACTGGTCCTTGCAAGCTGGTGCAACCTCTTTCCTCAGGAATATTGACGTGGGTGTCGTGCATATGGCATAACACTGTTTGCTTTCTTGCTGTGTGCCCTCAGTGTGCATGGATGGGCAGGGAGAGAGAAACGGAAAGAGAGCCCTAGGGTTGTGGCACATGTGCAATTTGTGTCCTATACAAATTCAGAAGTTGGGAAAAGACCTAAAATGGTTTAGGTCAGGCTATCTGAAAGACCGTATTCCCTCCTATGAACCTGCCCAGACAGACAGACAGACAGATAGATAATTATTTTAATTCTATTAGGGTTAAATTGCTTTCTAATGATTATCTTTGGTATGTTTTTAGCTTTTTTAAATTGGCATGTGTCATTTTAATTTATGTAAGCTGCCATTTTGGGAAAGGGGTGGGTTAATAATAATAATAATAATAATAATAATAGCAGTAGCAGATCATTAAGGCATTTTGTTCCACTTTGGAAAGAGCTCCAAAATCTGGGCATGGAGGGATTCAGATAGAAACATAGACCACAGGAAGATTCCTTATTCTGAGTCAGACCTCTGGTCCATCTGGCTACTGTACAGAGCACACTCTGGTGACTTCAGAGCCGGATTATTGCAATTCACTCCACGTTGGTTCTATTTAGATCTCACACAACCCCGGTTTTAAAAGAGCTGCGCCGGTTGCCCTTTCGTTTCCGGGCGCAATTCAAGGTGCTCACGTTGGTGCTTAAAGCCCTGAATTACGCAGGCCCCAAATACCCAAAGGACCTTCCCTGCAGACCCTCTTGAATGCTGCGATGGGCAGAGAGGGGCCCTCTTGGTAGTCCCTCCACTTTCAGAGGCCCAGGGGGAGAGGGCCTTCTCTGTGGTGGCTCCCAAGCTGCAGAGCTCCCTCTCCATGGAGGTCTCTCTGGCACCTTCACTGTGCATCCTGAAGGTTGCTGATGACGCGTCTTCTTACTTTTTACTTTTTACACCTGAGGTGTGTGGTTTTAGGACCCACCTATCTATCTATCTATCTATCTATCTATCTATCTATCTATCTATTTATTTATTTATTTATTTATTTATTTATTATTTATTTATACCTCGCCCATCTAGCTGGGTCTCCCCAGCCACCCTGGGTGGCTTCCAACAAAATATTATAATACAGTAATGCATCAAACATTAAAAGCTCCCCTAAACAGGGCTGCCTTCAGATGTCTTCTAAAAGTTTGGTAGTTATTTTTCTCTTTGACATCTTGTGGGAGGGCGTTCCACAGGGCGAGTGCCACTACCAAGAAGGCCCTCTGCCTGCTTCCCTGTAACTTGGCTTCTCACAGCAAGGGAATCGCCAGAAGGCCCTTGGCGCTGGACCTCAGCATCCCGGCAGAACAATGGGGTGGAGACACTCCTTCGGATATACTGGACCGAGGCCGTTTAGGGCTTTAAAGGTCAGCACCAACACTTTTAATTGTGCTCGGAAACGTACCGGGAGCCAGTGAGGGAACTGCCAGAAAGCTCTCGGCGCTGGACCTCAGTGTCCAGGCAGAACAATGGGGGTGGAGACGCTCCTTCAGGTATACTGGACCAAAGCCGTTTTATAGCTGCAAGTTGTTTTAAATTGTTTTTAATGCTGTAACCCACCCTGGGACTTTGGGGTGAAGGGTGGGAAATGAAAAAAATTAAAGCTCAGTATTATCTACCCCGACTGGTAAGGGGTTTCCGGCAGGAGTTACTCGCAGCCCTATTTGGAGACACTGTCCCTGACCCAGGGACCTTTTGCATGCAAAGCCCGTGAGCTGAGCCCTTCCCTAGATGAGGATTGTTTCAGAAGCATCCGTGCTCCCCTTCCTTTCCTCTTTCCCTGCGTGTAATAGCTGTGTGTAGATTTACAACTGCCAGTCGCTGCACATTCACTAGACCCCAAAGAGCGCTGACTGAGCGTGGGCTGCCCAATTGCACAAGGACAACGGCGGGTGTCAACTTCTCTGCTGCTGCGGATCCAGGTTGGCGCCTTTCTGAGCTGTCAGCACAGAGGAAATAGTGAAAAACATACCACCGGTTGCCTCATTTTGCCGGATGCTCACGTGAGAGTCTGTGTTAGAAGTTCAAGAGAGCGTGGCTGACTCGCAAGGCAGGAACTAGGCACTAAAGACGCCCACAACCAGGAGGATGATTCTCAACAGCAGCTTTAATAATAATAAACATAATAATAATAATCAAAATAAACATAACATGAGCCCTGCTGGATGAAGCCAATGGCCCGTCTAGTCCAGCATCCTATTCTCCCAGTGGCCAACCAGCTTCCGCCAATGTGCTGCCCTGTACTTCCATAGCTAATCTTTGGAACCCCCTTTCTGCATAAGGCAGCTATGGGCACCAACTGGGGTAGCTTAAAAAGAGGGTGAGACAAATTCATGGAGGAGGAGAGAGAGCTATCGAATCTATAACCCACAATGGCTGTGATCTGCCTTCACGGCTGGAGGCTGTGATGTTACTGAGTACCAGTTTCTGGAAGCCACAAAGGGTAGGAAGGTAATAATTTATTATTTATGCCCCACACATCTGGCTGGGCCTCCCCAGCCACTCTGGGCGGCTTCCAACAGAACACTAAAATACAATAACCTATTAAACATTAAAAGCTTCCCTAAAGAGGGCTGCCTTCAGATGTCTTCTAAAAGTCTGGTAGTTGTTGTTCTCGTTGACATCTGAAAGGAGGGTGTTCCACAGGGCGGGTGCCACTACTGAGAAGGCCCTCTGCCTGGTTCCCTGTAACTTGGCTTCTCGTAGCGAGGGAACTGCCAGAAGGCCCTCAGCGCTGGACCTCAGTGTCCGGGCTGAATGATGGGGGTGGAGATGCTCCTTCAGATATACTGGACCGAGGCTGTTTAGGGCTTTCAACACTTTGAATTGTGCTCGGAAACGTACTGGGAGCCAATGTAGGTCTTTCAAGACTGGTCATAAAGCCGTAGAGATGGATGGTACCCCAAGGTCATTCATGTCCAACCCTGGGCAACACCGGAATCACAGCTAAAGAATCGCTCTGTTCGAAAACCTCTGCCGCCTTCCAAGTTAAGTTTGTCCTCCTGCTTAATGGCTCTTACAATCAGAAGGTTCTTTCCAATGTTTAGTCTGAATCTCCTTCTTGTCATTTGAATGCTTTGGTTCGGATTCTCCCCTGTAGAGCCAGTGGTGTAGCACATACACACACATACCAGTGCCCGGGGCAGAGCCATTTTTAGGAGACCAGCCGAAATTGTTGAACTTTTTTGAGGGACGAACATTGGCTCCACCACCCTGCAGCTTACCTGCAGCCCCCCATGATGCCCATCAGCCCTCCGGGGTATTCAGTGTGTACCACCACCTCTCCCTTCCTCCACTACTGTGTAGAGCAGCAAACGTGCTCCATTTTTCATATAAGAGACCTTTACGTACTTTAAGATATTTTTTTGATAATATCTAAGCTTTGTAGGGACGCGGGTGGCGCTGTGGGTTAAACCACAGAGCGTAGGGATTGCCGATCAGAAGGTCGGCGGTTTGAATCCCCGCGACGGGGTGAGCTCCCGTTGCTCGATCCCACTTCCTGCCAACCCAGCAGTTTGAAAGCACATCAAAGTGCAAGTAGATAAATAGGGACCGCTCCGGCAGGAAGGTAAACGGCGTTCCGTGCGCTGCTCTGGTTCGCCAGAAACAGCTTACTCATGCTGGCCGCATGACCCAGAATCTGTACGCCGGCTCCCTCGGCCAATAAAGCGAGATGAGCGCCGCAACCCCAGAGTTGGCCACGACTGGACCTATTGGTCAGGGGTCCCTTTACCTTTAAGCTTTGTAGGTCACTTAGAGACTTTTGAAGTAGCGAGCAACTAATAAATTGAAGAAGTAATAAATAATAATGTTTTGGATGACAAGTTGCTCAAGAGACAGACAAGAAGGGGTCAATTGGGGGGGTCACTTGTGTGTATCTTCACCCTGTATTGTGGCCCCTAAACAGTTGGCTTCCTTTCTTCCCCATTGAGTTGAGGATTAGGGTCCCCCCTCTGAAAGGACCCACCTTACTGCTGTAATTTTAAGTTGTTTCAAACTGTTTTTCATATTGTGTTTTCATTTTTTGCAACCCACCGAGTGTGACTTTAATCCATCCGATCTTGGCATCTCTTCCTTGTTAGCCTTGCTGGTGGTGACAAGCGATGACTTTGGCTCTCCTTCCTAGAATGGACTGTTCTGCCCTGACTAATGGAGAGCATTGTGTCCTCTGACACTTTTCTTCAAGGTCAAGGGGAAAAGAAAAGTGGAAATGGAGTGGCAGACACTGTTCCCAAAACAAGTAATTTGGGGAAATACTTCTCCCTTCCAGCCAGGGCTGGTTCCTTCTTTCATGCCCATCATCGCCAGATGGAAAGTGCGATGGTGCCATCACAGGTTAAGCACCAGAGATGGGGCTTTCACATTGAACACAGATGAGCTTTTGCTGATTTCTCATTCATTCCAGTGGAAAGTCCTGCAAGGATTATGCCTGTAAGGTGGGAAAATGAGTGCATTATAGAATAGCTACATTAGAGGTACTTGGCAGGTGATTGTAAAATTCAGAAAGTTTTGAGGACATTCCCTCGGATGCTTTCCCGTGGTTTCGCCATGATCCCACAACATGGGCAACTCCTGTTTTGACCAAAAGGAAAAGACTGTTCTCAGCTACAAAGCATTTAATTAGCATGCATTTAGACTGGCAGGTGATTTTAGGACACGGATAAGAAAACACTTTTTCTTGCAACACACCTTGAATGCAATGCATTCACAGTACTACCGTTCCTTTTTTAAAAGTGTTTTTTTAAAATAGTCTATTGATAAACAAAATAAACCAAACATAAAGAGCTTTAAGAAATCCTGTTACAGCTGGCTGAAAGCAGCCTAAAATTGGACATTATAATTGAACTTGTTCCAAAATGTTACCAAAAATACCCGTCGTTCCATAAACCTGCTAGGCTGGTTTATACGTGTATTCTTTTGTAGCAAGTTAGCTTGATGCTAGTAACTAGGGACTAGATTTTCTCAACCCACTTAGATATTGGAGGAGACAGGAGTTTTAGCTATCCTAAGTACCGGTGTTGCCTCTAAAGCCTGAAAGGGTTTGGGGATGGGGGTCCCTCTGTTCTAGGAGCGTCTAAATAAATAAATACATTTTTATTTATACCCCGCCCTTCGCGGTTTAAAATCCGGGCTCAGTGCAGCTAACAGCAAATATAAAACATTGATTAAAACGCGACTTAAAAACAGCATAAAATACAACATAAATGCAGTATCAATGTCAATAAAATTCAAAAATTTAGGGTCATTTTGGGGGGGGGGGCGGGAACCCAGTCAGTAAACATCAAATGATCACCAGGGCTAACTGGCCAAGTTGGTCCTACTAGGGCCAGCAAGGAGACCAGGGAAGAGTTTAAACGTGGGGTCCCAGAAGGGTTTCTTCATAAAAAAGGGAAGGGAAAAGGGATAGAGGATCAGGCTAATTCAAATTGAAGGCCAGGCAGAATAGCTCTGTCTTACAGGCCCTGCGGAAGGAGATCAAGTCCTGCAGGGCCCTGGTCTCCTGGGACAGAGCGTTCCACCAGGTCGGAGCCATCACTGAGAAGGCTCTGGTGGAGGATAGTCTGGCTTCTTTAGGGCCTGGGACCTCTAAACTATGGTTATTCATGGACCTTAAGGTCCTCTGCGGGGCAGACCAGGAGAGGCGGTCTGCTGCCAATGCCCATTTTCCATTTGTGTTCCCAGCCTGAAGTGACATAGGTGGCAATTAGGAAGAGGCACTTGATCAGCTGTGGCCTCCTGGCATTTGAGATGGCAAGAAGGGCAGAAACTGGGCCTCACATTTGTTCACAGAACTGAAGAATGGAAACCAAACCTTATCAGACAAATCCTATTTAGGTACCAGGCAAATAGCTGCTTACTTGTTCAGGCTGCAGCTCTTTTGGATCTGCTGGCTTATCTTCTCACAGTAGTTCTGCGTATTTGCATTTTTGTTCACCTTGGCATCTGACCTGGGAAGCTGGAATCAATTCTGGATAAGAGCAGTATCAAAAGAAGAGATCTGCACTCGTTGAAAAATTGCTGCTAGGCCAAGTTCAAGGTGTTACTATTAGTCTATAAAGCCCTTAACAACTTGGCTTACCTATGAGATGCCCCACAGGAATGCTCAAGACGACTTCAATTGGTGGTTCAACATTTATAAGAATTTGATCTTTCAGTGCAGCAGCACCAAGACTTTGGAACTCCTTGCCTCTTGATATCAAGCAGGCGCCTTCAGTGTATTCCTTTTGGCGCTTGCTAAGAACATTCTTAGGGACGTGGGTGGCGCTGTGGGTTAAACCACAGAGCCTAGGACTTGCCGATCAGAAGGTTGGCAGTTCGAATCCCCGCGACAGGGTGAGCTCCCGTTGCTCGGTCCCAGCTCCTGCCCACCTAGCAGTTCGAAAGCACATCAAAGTGCAAGTAGATAAATAGGTACCACTCCGGTGGGAAGGTAAACGGCGTTTCCGTGTGCTGCTCTGGTTCGCCAGAAGTGGCTTCGTCATGCTGGCCACATGAACCGGAAGCTGTACGCCAGCTCCCTCGGCCAATAAAGCGAGATGAGCGCCGCAAGCCCAGAGTCGGTCACGACTGGGCCTAATAGTCAGGGGTCCCTTTACCTTTGCCTTTAAGAACATTCTTGTTTAGACAAGACTGCTTAGAAAGTTGGTGTGAATTTTGACCTCTTTTAGTATTTTAGCTTTTTATGTTCTAAAATATGGTTACATTTATTTTATTTTATTGTTTTACCTTTTCGTAAACCACTTCGATGGCCTTTTAAAAATACAGTCAAGCAGTGTATAATTTTTATGAAATAACTAAATAAATAATAACATTCACTGCCCCAAGATTTGGTGAAAGCTTCCGGCTTGAAATGAAGTTGTGGCAAATTCATGGAGGAGGATGGGTGCAAGGGAAGGATCGGTCAAGAGCTGTCAGTCAAGGTGGACTCATCCAAACTCCCTTTTGCAACCTGCTTTCTAAACACAGGCCAGTGCTTTAAAGCTCCATGTCCAAACGGGGGGGTTTTTTTGGTCGTGGTTTACCACTGAATTGGAGCAAACAGCAATCTGCAGGAAACTCGATTGCAGCTTGCTCCAGTTCAGCAGTAAAATGTGGGTTTTCCCCTGGAAACTGCTAGGACCAAAAAAACCACACAAATCCACTCAGAAACAAAGCTTTAAACCCCCAGACCTGTACCTAGAAACAGGGCACACAAGGAGGTCTGGATGAGGCCAAAGTTGGAAGCCACATCCTGGGGAACAAAGGCAAGAATGGCTATTTCCTATTTTTATTTTTATTATTATTATTATTATTAAATTTTATTTATACCCCGCCCTCCCCAGCCAAGACCGGGCTCAGGGCGGCTAACACCGGTATAAAAACAATTGATTAAAATACAACTTAAAAACAAGATTAAAACACAACATTAAAATGCAGCCTCGTTTCAGCAGGAACTCAAATCAAAAACTTTTTGGGAGACGAAAACGTCAAGTCTTCACCAAGGCCAGACTGTCCTCTGTGCCTGGGCCATCTGATCGGCCTGTGTGTCTATGTGGACCTTTGGTCTCATCCAAAGATGCTCTTTTTAATTTTTTACTTAAGCTCTTATTATTTTAATACTAATGATGATGATGATGATGCAGAATTGGGAATACAACATTGCAAAACACCCCAGCTGCCAGACAACTGTGCGTCTAGGAGGTTGAAACTCCTGGAAAAATACGATTCAGCAAGCGAGAGCCGTTAAGCTTCGCTTTGTTCATTTCCCGAAGGAAGGTGAAGAGGGGATGGGGGTCTGTTTCATGTTGGAAAGGAAGCAACAATAGCAAGGGGGTGATCAACACTCGCAACCAGCTGCCAGCAAGAGGGGGGAGGGCTCTTTCCAAAGAGGCCCCCATCCTCCTGACTGTTGCTGCTCACAGGCTTGAATTTAGAATCAGAGGAACATCTCTGGCCAGAAACATGTTATTTCCACCACTGCATGGAAAGTACCTAAGGATTAGGCCACACAAACACACTCAGCCCTCCCTGAAGTTTCTCCACTGAAAGTTCCTCCAAAGGCTCCTTTTGGTTTAAAAAAGAAAAGGTGGGAGAGATACAGACATGGTCAAGTGGTTTGGTTTAAACCTCACCCACACCTCTCCCTGACCTGTATTTTGATAACAACATGGGAAGAGCCTGTTGGATCAGATTCCTGCATTTCAGAGGGTGGGCTGGATGACCCTCAGGGTCCCTTCCAACTCTACAATTCTGTGATTCTATGATAGTTCAATCTTGCCTCGAGGAGTTCCAGAGATGCTGATTCCACCACCTACCTCAGCAGCCCAGCCCTGTTCCCTAAGCTGGTTTGATTCTGATGTGTTGTTGTTTAGTCGTGTCCGCCTCTTCGTGACCCCCTGGACCAGAGCATGCCAGGCACTCCTGTCTTCCACTGCCTCCCGCAGTTTGGTCAAACTCATGCTGGTAGCTTCGAGAACACTGTCCCACCATCTCGTCCTCCGTCGTCCCCTTCTCCTTGTGCCCTCCATCTTTCCCAAAATCAGGGTCTTCTCCAGGGAGTCTTCTCTTCTCATGAGGTGGCCAAAGTCTTGGAGCCTCAGCTTCAGGATCTGTCCTTCCAGGGAGCACTCAGGGCTGGTTTCCTTCAGAATGGATAGGTTTGATCTTCTTGCAGTCCATGGGACTCTCAAGAGTCTCCTCCAGCACCAGAATTCAAAAGCATCCATTCTTCGGCGATCAGCCTTCTTTATGGTCCAGCTCTCACTTCCATACATCGCTACTGGGAAAACCATAGCTTTTGCTATACGGACCTTTGTTGGCAAAGTGATGTCTCTGCTTTTTAAGATGCTGTCTAGGTTTGTCATTGCTTTTCTCGCAAGAAGATTCTAATGTACATCCCTATAATTTAGAGCCTGCTTCTGTATTCACCGGAATGTTAAGAAGAGGTTGCTGGATGAGGCCAATGGCCCATCTCATCCAGCCTCCTTTTCTCACAGTGACCAACCAGATGTGTCTTCTGGGAAACCTGGAAGCAGGATCCGAGCACCAGAGCAACTCTCCCCTCCTGAGATTCAGAAGCATCACTGCCTCTGACTGTGGAGACTGGGCAGAGCCATTAATTGTTGTTGTTGTTGTTGTTGTTGTTGTTGTTGTTGTTGTTGTTATTCATACCCCACCCTCCCTGGCCAGAGCCGGGCTCAGGGCGGCTAACACCAATAAAATCACAGTAAAAACATAACAGGGGGAAAAACAACCAATTTAAAATACAGGTTAAAATGCAATTTAAAATGCAGCCTTATTTTAAAAGTAGCTGATAAATCAAGGCCATAAGGGGAGGGAAACCTAAGGGTCAGACTGAGTCCAAACCAAAGGCCAGGTGGAACAGCTCTGTCTTGCAGGCCCTGCGGAAAAATGTCAAGTCCCGCAGGGCCCTGGTCTCTTGGGACAGAGTGTTCCACCAGGTTGGGGCCAGTACTGAAAAGGCCCTGGCCCTAGTTGAGACCAATCTAACCTCCTTAAGGCTAAGGACCTCCCAAGTGTTGTTATTTGTGGACCTTAAGGTTCTCCGCGGGGCAGACCAGGAGAGGTGGTCCCGTAGGTACGAGGGTCCTAGGCTGCGTAGGGCTTTAAAGGTCAAAACCAGCACCATTGTGGCTTATAGCCCTCTCCTCTTCCCTGAATTTGTCCAATCCTCTTCCAAAGCCATTGAAGTCGGCGGCCACCTTGGCCTCCTGTGGCAGTGAGTTCCACAGCTTCACACTGTGCTGCTTGAAGAAGCACTTTCCTTCTCCTTTGTCCTTGCAGATCTCCAGCTAGAAACATGGGACCTGGAATGCGAGCGCAACAATCGGGAGCACCGGACCTCCGAAAACGGCAACGAGCGGCTGATCGTGCGCAGGGGGCAGCCATTCACCATCACCTTGCACTTTTCCGGGAGGGAGTACCAGGAAGGCGTGGACCAGCTCACGTTCCACGTTGAGACAGGTGAGTCCTCCTTGATGCTCCTAACGCATCCTAATCCATCGTGCTGACTTCTGGACTTGGCTGGACCACAACTCCCAGGGAGGCTGGGCTGGTGCGAGTTGGAGTCTGGAGGGCAACAGGTTGCTCAAAATCAGTGGCAAGCAAGTAGACAGGTAGTGTTGCGTAGTGGTTAGGGTGCTGGACTGGGACCTGGGAGAGGTCAGGGTTCAAATCCCTCCCCTCGCCATGAAGCTCTTCCTGCGTGACCTGGGCCCAATCACTGCCTCTCAGCCTAGCCTACCTCCTGGGTAATAAATTAATAAAGCAAATAAATCTGGTTGGACTTTAGATACCCAGTGGTGGTACTGTAGTTAAAGAGTTGGTCTGGGACCTGGGAGACCAGGGTTCGAATCTCCTCTCTCTCAGCTTGACCTACCTCACAGGGTTGTTGTGGGGATTAAACGAGGGTGGGGGAACCATGTTTTCCGCTTTGAGCCCCGTGGGGGAAATTATGGGGTATAAATGCAATAAATAAATACGGATTAAGGCAGCGCTGTTCTTAAGGCGGAGGTTCAGCCCACTAAACTGAGCTGGACATTTTACAAGAATGTGAGAATCCGTTCTCGACATGCGGGCGCCACAGGTCTGGATCTTGACCTCACCACACGCATCCTGGTCCTCAGCCCTCTCTGGTGTAAGCAGGCAAGCCCTGCATTGCTGGCTCGTGCCTGGGAACTGGGTCTGAATGTTTTCCCCAGTCTCAAGGCTGCTTTTTAATGTGACTCTGGCGAAATGTCACTGGGGTGAAATAGCTTTGAATGCTGCAGCCAAATGGGTGGAAGGGTGAAATAACAGCCTCAAACTCATAAGAATACAGCTTGCAGTGGTGTCCAAACTTTTTTCAAAGAGGGCCAGATTTGATGAAGTGAAGGGCTGTGAGGGCCAGCCAGAGGGCCAACCAAAGTTGTTCAGCTTGTTTTAGGATTGAAATTGTTGAGTTGCTTTTTCTTAGGATTGAATCTACCAGGTTATACCTACCAGTAGACCAGATTAGGCCCCCAAAACGGATTTTGGACATGCCTTAAGGCTTAAGGGTTTTTCGCCCTTTAAAAACCTCAGTTTTTAGCCCTTTGAAAACCTCAGTTTAAAAACCTCCAGTGCAGAAGACTTCACTGCTTTCTGAGGCAGTTGTGTTAGCATCTGCCTCTGCCCAGAGTGGCAACCCAGTCAGATGGGCGGGGTGCAAATAATAAAATTACTATTATGATTATTACTAAGTAATTGTGCAAGGCCACTTTTGCTCCATTCCAATCCTGCCAACCCTTTTTCTTACTTTAATCAAAAACCCGCCAACAACTTGGTTCCTCCTTTTTTCCTTTCTTCCTGATTATTTTTGCCAAATTTCCCTTATTGTTCTTCTGTGGACAATGCAGCCAGGAAAGGAAAACATGGCAGAGGACGGGTGACCTCAGGCTCCGTCCCTGGCCAGGGTCCTCTCTCTCGCTTTGTTGTTGGGCTCAGGAAACGCTGGCGGAAAAAAGGGAGTCATCCTCCTGGAATTTTGCAGCAGCAGCAGCTGGGCCCTGGAAGCCCATTTTGTTTTGGCCGGTGACCTCAGAGGTGTTGCAAAAGCAAACAAGGGGGGAACTTTTGTGGAGGAAGCAGAAATGGAAAGAGAGCAAATGATCCAGTTTGTGCAGCGAGAATGGAGGGAAGCTGTGTGGGGAGCAGCTGGAGGAAGAGGCACCTTTAAGATGATGGACTGGACTTGAACTGGTTGGGATGTTAGGATTTGAAGGAGCTGAGTATGTTTAGCCTGGAAAACAGAAGACTGAGAGGTGACACAAGAGCCATCTTCAGATATCTGATGGGCTGCCATTTTCTCCTGCTCTGGAGGGGAGGACCTGAATCAATTATCCAGGTTTGTTGTCGTTTAGTCGTTTAGTCATGTCCAACTCTTTGTGACCCCATGGACCAGAGCACGCCAGGCACTCCTGTCTTCCACTGCCTCCCACAGTTTGGTCAAACTCATGTTAGTAGCTTCGAGAACACTGTCCCACCATCTCGTCCTCCGTCGCCCTTTCTCCTTGTGCCCTCCATCTTTCCCAACATCAGGGTCTTTTCCAGGGAGTCTTCTCTTCTCATGAGGTGGCCAAAGTCTTGGAGCCTCAGCTTCAGGATCTGTCCTTCCAGTGAGCACTCAGAGGTGATTTCCTTCAGAATGGAGAGGTTTGATCTTCTTGCAGTCCATGGGACTCTCAAGAGTCTCCTCCAGCACCAGAATTCAAAAGCATCCATTCTTCAGCCATCAGCCTTCTTGATGGTCCAGCTCTCACTTCCATTCATCACTACTGGGAAAACCATACCTGGAACCAATTATCTGACCAAATATTAGGAAGAACTTTCTAGTGGTATGAGCCATTTGACAGTGGAACGGACTCCCTTGGAAGGTGACAGACTCTCCTTCCTTGGAGGTTTTTAAGCAGAGGTTGGGTGGCCATCTGCCAGGGATTCATTGGCTGAGATTCCTGCATCACAGAGGGGGGTTGGGCTAGATGACCCTGGAGGACCCTTCCAGCTCCCCAGTTCTGTGATTCTAAGAGCCAGTATTTCTCTAACTTCATACCTTCCAGCTGTGCCTGTTCTTTTCCCATGTGAGGGCTCTGTTACTGTTTCCTGGAGTTTGTCAAAGCAGAAGAGTCCTGCCAAATAATTAGCACATGAAATCCAGCCCCCAGCATTCCTCTCTGAACATGATGCTTTCAGACGGGGAGATGGCGATTTGACAGTGCAAAGACGTCTTGCACCGTCTTTGTGTTAAGAACATAAAAAGATCCTGCTTGATCAGAGCAATAACGCATCTAGTCCAGCATCCTTTTTTCACAGTGGCTGACCAGATGGGAAACTTGCAAGCAGGGTTTGAGCACAAGAACAACACTCTCCCCTCCTGATGTTTCCAGCATAGCCATCCCAGCTAATAGACATCAATAGGCCTCTCCTTCAGGGATTTGGCCAATTCTCTTTTAAGGCCATCTAAACCTGCCTCCTGTGGCAGGGAGTTCCATAGTTTAACTATGAGCTGTGTGAATAATGAATTTCTTTTATCTGTCCTGAATCTTCCAATGTTCAGCTTCATTGTATGTCTTTGAGTTTTATTGTTAGGAGAGAGGGGAGGGCCTCTCCCTGCTTGGCAGGGGGTTGGACTCGATGGCCCTTGTGGTCTCTTCCAACTCTATGATTCTATGATTCTATGATTCTATGATCCTCTTGCATCAAACCATACCAGATCCTGACAGAGCCATGGGGTTCATGAAATACCCTGCGATAATGTCCAAGAACAAAACCAGTAGAAAAGCTGGACGTGTGTCGCCCTCACCCTTGCAGCAACTCTGCAGCAAAAGAGAATTTGCTTCGGGGATTAACAGTTTAGATGATTCCTTGCAGGGATTAATTGAAACAGGGGTCCTTCCAGACAGATGTTGAAAGTGCAACTGATGCTCCTCATAAACACAAGCTTCTTTGCAGCATCCCCATGAAATCATGAACATCAAATGGCAACCAGTATACTTCCCCCCCCCCAATGGATTAAGGTAAAGGTAAAGGGACCCCTGACCATTAGGTCCAGTCGTGACTGACTCTGGGGTTGTGGCCCTCATCTCGCTTTATTGGCCGAGGGAGCCGGCGTACAGCTTCTGGGTCATGTGGCCAGAATGACTAAGCTGTTTCTGGCGAACCAGAGCGGCACACGAAAACGCCGTTTACCTTCCCACCGGAGCGGTACCTATTGATCTACTTCCACGATGACGTGCTTTCGAACTGCTAGGTTGGCAGGAGGCAGGACTGAGCAACAGGAGCTCACCCCATCACGGGGATTCGAACCGCCGACCTTCTGATCGGCAGTCCTAGACTCTGTGGTTTAACCCACAGCGCCACCTGTGTCCCTCCCCAATGGATTACCTGCTTGCAAATTAAGCTCCCACCTGTGATTCCTGCATTGCAAGGGTTGGTTTAGATGGCTCTTGGGTGTCCCTCCAAACGCTACAATTCTATGATTCTATAAATGCTCCTAATAAATGCCTCTGGCTCCATTCGTTCTCCCAGGGCAAAGCCTCCACATGCCCTTTTGAGGCTGGGATGGGAGAAGGAGGAGAGGGGATGGAGGCTCCCCGAGGTCTCCGACCCCATTTTATCTCGCAGCCTCAGGCAGCCAGTGGTGAGTTGAAGAGGACAAGGGCAGGAAACAAAAGGAGGAAGCTCTCCCCTGGCTTGGCCTTTCCCACAGTTCTCTGTGTGGCTTGCAAGGAAGGAGGACTCCCACTTCGTCCTTCCCTTTTCCAGATAAAACAAAGAAAGCAAAGCACCCAGAGCAGAGCTCGGGTCTCAACTTCTTCAGCCCCAGCTCCAGGGATTAATTCGCACACAGCACCGAGAGGTCACTGCCTGGTTTTGCTTAAGAGGTTAAGAACATCGGACGAGCCCTGCAGGATCCGACCATAATAAAGAAATAATAAATAAAATTTTATTTATATCCCGCCCTCCCCAGCCGAAGCTGGGCTCAGAGCGGCTAACAGCAATAAAAGTAACACAGCACTCTAAAATCAATTCATTCTAAAATCAATTCAGAGTCAAATTAATGGCAACCATTGGGCTAGAGTTCTGTGAGGATTACAGGAGGGGGTCAGACTGTTCCTTGGCCAAAGGCCTGGTGGAACAGCTCTGTCTTGCAGGCCCTGCGGTAAGATGTCAAGTCCCGCAGGGCCCTGGTCTCTGGTGACAGAGTATTCCACCAAGTCGGGGCCACAGCCGAAAAAGCCCTGGCTCTGATTGAGGCCAGCCTAAACTCCCTGTGGCCCAGGACCTCCAAGATGTTTTTGTTTGAAGACCATAAGGTCCTCCGTGAGACATACCAGGAGAGGCGGTCCCGTAGGTATGAGGGTCCTAGGCCGTGAAGGGCTTTAAAGGTTAAAACCAGCACCTTAAACCTGATCCTGTACTCCACCGGGAGCCAGTGCAGTTGGTAAAGCACTGGATCAATATGCTCCCGCAGCGAGGACCCTGTAAGGAGTCTCGCCGCGGCATTCTGCACCTGCTGGAGTTTCTGGGTCAGTCTCAAGGGCAGCCCCGCATAGAGCGAGTTACAATAATCAAGTCTGGAGGTGACTGTCACATGGATCTAGTCCACTATCCTTTTCTCATTGGGCCAACCAGTTGCCACAGTCAGAGGCAGCGATGTTCCTGAATCCCAGTTGCTGGAAATTTCAGGAAGTGGAGAGTGTTGCTCTTGTGCTCGAATCCTGGTTCGCCACAGGCATCTGCATGGCCACTGTGAGAACAGCATGCTGGACTAGATGGGATGCTGGCCTGATCCACCTTATGTTCTTATGAATTAAGTAGAAAATAGCTTCTCCTCCTGGGCTTTGCTTGTGCAGCCAGAGCCCTAGAACAAAGGCGCCCCTGGGCATGCGCAAAATGTGCTCCTTTTGACCTATGATAACAGAAAGGCTGTTTTTTTATGAAGAGGGGCTACACTTGTGACTTGCTTGCAACAAGCCTCCCAGATATTATCACAGCAGCAGGTGTGGGTTCAACTCATCCACCCACGTTTCTTAGGGCAATCCGTCCTGTGACAAGCAAAGCTGGGGCAAGGCAGGTGCCCTAAGAACGCAGCGTCCAGAGTTTTCCTCCATTTCAGTTGGACCTCTGTAGGAGAACATCTTGGTGGATCATACAGTCATAGAGTTGGAAGATACCTTTACTCCAACCTCTGCAGTGCAGGGATCTCAGCTAAAGAATCCATGAGACATGGCCACCCAACCTCTGCTTGAAAATCTCCAAAGAAGGCAGGTCCACCACCTCCCGAGGGAAACCGTTCCACTGCCAAACAGCTCTTACGGTCAGAAAGTTCTTCCTAATGTTGAGTCAGAATCTCCTTTCTTGTAACTTGAAGCCATTTGTTTGAGTCCTACCTTCCAGAGCAGCATACGTAAAACAACCCTGCTCCATCTTCCATATGAGAGCCCTTAAGATAATTGAAGATGGCTATTGTATCTCCAGGCTAAACATACCCAATTCCCCCGACCGTTCCTCATCAGGCTTGGTTTCCAGACCCTTGATCATCTCGGTCGCCCTCCTCTGCACACCTTCCAGCTTGTCAACCTCCTTCTCAAATTGTGGCGCCCAAAACTGGACACTGTATTCTAGGTGTAGTCTGACCCAGGCAGAATAGGGTGGTCCTATTAAAGGTAAAGGGACCCCTGACAGTTAAGTCCAGTTGTGGTTGACTTGGGGGTTGCGCCGCTCATCTCGCTTTACTGGCCGAGGGAGCCAGCGTTTGTCCACAGACAGTTTTTCTGGGTCATGTGGCCAGCATGACTAAGCTGCTTCTGGCGAACCAGAGCAGCGCACGGAAACACCGTTTACCTTCCCGCCGGAGCGGTACCTATTTATCTACTTGCACTTTGACGTGCTTTTGAATTGCTAGGTTGGCAGGATCAGGGACCGAGCAACGGGAGCTCACCCCATCGCGGGGATTCGAACCACTGACCTTCTGATCAGCAAGTCCTAGGCTCTGTGGTTTAACCCACAGTGCCACCCGCGTCCCTTCCTATTAAAGGTAAAGGGTCCTATTCCTGAATCTCATTTCTTGCCATTGGAATCCCTTGGATTGGGTCCTGCCCTTCAGAGCAGGAGAAAACCAGCTTGCTCCATCTTCCATTGGGACAGTCCTTCAGATATTTGAAGATGGCTCTCCTCTCACCTGACAGCCTTCTGCCCTGAACGACGAGGGCACCAGAGAAGACCCGACCCCAGGATAAGGGACCTTTGTGCGAAAGATGAGGCTCCAGCCCATGCCCTGATGTTTCGACCCACCCTTCCCAGAGCAAAGTGTACCAATCTGGATTTATCCACCCAGGTGGTGAAAGGCCCTTTGTCTCTCCCCCAGGGCAGACCTCAGGTTCCAGGAAGTCTGGGCAGTGAGAGGCTGACACGAGGGCCTCCTCCACCTCGCTGTGCAAAGAGAAGGTCTTGTTGATGAGCCACCGGGGGTGGGATGGTCTGGTCTGTTGTGAGGCCACAGGGATGTTTCCGATGGAGAAGGGCCTTGCTTTCCCCCACCCTGTAATTCTCTGCATTTGTCCGAGGGAGGAAGAACACAGTGAGCTTGTTTGGGAAGAAGGCGGAGGAGAAACAGCTACTCCTGTTCCCCGGGGGGCTGAGTAATGGCTCCGGCGACTCAAGGAAGCCGTAGCCTAGCCTTGTTCTCACGCTCAAGTGTCCCAGCAGGATCACACACACACACCGCCCTGCTCCAAGGAGAGAGGTCAAGCAGACTGCACACACCATTGTGAGCTCATGTGTATTTTCGCACACAGACTCCAACTCCGTCCACAACTAGGGTGGGGGTGAGGAGCAGCGCAGGAGACCAGGACTTCACTGGAGGCTTTTCAGCAGAGGCTGGACGTCCGTCTGTTGGGGATTCTTGAACTGGGAGTCCTGCAATGCAAGGGGGTTGGACTAGATGACCCTCAGGGTCCCTCCCAACCCCCTTGCCGTTCTATGATCCACTGACCTCATAAGGTGGTGGACTCTCCTTCCTGGGAGGTGTTTAAGCAGAGGTTGGGTGGCCGGCTGTCAGGGATTCCCTGGCTGCCATTCCTGCTTTGTGGTGGGTGGGTCTAGAGGACCTTCGGGTGCCCCTTCCAATTCTGCCATTCTATGATCTTTCATATGAAGCTACAATGTCCCTCAGCTCCCAGGATGCCCAGAGCTAGAGGGAACATTTGCACAAGGGGGCACCTGTCCAAAGTCCGTTTGGGGGGCCCGGCAGTTGATTTAATCTGGCCCCATAGTAGTATATGTCCGGGGTAAAATCCTAAATAAACAACCTTGGGGTCAAATCCTTTAAAAAGCCCAACAACTTAGAGGTAAAATTCTGAAAAAAGCTCAACAACTTCAGCAGCTTTGGTCGGCCCTCATGCATGTTCACATCATCACATCTGGCCCTCTTTGACCCAGATCTGGCCCTCTGGCCCAACCTTTGCCAACCTGGTGCCCTCAAGATCTTTTGGACGAGGGCTCACACTGGCTGGAGCTGATGGGAGCTGTAGCACCTGAGTGGCACCTGAGCAAAGGGGTGTCAGGAGGTAGGAACAGAAGACCTGGGGCCCATCAGGAAATGCCAGGGCCACCCCTAAGAGTGCCTCTGCTCCAAGGCCCTTCTGTGGCACAAACTGCCCAAAATTCCTGCATTGCAGGGGGTTGGACTAGATGTCCCTTGAGGGTCCCTCCCTTCAACCCTGCAGTTCTCAGATTCTGAGTTTAGCAGACAGTCAGGAGCGGAAGTCTGTGACCAGCCCTGGCACTCTGTGAAAGCTGTGAATCATCGTGGGCAGACGGGCGGGGAGGGCAGGCGTGAAGCATGAGTCTGCAGTTCACCCCTTGCCGAACCCTCCTCCGTGTCGGGTGGAGCCTCGGAAGAGGGCAGAGCCTCTTTTTGCAAGGCTCCCTGTCGCTTGTGGGCTGCGCCTGGACAGAAGCAAAAGGGAGCTCTGTCTTCGGGGCATCTTGCCTTCTGACCACTGGCCAGTGGAAGTTTACAGCCATCCCTCAAAACAACCTGGCTATTTAAGGGCAGCCAGTGCAGGGGGTGGGTCACCCCCAAGGGCTTGTTTCAACCACAGCACAATCATGGCACGCGGAATGTTGCAGCGCGGTTGCTGACAGGGGAGTGCTATAGATGGGTGGATTATTATTATTATTATTATTATTATTATTATTAGCCCCCATCAGCATATAACTCCTGTGCTCAGAAATCTGCACCAGTTGCTGATTTTGCTCCCAAGTCAAGTTCAAGAAGTTACTGTTCACATATAAATTGTGGGAACTAGGATTTCAGCTCTGAAAAACATCACATTTCCTGTGATAATTTCTGAAAGTTAATAAAGGTTAGTTTATTTAGCAATTGTATTTAATTTCAGAGCTTATGTGAAAGCTAGAGACCGGGCAGTTTAACCCTTTTGTTTGTTCCCTTTCCCCTCACAAAAAATACGAAAGACACTCTTTTAAAGATTAAATAATAACTTTTCCTCACGGTGTCCTTGCACTTGTTAGATTAAATGCATATGGACAAGGCAGGCAGGTCTTACTTAGGTTAGTAATGCACTGCAGAGATTTATCACTGAGGCTAAAACTCCAACAGACTCTCACTAATTCAGAGGCAGGCAGCAGCAAAACAGAACAAACCGACTGATCAGCTGCTCTAGCAACACAAAAAAGGCTATAATTAACTGCCATAACTGTGCCAACTTATGCAACCGCCTTGGGCACAAGGTATAGGATTGTCACAAGGTTCTTTCTTAAAACGCTGCAGTCCTTGTGAGTCAACCTTTGACTTTGGAAGCTCCTATCCCGTACAATCCTATCCCTTCGCAATTTGGGACCAGTTTACCCTTCCCCATATGCACCTATCTGACCTCTTCAAACTGTTGCAGCTGCACATAATAATAATAATAATAATAATAATAATAATAATAATGTATTATTTATACCCCGCCCATCTGGCTGAGTTTCCCCAGCCACTCTGGGCGGCTTCCAACAGAATATTAAAATACAAAACCTTAACATTAAAAGCTTCCCTAAACAAGGCTGCCTTGAGATGTCTTCTAAAAGTCTGGTCGTTTTTCTTCTCTTTGAAATCTGGTGGGAGGGCGTTCCACAGGGCGGGTGCCACCACCATGAAGGCCCTCTGCCTTGTTTCCTGTAACTTGGCTTCTCGCAGCAAGGGAACCGCCAGAAGGCCCTCGGCGCTGGACCTCAGTGTCCGGGCAGAATGATGGGGGTGGAGACGCTCCTTCAGGTATACAGGACCGAGGCCGTTTAGGGCTTTAAAGGTCAGCACCAACACTTTGAATTGTGCTCAGAAACGTACTGGGAGACAATGCAGATCTCTCAGGACCGGTTTTATGTGGTCTCGGCGGCCACTCCCAGTCACCAGTCTAGCTGCCGCATTCTGGATTAATTGCAGTTTCCGGGTCACCTTCAAAGGTAGCCCCACATAGAGTGCATTGCAGTACTCCAAACGGGAGATAACCAGAGCATGCACCACTCTGGCGAGGCAGTCCGCCGGCAGGTAGGGTCTTTTTTTTTTTTTTAATAATTTTTATTAAAATTTTAAACAAACAAAAAAAGAAAAACAACACACACAAAAAACAATACAAAACTTAACAATAAAAACACAAAACATAGCAATTAAAAACAAACTCTCTTTTCCATTTCCAATTTTAAATTACTTATTTTCTGGACTTCCTCATACCTCCCTCTTTTGTATTCCAATCTACCTTGTTTGTCCAGCAGTTTCTTTTCCACTTCTTTAATCCCAATCTTTAATTTAATAAAACGTTAAGATATATAACTTCAACTTTTTTAAACCTAATCCTTGATCTTAATGTCATACAACTTTAATTTTTTCCCTTTTATTATCAAATTTCCATTTCTTTAAACATCTTTAATCTTGATCTTTAATCTTAATCTATCCTTAACTTTAACCTGTACAGCTGGAAACCACTTGTTTTCTGTCCAACATCACTCTAACATTCCTTAATTTTGCAGTGTTTCTGAAGATAGTCTTTGAATTTCTTCCAGTCTTCCTCCATCGACTCTTCTCCCTGGTCACGGATTCTACCAGTCATTTCCGCCAATTCCATATAGTCCATAAATTTCATCTGCCATTCCTCCAGCGTGGGAAGTTCTTGTGTCTTCCAATACTTTGCGATAAGTATTCTTGCTGCTGTTGTTGCATACATAAAGAAAGTTCTATCCTTTTTAAACACCATTTGGCCTACTATGCCCAGGAGGAAGGCTTCTGGTTTCTTAGGGAAGGTATACTTAAATACCTTTTTTAATTCATTATATATCATTTCCCAGAAAGCCTTAATCTTTGGGCACGTCCACCAAAGGTGAAAAAATGTACCTTCAGTTTCTTTACATTTCTGCCGGCAGGTAGGATCTTAGCCTGTGTACCAGGTGGAGCTGGTAAACAGCTGCCCTGGACACAGAATTAATTTGCGCTCCATGGACAGCTGTGAGTCCAGAATGACTCCCAGGCTGCGCACCTGTTCCCTCAGGGGCACAGTGACCCCATTCAGGACCAGGGAGTCCCGTTCCACATTTGCAAGGAACTGATATTTTAGTGAGGCAGCCCCTCTTGACATCTGTCAGGTACCTTCACTGTCCGCTTTCCAGCATCTGCTGAAAACATGCTTGCTTAGATAAGCCTATCCAGATGTTTAGGAAGTTAGTGCAAGTTTTAATCTGCTCTTAGTCAATTGTTCTTTTAACTTTTTGCATGCCTCGAATTACTGTCCATTTTTCTTAGCCATCTTTTAACTTTTCGCAAACTAATGTGAGGCGTGTGGTTTTTTTTTGCAATCCCAGCGGCTTATACCTTTTATAAATCGCGTGGGATAATAAATGCCTCGCTGCCTTGAAAACGTGGACGCTGCCGGTTATGGGACACAGGGCTCCCACGTTGCATAAAAGGCGTCTGTCTGGAGGTTTTCATCCTTGTCTGAATTTCACCTTGTTAACTTGTGCTGGGGAGGAAGAGATGGCGAGGGAATCGCCTTACATGGCAAGATGCTCCCTTGCTCGTTCTCAGATTTATGGGCTTGTGGGATTGCCGGAGCAAAACCGCCGGCGGGGTGAGGCCACCCGAAATGTGTGCATTGGTTCAGGAGTCTATTTATTGACACGGAATGATGAGGGACGGGGCTGGTGCACAAAGCCCAGCTTTGATAAATCTGCTCCGCCAAGGACGCCTCTCCTTTGCTGGCCTCGTCCAGTCCTGCATCAGCCCATGATCCTGTTGTCTCTTAGCAGTGGAACAGCTTGCAACCTCGGTGGCTGGGGGCATGATCCTGTGACCCGCAGGAGACGCAGCTCAGGTAGCCTCATCAGTCATCAGGAAAACCTCCTCCTTCCCAAACAGCCACACCCTGGAAAAAAGGCTGGAAATAAACGCTCTCCCATAAAGACTCTTCAAAGGAACAAACCTCGCAGCCCATCTTGAGACATGGTCTGTCTGTCAAGGTTTTTGCCTTTTGCGGGCACATGCACTGAACCCTGTCTGTGGTGCCTACCTCATTATCCCAAATGATGAGACAAGAGACCAGAGTATGGGTTCAAATTGGCCACAACTTTATTGAGCTTCAGAAGTGGGGAACTTGGCACAGGCCTTGGCAGGTAACCCTCTCAGCCCGCCTGGCTGAGGATATGCAGGCAGATGAGATCCAGTGAGAGGGGACTGCAAAGCGCAAACTTACACAGCATGCCCTTCCACCGACCTCGTCCCGGGAGTTTGACCTACATGCCGCCACTCTAGGGCCAGGGACTCCCGGTTTTGGCCCTTTAAGGGGCCCTGCAAGCGCCGCCACATGGGGAGGGAGCATGAATGCATCCCCCCCAACTTGATGTTAGACTAAAGGCTACCTTGCCAAGGCCTAAAAACCGCTGCCAAGTCCCACAACCAAGGACCAATCAAACCCTGCAACCTATACTGTCCCCAAGGTCTTGTTGCAAGTCGTGGAGCCAGAAGTCATTACCCCGTGGGGTCAGGTGCACCCCATCCCCCCGGAATAGGTCAACGCTATCTGCTGTGATGGTGGGATGTGGGATAGAGAACCCATCCAATTTGCCGCATGGTGTTGCGCATGGCTCTGTTAATTTTACTCACTGCATAATTAATGCGAGAGGGATTGATCCTGGAAGGAAGAACAGCAAAAGAGGCTTGAGCCAAAGGGTCAGCCTCTTTTCTTTTGGCCTTCGGCCCACCCCCTGCCGGCCATCCATTGTCCTCCCTGGCAGAGGGTGAGTCAAAGGCCAGCTCAAGCAGGTGGGTGGCACCCGCCCAGGTGAGCCCCGCTCGGTGCCGCAAACCCCGCCCACCTGTGGGGAAGGGAGGGCGGATATTACTCCACTGGCCCCTGAATTTGGCTTTTTCCTCCCACCTGTGAAGCCAGCAGGGCTCTTTTCTCTGGGGCTTTTCGACCCCACAGGCTTCAACTGGTCCAACCCCTCTTTCCAGGGAAACGTGGGAACTATAGTTCCGTGAGGTGGATCTGAGTCTCCAAATAACTCCCACCACCCTTGGCAAACTACCATCTTACCGTCAGAAAGTAGTTTCCGGGGTTTAGTTGGAATCTCCTTTCACAAAATCATAGAACTGTAGAATGGTCGACTTGGACAGGGACCTCCAAGAGTCATCTAGTCCAACCCCTTGGCAAACTACAGTTTCCATGATTCTTTGGGGGGGACCCTATCTGTTAAAAGTGGCATAAAACTGCTATAAATGTACCATGTGGGAGAGGTTCTGCTTCCTTTGGGTCTGATGGCTGATGGCTTTTAAACTGGGAGTGGCTAAGGTCGTCCGTTTCACAGCTGAGCAGCTCTTTCCATCAGAAAGTTGTTTCCGGTGTTTAATTGGAATCTCTTTCACAAAATCATAGAACTGTAGGATGGTCGATTTGAAAGGGACCCCCAGGAGTCATCTAGAATCAATTTGATTCCCTCCCCCTCTTCTTTTTTCCTTTCTCCTTCTGTGATGGAACTCCTGTTTGGGGACTTCCCTGGCTTTTTTCTGGCCCGTGTAGGACCAGTCTGGAAAGTTAGCCTTGGTGAAGACTTGACGTTTTCATCCCCCCAAAAGTTTTTGATTTGAGTTTCAATTGAAAAGAGGCTTCATTTTAATATTTTAATGTTTTAATGTATTTTAATCTTGTTTTTAAGTTGTATTTCAATCAATTTGTTTTTATATCGGGTGTTAGCCGCCCTGAGCCCGGTCTTGGCTGGGGAGGGCGGGGTATAAATAAAATGTATTATTATTAGTTATTATTATTAGTCCAGCCCCCTGCAATGCAGGAATCTCAGCTCAAGCATCCCTGACAGATGGCCATCCAACCTCTGCTTAAAATCGCCCAAGGAAGGAGCGTCCGTTCCACTGCAAAGCGGCTTTTGCTGTCTGGCTGCTGCGTTCTGCACCGTATCCCTAGTTCATGCGCAGAGAGCTCTGACCACCAGCCTGTTTTGCTTCCTCCTCCTGCAGGGCCCTGCCCCATCGAGACATCGGGGACCAGATCTCTCTTTCCCCTTTCCTGCTCCCTGGAAGAGGCTGTCTGGAGCTCAGCCGTGGAATGCCAGGAGGGGACCTCTCTTACTCTCTCCATCTCCTCCCCTCCTGACGCCCGCATCGGCCGCTACCGCCTGACCATGGACGCTGCCACTGACCATCAGGGCTCCAGCTTCAGCCTGGGCGAATTTGTCCTGCTCTTCAACCCTTGGTGCCCCGGTAAGTGATTGCAAGCCTTGGCAGGAGCCTGTATCATCACGGGAGCATCTGGATCAGTGCTCACCAACCTTCCGCCCTCCAGATGTTTTAGACTACAGCTCCCATTGACCTTGGCCAGCACCGTCGCGCTGATGCTGCCGCCCCAAACATCTGGAGAAGCACACGAGGTTGGCAAAGACCAGGTTGCAGTGACCAGCAATGGACTTTTGCAGTCCTGCCTGGAATTGCTGGGGATTGAAGCTCCAACCTTCTAGCCATGGACGGAGTGGTATTAGAGCGTGTGCTCTGTGTGCAGAAGGTTCCCAGTTCCAGTCTGTAGGAACTCGAGTTTAAAGGGATCTCAGGCCGAAGGGCTGCAGATGCCTCGGACAGTTAGAAGGCGGCAGACCCGTTTGGAAGGATGCTGGCTTGGAGAGAGTTAGACCATTGGTCTATCGACTTCAGTACTGTCTACACGGGCAGGCAGCATCTCCTGCTCCCCCACTGCCTCCTCCCCTAGACAAGGCTTTATGTTTCTAGTGCAGGGAGACCACATTCCCCAGCAAACTGCGCTGAAAGCGTTACAGTTCCTCCCCTTATTATCGCAGTCTTGCATGGCCTGACCTGGGCGGCAACACTGCTGGCGACGCTTTGCATTTCTGTCGCGTCTTTTCAGTATCCCATATGATGCTGCCAATGAGTGTTATCTTACTACCTTTGTCTGTGTCAGTGTTCAAAGGTTGTAATGTACCCACGGGGTTTGGATGCTAAAGTGGAACAGACACACAGAGCAGAGCAAAATGGAGGATTATTTTAGATTCCAACTATGTTTGTTCTGGGTATAAGCTTTCGTGTGCAAATCTGAAGGTATCCGAAGTGTGCATGCACACGAAAACCTATACCCAGAACAAATGTAGTTGGTCTCTAAGGTGCTACTGGACAATTTTTTTATTTATTTTGACTGTGTTAGACCAACTGGGCTGCCTACCTGAATTTAGATTCCGTTTACTTGAAGGAGCAGCTGGAGCAATCTGCAATGTTTGCTCCAAGATTCTTTGCCGTGTTGCTGGGGCTCTGCTCCCGGGTCATCCCACTGTCCTTGATGACATCAGAAGGGATCTGCTTTCTCAGTTTCTAGGCTTTCCCAGAGATAGTGCAATGCAGTGGTTAGAGTGTTCGCCTAGGACCAAATCTCTCCCCCCAGCCATGAAGCTCACTGTGTGACCTTGGGCCAGTGCTTGCTTCTCACTCTAACCTACCTCACAGGGTTGTTGTGGGGCTTAAATGAAGGCTAGAATCACGTATGTGGGTGGCGCTGTGGTCTAAACCACTGAGCCTCTTGGGCTTGCCGGAAAGAGGCTCGGCAGTTCGAATCCCCGCCACGGGGTGAGCTCTCATTGCTCGGTCCCTGCTCCTACCAACCTAGCAGTTCCAAAGCACACCAGTGCAAGTAGATAAATAGGTACTTCTGTGGCAGGAAGGTAAACAGTGTTTCCATGTGCTCTCATGGTGTCCCATTGCGCCAGATGCGGTTTAGTCCTGCTGGCCACATGACCTGGAAAACTTTATGTGGACAAATGCTGGCTCCCTTGGCCTGAAAGCGAGATGCAACCCCGTAGTCGCCTTTGACTGGACTTTCCCCCCCAGGGGTCCTTTACCTTTACCTTTTACCTGGGAGGAAAAATTGGGCTATAAACATTCTAGGTAAAGATAAAGGGACCCCTGACAGTTAAGTCCAGTCATGGACGACTCTGGGGTTGCGGCGCTCATCTCGCTTTATTGGCCGAGGGAGCCGGCGTACAGCTTCCGGGTCAAGTGGCCAGCAGGACTAAGCCGCTTCTGGAGAACCAGAGCAGCGCACGGAAACGCCGTTTGCCTTCCCGCCGGAGCGGTACCTATTTACTTGCACTTGGACGTGCTTTCAAACTGCTAGGTTGGCAGGAGCAGGGACCGAGCAACGGGAGCTCACCCCGTCACGGGGATTCGAACCGCCAACCTGCTGATCGGCAAGCCCTAGGCTCTGTGGTTTAGACCACATTCTAGTCCTCATTAATCCCCACAACAGCCCTGTGAGGTAGGTTTAAGCTGCGAGGCAGTGACTGGCCTCCAAGGACACACAATGAACGTTCATGGCCGAGTGGGGATTCGAACCCAGGTCACCCCGGTCCTAGACTAACGCTCTAACCACTACACCACACGGCCTCTCCCCCATCCCTCTCCTCCGAGGCCTTTTCCGCCTTCCTCTTCTGACGGCATCTTTTCCCCGCAGCGGACTCTGTCTTCCTGGAGAGCGAAGAGCAGCGTGTGGAATACGTGTTGACCCAGCATGGCCAGATCTACCAGGGATCCAAGGATTACATCTACTCGATCCCATGGAACTTTGGCCAGGTGAGTTGCTTCCTTGCCCTCTGCTGCCCTTTTGCGAAGCACGTGGGGAGCAGGAAGAGGGGCACTTGGTTGAAAACAGGCACTCCAGGAGTGTAAATGGCACCACACCATCAGATACCTGAGCAGAGAACTTGCCTGTCTATCGTCCTCTTAGAGAATGTTCCACAAAATAGAAGAGAGGCAATATGAGGAGCTTCTGGCATATTCCCCCTGGGATGGAGAGAGAGAGCGCGCGCGCAAAAGGCTGAAATTCCTCAGCAAGCTTTGGAAAACAAGGACACAGAGGAGACTGAAGTGGATCAAAACATTTTCACAACACTCTGCAGCTCTTCAGGCAATGCTTTTCAAAACAGCTCTGTCTTCTCCCCAAAGGGCTCCGTCCTCTGATGCCCTATGCCAGAAGTGCTTCCATCATTCATCCATCTGTCTTTGCACCCACTCATAGATTACTTCGGCTCCTGTCATGCTGTCCACTTGCACAGAAATAATCCAATTCCCCCCAGAACCCGAAGTTTCCAAAGGCTTTGGGTGGATGACAGTAGATTTAAAAGCATATGGGGTGAGTTTTTAAAAATGTAACCCTTACAAAGGTTTAGAGAGGAGAGCGTGGAAAGGGACCTGCCAGAATGATTTTGTTTCCTTTCGGAGAGACAGGACAGATGAGAGAATGTGCTTCTTCGCAAAGCACCCGGTCAAACCGCCACAAGTTCCAGTGATGGCTGCCAACTCTGAAGGGTTTAAGTGGGGGTTAGATAAATTCATGGTGGATGTAGCTGTCTTTGGCTATAAATATACCAAGAAAAAAAGCACACCAAGAACTCTGGCCAATATAAGTTTCAAAAGTGGGAGTGGTCCCTACTTGCAAATCAATAGTAAATTGTAGCGATGATTCCAGCTGATGAAGATGAATACGTCGAAACAGGGCCCTGTCCCAGTTTCTGATTCATAACTGACTTCTGACTTCTGCTCAATGATTGAAACTAAGATCTTCACGTCAAATCTTACTGTGGACTAACATGAACTTATCTCTACTCATAAACTCTTATCTTTAATACTGTAACAAATTATTGTGTTATACATATCCTTATGAGTTTGAGTTTGTAATCTCTGTTTGAGTTTGTAATCCTTTACAGAATACATACTTTTGAATGGATTAGTTTTTGTTACAATTGACTATTGATTTGCGAGTAGGGACCACTCCCACTATTGAAACTTATATTGGCCTGAGTTCTTGGTGTGCTTTTTTCTTGGTATATTTAATAACAAGAATGCCAACTTATTTGGCTATAAATCACAATGTTCTACCTCCGGCGTCAGAGGCAGTGTGGGGATTGCAGACGGACAGAATTCTTGCACCCCGGTCTTGATAGCGGGCATCCTGTGGGCATTTTGTTGTCTGCTGGGAGAACAGAGTGTTTGACCAAATGGCCTGATCCAGCAGCAAAGCTCTTCTTATGTGCAGGCAGTTTAAACAGAACACTCCGAGTTATATGCTGTTATTTGATCATTTTGATGCCTATGGGAAAACCGCAGGCCGGATCCAGGCACGAGATTCCTCTCCTCTCCTGCAGCTTCCAGCAACTGGTATTCAGAAGCATTGCTTCCTTTGACCGTGGAAGCAGAGCAGAGCCATCCTGGCTAGGAGCCATCAGTTGTCTCCTCCTCCTCCATGAATTTGTCTAAGTCTTCTTTTAAAGCCATCTAGGTTGGTGGTCATGACTGCCTCCTGCAGCAGTGAGTTCCATAGTTTAACACTAGGCTGCATGAAGAAGGACTTCATTTTATCTGATGCCAATGGTCTTTTAAATATCACGGTCCTGTATACCTGAAGCAGTATCTCCACCCCCATAATTTAGCCCAGACAGTGAGGGCCTTCTGGCGGTTCCCTCACTGCGAGAAGCCAAGTTACAGGGAACCGGGCAGAGGGCCTTCTCGGTGGTGGTGCCCGCCCTGTGGAACACCCTCCCACCAGACGTCAAAGAGAAAAACAATGAACAGACTTTTAGAAGACATCTAAAGGCATCCCTGTTTAGGGAGCTTTTAATGTTTAATAGGTTATTGTATTTTAGTGTTTTGTTGGAAGCTGCCCAGAGTGGCTGGGGAAACCCAGCCAGGTGGGCGGGGTATAAATAATAATAATAATAATTAATGTTTTGTTTATTACGGTATTTTAATATTTTGTTGGAAGCCGCCCAGAGTGGCTGGGGAAGCCCAGCCAGATGGGCGGGGTATAAATAATAAATTATAATATTATTATTATTATCACAGAAATTCATCTCAAATGGGTGAAACCCAACAAGCTGAAACATACATACTGAGGACCTTTCTGGGCCAATGAAACAATCCCACACATTTCTGGATGTGAAATTGCTGACTCCAGAACTTGCAGGAACCAAGAGATAGAGATAGAGAGAGAGAGAGAGAGAGAGAGAGAGAGAGAAGGGGAGAGAGGCTATAGATCATTGAACCCAGTCAGGGTCAGGGGAAATTCTGCATAGCTTGCATAGCATTGCACACTGGAGTCCAGGTTTTGTATCCGTTAGCAGGAGCAACATGACCCACATGAAATTCTGTGCATGCAGAGTCATAAAAGATGGGCATCCCTTGGGTATGTGCAAATCTGGAGATGGTGTCCCCAAATGTTTGGTTTGGACTGTGGGAGGCAGGGCTGTCCAGCAACAGAGCTGCGTTGCTAAGGGGAAGCTGGTGGCCATCTAGATCAGGGGTCAGCAAACTTTTTCAGCTGAGGGCCGGTTCACTGTCCCTCAGACCTTGTGGGGGTCCGGACTATATTTTGAAAAAGAAAAAAAGAATGAATGAATTCCTATGCCCCACAAATAACCCAGAGATGCATTTTAAATAAAAGCACACCTTCTACTCATGTAAAAACACCAGGCAGGCCCCACAAATAACCCAGAGGTGCCTTTTAAATAAAAGCGCACATTTTACTCATGTAAAAATACACTGATTCCTGGACCGTCTGCGGGCCGGATTTAGAAGGCTATTGGGCCAGATCCGGCCCCCAGGCCTTAGTTTGCCTACCTATGATCTAGATCAGTGGTTCTCAACCTGCGGGTCGCCAGATGTTGTTGGACCGCAACTCCCATCATCCCTACCTAGCAAGGCCAGAGCTCAGGGGTGATGGGAGTTGTAGTCCAACAACATCTGGGGACCCACAGGTTGAGAACCGCTGATCTAGATAGTCTGGCTCTACCATTAAGCAGTTGCCTCAGGCGGCAGTTGCTGCAGAGTGGGCAGGAACAGGGAGGTATTTGAGCATATTTCACAGGGCCAGCTCTAACCTAGCCAGTGTCTCTTGGACGTAGCAAAGGATGCTGCCCACTTGACAGCGTTGAAATAAGATGCATCTGACCATCTGGTGGGCTTTGACCATGGGATAGGGAGAGAGGGAATATCTTGTCCTTTGCCTCAGGCAGCAAAATGTCTTGGGCAAGTCCTATTCTCCAGCCCTGAGGTAATAATGCAGGATACCATCCATCTCCAGATTCAAGCACATGATAAGGCGAGAACAGAAGGTCCTCAGCCAGAAACAGCCATGTTGCAGGCACTTTTCGAGCCAATCTAATGCCTTCCAGATGTTTTATGCTACAACTCCCATCAGTGCTGGCTAGAGAGCACCACGTTGGCAAAGGCTATTTTAGAGGATAGGATGGCAAGTTAAACCAAGATCTCAGAGTCCTGATGATCCTCACAGGGACATGTCACCTTGGGCAAAGCTGTACCCCACAGCCTCAGTTCCTCCGTTTGTGAAATGGAGCCAAAGATAACACACTTTGCACTAGCTTTTTGGGTTCCAGGTTGTTGTATTTGCTTCGGACGTGCGCCAGAAGCCGACAGGAACAAGTGCAAACATCTGACTGTACAAAACGTTCATCATCACATCACCCAGTCCAGCATTCCTGGAGCTCTCCAGTACAAACAGGAAGCAAATGCAGATATTTAAAGAGAATAAAAACAGATCAAATCCATATACAGCAAGCCTGCACATGAGGAGAAATCGGATAGTCTGAAACTGATCCGGATGACAGCCAAGGACATGAAAGGGAGGAAAACACCACAGCGTTGGGGCGAGATCTGCCTGGGGAATCAGCAGTGTGCTGGGCAATTCAATGGCTGTCAGGCTTGATCCAAAAGTCTCCTTTTGGGTATGGTGGCCCCATAGCCACACAAACAATTTCACAGAGCAAGGCAAGGGCAGGTGCTGAACATGGCTCCCTCTGCCCCAGATGCCCAATGGGAAACCCACAACCAGGAATCGAGCACCAGAACAACTCCTGTGGCTTCCAGCACCTGGTATTCATGCGCATTGCTGACTCCGAAGGCAGACCGTAACTCTCCGGGTCCTCTCCTGCATGAATTTGCCTAACTCTGGAGGGCAGCAGGTTGGGACTGTTCATTGAGTCAAACTGTGCTTTGGCTCACAGCTGCCCCCTCCCCTCCTTTCGCCTTTCTATGGGGCCAGAACAGGGGGGAAGCTGTTCCCTGGAGTTCTCCGTTCTTATCTGAGGCTTCAGCGAGCATCTAATCTCTGCTGCACAAACAGGCCAGAGGCATCCTGGCTGGCTGTCAGCCTGCCCAACTCCTCTTCCTGGACGGCGAGATAAAAACCGCTTCTGACGCCTCCAGACGAGGCAGCCAGTTGTTGCTCTCCGATGCCTGAGAAAGTCCTTCAAAGTGGCATCCACTGCCACTCTCGGTGCCAGACTCTCTTGCCCTCCTTGGGCTCTGCAGCCGTGAATAAAATGTGCATCAAGCTCTGCCAAAGACCTGGTCGTTGCGGCTTTGAGAAATGGGACCCCACTGAAGGATTTTCTCCAGGAGGCTCCTAGCCGGGAGGGCTCTACTCTGCCTCCACAGTCAGAAGCAGAGGTGCTTCTGAATCCCAGTTGCTGGAAACTGCAGGAGTGGAGAGGGGTCCTGTGTTCGAATCCTGATTGTGTATTTCCCAATAGAGGCATCTGATCTGGTTGGCCACAGTGAGAACAGAATGCTGGATGGAAAGAGCTGTTGAATACCTTCCAACATTTCTCCAATGAAAATTGTTGTTGTTTAGACGTTTAGTCGTGTCCGCCTCTTCGTGATCCCCTGGACCAGAGCACGCCAGGCCCTCCTGTCTTCCACTGCCTCCCGCAGTTTAGTCAAACTCATGCTGGTAGCTTCGAGAACACAGTCCCACCATCTCGTCCTCTGTCGTCCCCTTCTCCTTGCACCCTCCTTCTTTCCCAACATCAGGGTCTTTTCCAGGGAGTCTTCTCTTCTCATGAGGTGGCCAAAGTCTTGGAGCCTCAGCTTCAGGATCTGTCCTTCCAGTGAGCACTCAGGGCTGATTTCCTTCAGAATGGAGAGGTTTGATCTTCTTGCAGTCCATGGGACTCTCAAGAGTCTCCTCCAGCACCAGAATTCAAAATGAAAATAGGGGCATCCTATTTAACAACAACAACAACAGGTTGCCCCAGCCACTCTGGGCGGCTTTAAATATACAGTGGAACCTTGATTCCCGAACGGTTTAGTTGCCGAACAAATTTGCTCCCAAATGCTGCAAACCCGGAAGTAAGTGTTCCAGTTTGCAAATGTTTTTCAGAAGCCAAAACATCCTCCTGCAGCCAATCGGAAGCCATGCCTTGGTTTTCGATCTGTTTTGGGAAGCGAACGGACCCCTGGAACAGATTAAGTTTGAGAACCAAGGTACCACTGTATATATAAACATAACAAAACATTTAAAAACTTCCCTATGCCTTCAGATGTCTTCCAAAGGTTGTATAGTTATTTATCTCCTTGGCTTGCATAGCTCTATACCCTCCAATGGAACAGTCTCCCTCGGGAGGTTGTGAACTCTACTTCCCTAGAGCTTTCTAAGCAGAGGTTGGGTGGCCATCAGGCATGGAATCACAACTAAAACATCCTTTAGCTGGATGCTTGACTTCTGTTGATGGAGCCTAGAATAGCATTAGCTTTCTTTTTGTTCCCACGTCACAGCAATGATGGGCCTTGCCAGTCCCGCTTCCCCATCTTAGCTTGCTAATCGGAAGGTCGGCGGTTCAAATCCCCGTGATGGGGTGAGCTCCCATTGCTTTGTCCCTGCTCCTGCCAACCTAGCAGTTCGAAAGCACACCAGTGCAAGTAGATAAATAGGCACCGCTGTGGTGGGAAGGTAAACGGCGTTTCCGTGCGCTCTGGTTTCCATCACGGTGTTCCATTGTGCCAGAAGTGGTTTAGTCATGCTGGCCACATGACCTGGAAATCTGTCTGTGGACAAACCCCGGCTCCCTTGGCCTGAAAGTGAGATGAGCGCCACAACCCCAGAGTCGCCTTTGACCAGACTTAACCATCCAGGGGTCCTATACCTTTACTGCTCACCCCATCTGGCCAACCCTACTGAGCTCTCAGTAAGTGGAAATCCTAAACTGAGAGGGAAAAACTCCCTTTCAGCTCTTAGTCAGACCAGGCCAGTCTTTTCAATTTCTTCCTCGCAAGTGGGTTCAACCTCCAGCACATTCCAGGCGGCTTGGAGCAAAAGCTTCTGGGCTGAGCACCTTCCTCATGAATCAGCTTCCTCATCACCATCCCTGATGCCCTGCAGGTTCCATCCTGCCCGAGGAATCACGGAAAAATTCCCCAGGTTTGCAGGTCAATGTGGAAGTCCTGTGTGGTGCTGTAGAAATGAGGGGAACATACGAAGCAAGATAGGTATAGGTTGCTAATGGTTTAGGGGGCTGGATGGAGCCCCTGCTCTCAAGACTGGCTGCAGGCCAGCTGCATTTTCTTGAGCATTTTGGCAAAATGCAGGAAATAAGAAGTGTGTGTGTGTGCGTGCGCGCATGGATAGAGTGCCAAATGGAAGGTTTGCCTCCGGTAAACACATAGAAGAAGTCTATCAGTGTTTCCTAGCCATTATAGCTGCTGCAGTGGTTAGACTAGGATGTGGGAGATGCGGGTTCAAATCCCTACCAGCCATGAAGCTGACTGTGCGTCAGTTAGCGCCTCGCAGCATAGCCTACCTCACAAGGTTGCTGTTGCACACCATGCACACCAATTCGTGCTCCTTGCTGGAAAGGTGGCGTATAAATGTGATAAAAATGAAAATAGCTAATTGGCAGTGTATCAGTTGCTGCAGATCACATATGGAGAGAGTGGTCTTGAACCCAGGTTCTGCTTGTGGGGATTCCAATGAGCATCTGGTTAGCCACTGTCAGAAGAGGGTGCTGTCTTCAATGAGCCCCCGGCCTGATCAATTAATGGTGGGGGGGTAATTGACACATGATTGTTGGGTCATCATCCGGCAGACCCTTAGCCAGTCATGGTGGGGAGCTGATTCTGGCCCATCAGGACAGAATAAGGATGGTAAGCGAGAATTTAACCTGGAGTCAGGGCCTGGCGATGGAAGTAGCTAGCTGTTCTTACGGGTTTGCCAGGTAGGATGTTGTTGTTGTTGTTTAGTCGTTTAGTCGTGTCCGACTCTTTGTGACCCCCTGGACCAGAGCACGCCAGGCCCTTCTGTCTTCCACTGCCTCCCGCAGTCTGGTCAAACTCATGTTAGTAGCTTTGAGAACACTGTCCCACCATCTGGTCATCTGTCGTCCCCTTCTCCTTGTGCCCTCCATCTTTCCCAACATCAGGGTCTTTTCCAGGGATTCTTCTCTTCTCATGAGGTGGCCAAAGTCTTGGAGCCTCAGCTTCAGGATCTGTCCTTCCAGTGAGCACTCAGGGCTGATTTCCTTCAGAATGGAGAGGTTTGATCTTCTTGCAGTCCATGGGACTCTCAAGAGTCTCCTCCAGCACCAGAATTCAAAAGCATCCATTCTTCGGCGATCAGCCTTCTTTATGGCCCAGCTCTCACTTCCATACATCCAGGTAGGATAAAGCTGTCCAATTCCCTCAGGTGGAGGGAAAGTATCCCGCAAAGGGCTAGAGGTGCTTTTGCAGGAAAAGGAAAAGTGGATGGTCCTTAGCTGCTACTCCTGTGTTATTGCAGGGCGATGACACTTTGGACCCCTTCCAACTCTACAATTCTATGATTCGAGGAAGAAATTGTTTTCATATAAACAGTTCTGTAGTGGAGGATTGCAAGCACAGTTCGTGTTTAAACCTGAACTGGCATTTCAGACAGAAAATCAGTACTGTGGCTTTAATGCTGAACCAGTCACGCTTTACCCCGCTCTAAGCGTTTAATAAAAACACCGTTTTTGTTTCCATTGTGCCTCGGCTCTGATTTACACCTAGTGCAGGGAATGAGTTGTCACAGGGGCCCCCCAGTATCAAGAGTCCTTGCTGTGGGTTTAAATGATACGTTGCCACCTATAGAGAATCCCCGAATTCTCGGTTGTTAGGGAAGCAACCAGGGTTAAATTCCCTTGGACTCTGTCCTGTTGCCCTGGTCCCATCTTCCTTGAGGGAGGGTGTCTTGGCAAAGAAAAAGGAGCTAGCTGTGTGTGTGTGTGTGTGTGTGTGTGTGAGAGAGAGAGAGAGAGAGAGAGAGAGAGAGAGAGAGAGAGACTATGCCATGAACTCAGTGGGACAATTAGCCTGATAATCACAGGCGTTAAGAGAGCTTTTAAAACGCAGATTACCAACCCAATGGGCATGTGGAGTTGCTGAGATCTGTGCAGCAACACACAGCTTTGGATTTTAATCAATCCGTAACCATGCTCAGCTTCCCTCCTTATTTCCCTCTGCCTTACCAGAAAGGAAAACTCTCCTCAAAGCAGAGAAAATGTGTTGCACTCAGATGTCTTCAGGTTTTTCTTGGACTCCACGGCTAATATATGTCTTTGACGTGTGCACCCGCGTTTGGACAGGTTTGTTTGTCCCCCTCCACTTGGGGCCTGAAAAACACACCCCTTCCCTGATTTTGATGGCTGACTTGATGGACCTTGAGCTGGATTCAGGGAGGTGTTTGTCGTGTTCTTTTTTCCTTTTTAAAAAAATAATTTTTATTTAATTTTACAAGTGTAGAATTATGACAATACAAAATACATATCCATATTTAGAGATTTCTCTGAATCTCCAGACTTCCCACCCTCCACTCCGTGGCTCCTACGGTCAACCTTTTCAACTGCATATTCTTTCCTAATCCATATTTTATATCTCTCCAAACGGTCCATGGTATTTTGTTTGTGGTGTTCTTCATCCGCACGATGCAGGAAGATGTGCGGCAGGCATCCTTTGGCTAAGATGGGTCCTTTCCCCCCACAGTAAATAGATGTGGGACAGTGGTGGGGATTTTGGTAGTGGCCAGGAAGGTTTAACCCCCTCCTCTCCATATGGCACAGCTGTAATACCGATTGTGGCTATTTAGAGAGAGAGAGAGTTAGAGGTGCAGACTGCCATGATCCAGCGTCTTGACTAGTTTGCTTTATTCCTGATTTATTGCAGCTCAGGGAAATGAGAAAAACCTGGGTGCCAGAGAGCCAGTGTGGTGTAGTGGTTAAGAGCGGTAGATTTGTAATCTGGGGAACCTGGTTCACGTCTCCACTCCTCCACCTGCAGCTGCTGGGTGACCTTGGGCCAGTCACACTTCTTTGAAGTCTCTCAGCCCCACTCACCTCACAGAGTGTTTGTTGTGGGGGAGGAAGGGAAAGGAGAATGTTAGCTGCTTTGAGACTCCTTGGGTAGTGATAAAGCGGGATATCAAATCCAAACTCTTCTTCTTCTTCTTCTTCTTCTTCTTCTTCTTCTTCTTCTTTTTCATTTGGAACTGTCTGACAGCACTGGCTACCCATTAGTTTTTGGGCCCAATTTTGACCTTTAAAGCCTTATGCAGCTCACGATGGCCTCTCCTCCTATTCACCAACCCAGACCCTGTGATCATCATCTGAAGCCCTTCTTTGTTTGCCTATTCAACAAGAGGCCCGGAGCGCGGCAAGATGAGAACGGGGCCTTTTCAGTGGTGGCTCCCTGCTTGTGGAATGCTCTCCCCAGGGAGGCTCGCCTGGTGCCATCATCATATATCTTCAACCACCAGGGAAATCATTCCTCTTTAACCAGGCCTTTGGCTTTAAACTATGCGCTTTTAGAGTTGGTGAGATGTTTTAATGTAACCGCCCTTGGTTTAATGCATGTATGTGGGGTTTGTTGGTGCTCTTTCACTTTTTGTAAGTTGCCGTAATGATGATGATGATGATGTCTTCTTCTTATGCCTTCCTTCTCCTTCTGGATTAGTTTGAAGATGAAATTCTGGACATCTGCCTCCAGCTGTTGGACACCAACCCCAAGTTCCTCCGAAACCAGGATAAGGACTGCTCCCGACGCAACAGCCCTGTCTATATCAGCAGGGTAGTGAGTGCCATGGTGAGTTTGGAGCAAGAGGGCAGGCCCTCCACGTGGGTGACCTCCTCAGCTTCTGCCCAGTCCTAAGGAGATGCTCGCGTTGTCTTCTGCCAGCCCCACAGAGAGCCGAGTCCTCCTCACACACTCGGGGGCTTTCCTGCAAAGCTGAGATGGCCCTAACTCCTGCCCACGGGCTGGTTGCAGAATAAGATAACACGGAATTATGTGTTAGGGGACATTTGCGTTCTGAAACGTGTATCAGAGATGCTGCTGCCTTTGTCTTACTTCAGGTAATTCGTTCTACAAGTTTGTCAGCAGGGCTTAGGAGTCCTTCGCCTCCCAGGTTTTGAACCTTAAAATTGGGGTGCGAACATCATGCCCTTTTAAATCTCAGAATCCTAGCGTTGGAAGGGACCACGAGGCCCATCTAGTCCAGCCCCCTGCAATGCCAAAATGCTATTTATTTCTTTATGGCTTTTGCACGACTCCCCATAAGACAAGCTTCTCTGGGCGGCATACAAAGGATAAGAAAAATTATGCAATTATGAAGGTGTAACATCGAAAAGAAATACAGTCGTACCTTGGAAGTTGAACAGAATCTGTTCTGGAAGTCCGTTCGACTTCCAAAACGTTTGGAAACCAAAGTGTGGCTTCTGATTGGCTGCAGGAAGCTCCTGCAGCCAATCGGAAGCCGTGGAATCCTGTTGGACATTTGAGTTCCAAAAGAATGTTCACAAACTGGAACAATCACTTCCGGGTTTACAGCGTTCAGGAGCCAAAATGCCTGAGTTCCAGGGCCTTCGGGATCCAGGGTCGTCTTTTTTGGCAATCACTCGTAGCTGAGTAAGATTGTCTTCCATAAACACGGTTTTAACAACGAGTCCGTAAGTGACTGTGGAGGCCAATTCTGGATCCACACGTCCTTCCACAGTGGGGACATTGGTTTCTGGGTGGGAGTTGATCATGGTGTGGATTAGCCAAGCGTGCTTTCCTCTTAGCACGTTTCTCCCTTGCGTCCTGAGTTCGAGCGTCTTCAAAGCCCACGACACCTTTGGTAAAGGCTGTTCTCCAACTGGAGCACTCACAGGCCAGTGTTTCCTAATTGTTGGTGTTTATACTACTTTTTTTATAGATTTGCCTTGAGAGAGTCTTTAAACCTCTTTTGTTGACCACCGGCATTACGCTTTCCATTTTGAAGTTCAGGATAGAGTAGTTGCTTTGGAAGATGATCATCAGGCAATCGCACAACATGGCCAGTGCAACGAAGTTGATGTTGAAGAATCATTGCTTCAACATTGGTGATCTTTGCTTCTTCCAGTACACTGATATTAGTTTGCCTGTCTTCCAAAGTGATGTGTAAAACTTATCGGGATCCAGGGTACAACTATAAAGACAATAAAAGCAGAGCTCACAGCACCATCAAATAAATGCAGGTTTTAAAAAATGGCTCTGTAAGTTGTTTTGAAGATGAACAGGGGGAAAGACCACAAAATGGTGTCAGGCAGGCCTCCCTGGGAAGGATATTCCATAACTGGGGTGCCCACTGCATTTCATTCAGTAGAGGCACCCAGACTGGGACCTCCAAAGAGGGCCTCAGGCTTTGGGCAGATAAATAGGATCCCTTGGCTCCAGGCTGTTTTGCACCTGGACTCAAGAAACCCCACCCAATCTGTTCAAATGGTTCCTTCATCTCCTGAGCCACCTGTCTACATCCTCCTCCTCTTGTTGCGTCTTGGGCTGCAGGTGAACTGCAACGATGACCAAGGCATCCTGTTTGGACGCTGGGACAACCAGTATGACGATGGCGTGAGCCCCATGGCCTGGAACGGGAGTGTGGACATCCTCCAGAGGTGGCAGAAATATGGGTGCCAGCCGGTCCGGTACGGGCAGTGCTGGGTCTTTGCCGCTGTGGCCTGCACAGGTGAGGGGTCCTCAGTGAGGAAGCAGAAAGGGGCTGCCTCCTTGGCTCACCCCCATCACAAACAGCATTTGGGGAATACCATGGCTCTGTTGGTTTCTGTGTGTTGCCTCTGTGCAGTGCCCTTGGAGTCACAGGACTCTGTTTACATTCCTGAGATTCCAGACTGTTGGAAGTCTCATGGAAGACAGGAGATGGATGTGATGTTTACTGGTTTCCTGTTCCTTTATTTTCGGTTGCTCTCTGCTCTCACAGAGAGACGATGTATTTCTTTTCTGTCTGCGTAGCTTAGTAATAAAACTCTTAGCATGTAGCTCATATTTCTCGTCCTTCCCTGTGCTGGATACTCTGCGTAATGGGGAAACGTGCTTGGAGCCTTATCAGAGGCTCAGGTCATTAATCACATCGGAGGCGATTTCAGAGGACTCGACTGGAGGAGTCGCTCGGTCAAACGCAAGTCCGACAGGCTCCTCCATGTCAAAACACACAAGCTCTCTTTTTTAAGTGTGTTGGGGGTTCTGGTATATGCTACAGCTCCCTGTTCCACTGTTCTCTGTAGCAGGGGGCCGTTTCCTCACCCTATCCATGGGGGACCATGCCCAATGCCCCCTCCCAGGGCACACCAGAGGCAAACTAATAATAATAGAATGTGTTGGGGGGGGGGCTATTGTTTTGTTGCTTTTTGTTGCTTTGGCTTTAGCTATTTATTTGTATTTTTATCTTGTGAATGCCCTAAGATTTTCTGACGAAGGGCTATATATAAATCTAATAAATAATTAAAATAAAATAATAAACTTGGGCTTGGGTATCCTCCCTTTGGGAACGAGGCAGCTAGTTCTGCCTTTGTCTTCTTTGCTTGTTAATATTTCACTGTAGGACCGGAATGATTGCAGATGCAAGTATATCTGTATTGCCTTGCATGCAGTTGTGTGGATTTTTAAAGTCAGCTGTAGGAGCGAGTGTCTCCCTCATTTGGGAGCTTGGTGGGTCTGTTGGGCGTGTTCCACGGATGGTTCACCTCTTCCTCTTCTGCCCCCCTCTCTTCCCAGTGCTGAGGTCCCTGGGGATCCCCACGCGCGTGGTCACGAACTACAACTCTGCCCACGACACCAACGGCAACTTGGTCATAGAGCAGTATTTGGATGAGAACGGGAAGCTGCAGCAGGGCAACCGGGAGCTCATCTGGTGAGTGGAGGTCCGGTGGGTGTTTGGGACTCCCCAAAAATGCATGCAGCATCTTGGACCTGTCAGTCTGATAGCTTTGCCTAACTATGAGGTGCTGGGCTCTGTCCATGAAGGAACTTTAGGGTTCCTGGTGCAGCTAGCAGGGAAGCAGCAACTGAATCAACAACAACAGCTTCCTTGGAGGTTTTTAAGCGGAGGTTGGACAGCCATCTGTCAGGGATGCTTTCAGCTGAGATTCCTGCATTGCAGGGGTTGGACTAGATGATCCCTGGCAATCCCTTCCAACCCTACCGTACTGTTATTCTGATTAAGAATAACTTTTTGATGGTGGAATAGACTCATTTGGAAGGTGGTGCGCTCTCCTTTCTTTGAGGTTTTTCAACAGAGGCTGGAGGGCTGTCCATCTGGCATTCTTTAGTTGTGATTCCTGTATTGCATGAACTTTGGGGTCCCTTCCCATTCTATAATTCCATGATTCTCATTATAGCAGTTAATTTTGCCAAAATCAAATATTCATTTAGTTTACAAATCCATTCCTCCTTTGTGGGTATAGTTTGTGACTTCCACCTAGCAGCAATCACTATTCTAGCAGCTGTACTTGCATTAAGGAAAATTCTCTCCCCCCCCCCCCCCCGTGGTATCTCTTCATCTATCAATCCAAGGAGATATGTCTCTGGTTTCTTTGTTATTGATATTTTCAACATCTTCTTTAGTTCTTCATGTACTAATACCCAAAATTTCTTAATTTCCTCACACTTTCACCACATATGTATTATTGTTCCTATTTCTCCACCACATCTCCACCACAGGTTGGATTTCAATTTATATATCTTTGCCAACTTAACTGGCAAAATTAACTGCTATAATAAGAAATCAGTCAAATCAAAAATTTAAAAAGGAGTGGAAATGTTTTGATGAATATATGGCAAAATATTGCTCAAAAAAAGATACGCTAACATGCCTAGATTAAAATGTGAAGTACTGGATGGAAGAAAAATTAGTAAGGAAAGATAATAAGAATATATAGATGATTTGAGAAGATTGTAGAATGCAAAGATTATTGTAAATTGTATAATGTGGAGGAAATCGAGTGGGGGCGGAGGGAAGTGGAAGGAAGGAGAAAAGGATAATATGATGGATTGAGGAAATAGAAATGTAATGGGGAGGAAATGGTGTTGGCTTTGGTACATCTGTATTGTAATGCAATATGTGAAAACCAAGAAAAAATAATAATAATATATTAAATTAAACATAATTCTACGATTCTCCTGTTGTCGCCTCAAGTCAAAGCTGTTGTGCTGCTGGAAGCAGGCAGACATCAGCAAAGTTTGCATTTCAGGCATTGATAGGATTTCTCTGCTTACGAGGTGCCTGATACTTGAGCATCCCATAACGGTTTTCAAGCATCTTGCAGAGCGAGGGTGCCTGGCACTCCTCAGGAACGCCTAGGAGAGAAATTCCGTGGGGGGAGCTGAGAATTTTCCAGTTGGGCCTGTGCCAAACGCCTCTGGAATGCGAGGGTCCTTTGGAGAAATGCAGAGTGTACCTCTCTTATCGGACTTCGCTCCCTCCCTCCCCCTTTTCTCCGCCTCCCACAGGAATTATCACTGCTGGAACGAATCCTGGATGACCCGCCCAGATCTTGCAGGCGGGTATGATGGCTGGCAGGCTTTGGACCCAACTCCCCAGGAAAAAAGCGAAGGTATCTCTGCCCAGAGCGCCAGCCAATAGCCTCCTCCTCCATCCTAGCACCCTGCAGAGGTTTAGGGCTACAGCTCTCAGCCCCATAGGCAGGCCCCAAAGGATTTGGGCTGGGAGGAGGTTGTCTGTGTTGCTTAACTGAAGGACGGGGTAGAACTTTAATAGGAAAAAGGAATGGTGCCTGATGGCAACGATGACAATCGCTTATTACAGATAGGCACGTATCTATATGTACGCCGAGCCCGATACCCAATTTCCTATCATCACTTTGGCTGGGAGGTTCTGCAGAGTTGGGAATGGAGGCAATTAAGGGACAAAGAAAAGAGGCTTGATTATGCCCCTAACGCTCCATACAGTGGGACCTTGGTTCTCAAACGTCTTGGTACTCAAACAACTTGGAACCCAAACACTGCAAACCCGGAAGTAAGTGTTCCGGTTTGCGAACTTTTTTTGGAAGCCAAATGTGCTCCATTTTGAGTGCCACACTTTCATTTTGAGTGTTACGCTGAGGTCTGTCTGCTTTTGCTATTTATTTTGCGTTTTTGTTTTTGCGGCTCTTTTTTGTTTTGTTTTTGTGACTGTGTGGAACCGAGTTCAGTTACTGATTGATTGATTGTGTGACTGCAGTACATTGTTTATTGCTTTCATTTTATGGATCAATGGTCTCGTTAGATACAGTAGTAAAATTCATGTTAAATGGCTGTTTTAGGGGTTGTTTTTAAAAGTCTGGAATGGATTATTTTTATATATATAATTTTTTCATTAGTTTTCAACATATCATTTTCAACAATAATTAAACGCAGCCAGTGTACGTTTTAATATTCCTCTGGTCGATGGCTTCTTTCTCCTTGCAGGAGTCTACTGCTGTGGCCCCACTCCGGTCCGAGCTGTCAAGGAAGGAGACCTGAAGCTGAAGTACGACGTGAAGTTTGTCTTCGCCGAGGTCAACGCAGACGTGGCCTATTTGATGCTGCAGAGTGACATGTCTCGGAAAAGGACCACGTACTCCTCTCTGGTGGGAAAGCACATCACCACCAAGAGCGTGGGCAGGGATGCCAAGGAGGACATCACCCACAACTACAAGTACCCAGAAGGTACCCAGAGCATCTCTGGGTTGTATATAAGTGGGAGGCAGGGAGGGAGGGAGGGAGGAAAGGAGGGAGGGAATACTTGTTGTTGTTGTTTAGTTGTTTAGTCGTGTCCACCTCTTTGTGACTCCCTAGACCACAGCACGCCAGGCACTCCTGTCTTCCACTGCCTCCCGCAGTTTGGTCCAACTCATGCTGGTAGCTTCGAGAACACTGTCCCACCATCTCGTCCTCTGTTGTCCCCTTCTCCTTGTGCCCTCCATCTTTCCCAGCATCAGGGTCTTTTCCAGGGAGTCTTCTCTTCTCATGAGGTGGCCAAAGTATTGGAGCCTCAGCTTCAGGATCTGTCCTTCCAGTGAGCACTCAGGGCTGATTTCCTTCAGAATGGAGAGGTTGGATCTTCTTGCAGTCCATGGGACTCTCAAGAGTCTCTTCCAGCACCATACTAGAGGGAATACTAGATTCAGGGAAATCTATGCCTACGGAAGTCATTTTCCAAACTTTCAATAATGACAAAGATTCATGTCTCTGAATGTAAGGACGAGGATTCACATCAGTTTCCTAAACTTCTGTATTTATTTATAAAAACATTTATAGACCGCTGTATCATTAAAAAAAAGTCAAAGCGGTTTACAACCAAAATACACAAAGCCACACACAGTACAAACCATACCTTTTAAAAATATTCTTTTTAATGGACATCAAATAAGATAAATAAATAAATAAAAATCCTTCCAGTAGCACCTTAGAGACCAACTAAGTTAGTTATTGGTATGAGCTTTTGTGTGCATGCACATTTGGTATCTGATACCAATAACTGGGACCTCTAAACTACAGTTATTCATGGACCTTAAGGTCCTCTGCGGGGCAGACCACGAGAGGCGGTCCTGTAGGTACCTTAGTTGTTCCTGCTTCCATTTTTGCAGACTCAGAGGAGGAGAGGTCCGTCTTTGAGAAGGCGAAGCACCAGAAGGTCTACCCGCCATCAGAAGAGGGCTTGAAAGTCAAAATCAAGGCCTCTGAAGGGATGAACAACGGGTGCGACTTTGACGTCTTTGCCGTCATCAACAACAACACGGACACCGAGCGGCGATGCCGGCTTATGTTTGGCGCCCGGACTGTCACCTACAATGGGACGCTGGGGCCAGAATGCGGGAGCAAAGACCTGCTCAACGTCAACCTGGAGCCCTACGCAGGTAAAGACAGATGAGAGCAGGTGAACTATCTACCTTCTCCATCCCCTAATCATATGGACCCATGAAGCTCCCTTGTTGTTGTTTAGTCATTTAGTCGTGTCCGACTCTTCGTGACCCCCTGGACCAGAGCATGCCAGGCCCTCCTGTCTTCCACTGCCTCCTGCAGTTTGGTCAAACTCATGCTGGTAGCTTCGAGAACACTGTCCCACCATCTCATCCTCTGTCGTCCCCTTCTCCTTGTGCCCTCCATCTTTCCCAACATCAGGGTCTTTTCCAGGGAGTCTTCTCTTCTCATGAAGTGGCCAAAGTATTGGGAGCCTCAGCTTCAGGATCTGTCCTTCCAGTGAGCACTCAGGGCTGATTTCCCTCAGAATGGATCGGTTTGATCTTCTTGCAGTCCATGGGACTCTCAAGAGTCTCCTCCAGCACCAGAATTCAAAAGCATCCATTCAGGAATCTGGTGGGGTGGAGCCTGAACCATTTCCCTCCCTATATGGGGGTCCCCATGAATCTCCCCCTCCGAGTTGTGGGGCTGGGGAAAGAGGGAGCAACCCCTGGCCCTGAGAGCATGGCTTGGATCCCAGGAGTCTGGAAGCAGAGCAGCTGCTGCTGCACTTTCAGCTTTGAGTAGAACAGCAACGACTGGGTGTTGTGCTGTTGCTCCATTCTTTCTCTGGAGGCAGCAGACAGAGGATTTGCAGCAAGCCTCTTGCTGAGCAGGACCCAGCGGCCTTTGCTCCCCTCTCCAGTCCCTTCCTGGGCTGCAAGCTTTCCCTTTCCTCCCCTGCCCCTCTGTTGCTCCACTTCTCCTCCAGTTGAGATGGCTTCCCTTCAGCCCAGCTGTTCCCCATCAGTCTGTGACCTCCTTGCGCCCCCAGCTCCACTTCTCCTTGTTTAGCATTCCTGCTGCGCTTCAGGAGTGACGGAATGGAAATGATCTGCATCAAGCACCCAGACCTCCTCCTCCTCTTCCTCCTCCTCCTCCTCCTCCTCCTTCCCCTTCTCCTTCTCCTTCTTGCAGCAGGAAGCGCTGATGGGGAGCGGCTGCCAGGGCATCCCTATCTCCTAGCTGCAACATCACCTCCACCACAGCAGACATCTCCAGATGTTGGAGAGGCTTTCTTTGCCCAGGGCAGCGCCTAAATCTTTGGCGTTGCACTTTTAGCCCTCCGCATCTCTGGTTAGAGCAGGTGGTTAGGACCCTCTAGATCAGCGGTTCTCAACCTGTGGGTCCCCAGATGTTGTTGGACTACAACTCCCATCATCCCTGAGCTCTGGCCTTGCTAGCTAGGGGTGATGGGAGTTGTAGTTCAACAACATCTAGGGACCCACAGGTTGAGAAAGGCCGCTCTAGATCATGGGTAGGCAAAGTAAGGCCCGGGGGCCAGATCTGGCCCAATCACCTTCTCAATCCAGCCCGCGGATGTTCCAGGAATCAGCATGTTTTCACATGAGTAGAATGTGTCCTTATATTTAAAATGCATCTCTGGGTTATTTGTGGGGCCTGTCTCGTGTTTTTACATGAGTAGAAGGTGTGCTTTTATTTAAAGTGTGTCTCTGGGTTATTTGTGGGGCATAGGAATTTGTGTATTTATTATTATTTTTCAAAATATAGTCCGGCCCCCCACAAGGTCTGTGGGACAGTGGACCGGACCCCTGCTGAAAAAGTTTGCTGGCCCCTGCTCTAGATCTTCTTGGACTACAACTTCCATCCTCCTTCCTAGCCATTGGCCATGCTAGGTGCTGGGCCTGCTGGGATTTGGAGTCCTCCCATGTCTGGGGGGTCCACAGGGCTGCCACCCCTGAGCAAGGCTGGAGGGAGCCTCTCTTTCTCAGCTGGCAGCCTGAGACATCTCTTGGCAACCCCACCAGGCCATCCTAGGATGGAATTGGAGAGGGTGGCATCGTCTCCTGGTTTCGAGCAGACACACAAATGCTTGTGCATTCTTGTGAGCTGCTTGTCACTTGGCTCACTCCTCTTGGCTCCCGTCCTGTGGATTTTGGCACGAGGGCCTGGATTCACATCCTGAGGACCCAGAGTAAGTGGAAGGGGATCATTGCACTCTGAGCAGGCAATTTCCTGCCCTTTGTGGCTCCTCCAAGTGAGCAGCTGCTATTCCTTTCAGCCCATTTATATAACAGCACCTGAAAGGCGGGGTTTGGGTGGTGGGTTTCAAGCAAACAATGGGCCTTGCAGTGCTGGGGCTGGCGGAGTCAGGTTCCTTCCAAACTGCATACCTTCGCAGAGGCAAAACCGCAGAGATAAACAGCCCTTCCGGAGATGGAGACTGGCGTGAGGCTTGGCTCCCTGCCCCAGGGGAGAGAGAAGTGCTTGTTTGCTTTGAACCCGGACCAAGATTGTCACTGTGCATTCATGCAGAGGGTGTGTCAGCACAGGAGTTTTCGCTGGCCTCCTGGTGCCTGGGACTGTGGGGCTAAGAATCAAGGCGGTGGGTGTTCTTTGATTGGAACTTATTAAGCAGAGGTGGCCATCTGTCAGGGATCCTTTAGCTGTGATTTTTGCATTGCAGGGGGTTGGACTGGATGACCTTTAGGTTCCCCCAACTCTGTAATCCCATGAAACAGCTGGACTGGTTCTTCAAATTGGTGGATCTGGCTGGGCACTGAGTGACACTCCGGCGGGAGTATGACCTCACCTTCTCTTTCGTAGAACCATAGAACTGTCTAGTGGGACTCACAAAACGCCTGACAGATGGCCCTCCAACCTCTGCTGTGAAATCTCCAAGGAGGGAAAGTCCGCCACCTCTCGAGGGAGTCTGTTCCACTATTGAACAGCTCTTACTGTTGAAGTTCCTCCTCATGTTTAGTCAGAATCTCCTTTTTCGTCATTTGAAGCCATTGGTTCAAGTTCTGCCCTCCAGAGCAGGAGAAAACAAGTTGGTTCCATCTTCCATGGGACAGCCCTTGAGATATTTGAAAATGGCTATCGTATCCCCTCTAAGCTTTTCCTTCTCCAGGCTAAAATACCCACCTCCACGGGGCATGTTCAACAGTGCCTAGGAGAGGCAGAGGGGCCCTTTACTAAGGAAGAACCAGCTGCATTTTTCCTCCTCCCTCCAGATACCTTTTCCTTTTGTGCCATGTGCCTTTTAGATCATAAGCAGGGATGTTCTGTGAACATTTGCAGACAGTGCAGAGAGCCTTTTTTCTGGCTGAAGAGCAAGGTGAAAATGCTACAAATAAAAGAGGCAGGCTCTATCTCGTTCAGCTCCCTCTCGCCCCCACCCCCGCACCCATGGTCAGTCAGATTGCCCCAGGAAGCCCCTAAACAAACCATGCAAGCCAGAACCTTCCCCCCCCCCTCCTTCTCTTGCATTAAGAAAGCCTTTCCACCCTGGGGGCTTCCTCTTGCTTCAGCTGGCAGGCCTAGGCCAGGATGCTCATTTGCATTACAAATGCCTTCCCCCAGTTCCAGACAAACAGCAAGAATTTGGAGGTGAGCAGCAAGGGAGGCTAGCTTCCTGGGTGAAAGCACCCACAGCCTGAGCACCCGCAGGTTGACAGCCATTTGGAAGGGAATGCAGAGACACGTTGAGGCGAACCGCAGGCTGTCGTTCAGCGCCCAAGACTGCTCAGGCAGAAATCCACCTTAGGGTCATTGATGGAGCATCGATGTAAGGACCAGTGGTGAGAGCCACACAGACCCCTAAGAAGCTGTGACAATCTGGGTCGCTTGAGCTTCCAAGTTGTCCTGAGGCTCCGTCTTGCTGGATATCTCCAAGCTGTGGGATTTGGGGGGTATTCCCACCCTTTGGGGACCCCCAAAGCCTCTATGCTTGCAGAGGTTAAAACCCGGGCTGCTCCCAGGCTGCTGCTATTTTGCAAACAGGGCTTGGATCTTGTCCCAAATAACTCAGGTTTGCTGTTCCAGTGGATTCGGTGCTTTGGCACAACAAGCCCATTTTCCTTTAAAAAATGACCCTTTGCGGTGAGGAAATTAATGGGGAAATTCAGCGTGGGAAAACAATGGCTTGGTACAGCGCAGTTTAACCTCCCTTCAAATAGGTCGGGATGGCAGCTCAGTTAAACCGGTTATCTGGGAGTGACCTTGGCCAGCTCACGGGTCCTCTTTGGAAAGACATGATAGAAACTTATAAAATTACTCTCGGCACGGGGAAACTGGATCGAGAAGAGTTTTCCTCCCTCTCTGCTAACGCTGGAACTCATGAACAGCCAGTGAAGCTGAATGTTGGAAGGTTCAGAACAGTTAAAAGAAAGTCCCTTTTCATGCAGCAGAGAGTTGAACTATGGAACTCCTTGCCACAGGAGACAGTGATGGCTGTTAACCTAGATGGCTTTAAAAGAGGACTGGATAAATTCATGGAGGAGAAAGCTATCAATGGATATTGGCCATGCTTCTCCTTCACAGCTGGAGTCAGCCATGCTTCTGAATGCCAGGAGCGTTGCTCTTATGGTCAGGTCCCGCTTGTGGGTTTCCCATAATGGGCATCTGGTCAGTCACTGCGAGAGCAGGATGCAAGACTGGATGGGACACTGGCCTGATCCAGCAGGCCCTTCTTATACAGTGGTACCTCTGGATGCGAACGGGATCCGTTCCGGAGCCCCATTCACATCCTGAGTAGAACGTAAGACGCAACTGTGTGTCTGCGCGTGCGCGGGTCGCATTTTGCCGCTTCGTGATGTCATTTTGAGCGTCCGCGCATGCGTGAGCAGCGAAACCCAGAAATAACACGCTCCGTTACTTCTGGGTCGCCGCAGAGCGTAACTTGAAAACGCTCAACCTGAAGCACATTTAACCCGAGGTATGACTGTATTCTTTACTCCCGGGGGAATTGTCCAAATGCCATCTCCATGTCAGAAAGCATTAAATGCTGTGTCCTCTTTGCATCCTATTAATACCCCAGAGTTTTAGTCCTCTCCAGGTTTTCCATTTCAGCTGCAATTCTGAATTAAAGAATCAGAAAGCTGAAGAAGCAAGGCATGGGAACTACAGCAGAAGAAGCAAACTTTCTATTTCTCTCTCTCTCTCTCTCTCTCTCTCTCTCTCTCTGCATTCTTTCATTTAGAAATGACATGTTTTCTTCCAGAGCTGGGAAGGAATCTGATATGCTTTGATCCAACACTTTCTGATGGCACTGTAGAGTTTTACGTGCACCAGAAACCTTTTACAAGTGCAACTTCCACTTGACCCGCCTGCGTTAACTGGGCCTTATCTTAAAGACCCTTGCCGTTAGGCAGACTTTGGAAGAGATTTAAAAACAAAAACCCACAAGATCCCTAAAGGAGGAAACTCTGCAAGACTTAGAGGCAGAGGCCAAGTGTAAACCCAGAGTCTTGGCCAAATGCATCCTAGGGCAGCTAATTTGCGTCTGGCCCCCTGCTGGACACAGCTGGGTTTGGGGAGCCATCATGGCTTTGAAGTGCACCCGGATGTCTATTGCATTGAGGGCCAAAGAGAGATCAGGGCAGGTGCACGGCTGTCACTCAACGCAGCAGCAGGAGACCCACATCCATGCCTCTCCCCAAATTACTGGGCGAAATAGCAGACATGCAACAGGAAATGGTTAGAGGGACGCGGGTGGCACTGTGGGTTAAACTACAGAGCCTAGGGCTTGCCGCTCAGAAGGTTGGTGGTTCGAATCCCCGTGACGGGGTGAGCTCCCGTTGCTCGGTCCCAGCTCCTGCCAACCTAGCAGTTCGAAAGCACGTCAAAGTGCAAGTAGATAAATAGGTACCGCTCCGGCAGGAAGGTAAACGACGTTTCCGTGCGCTGCTCTGGTTCGCCAGAAGTGGCTTAGCCATGCTGGCCACATGACCCGGAAGCTGTACTCTGGCTCCCTCGGCCAGTAAAGCGAGATGAGCGCCGCAACCCCAGAATCGGCCACGACTGGACCTAATGGTCAGAGGTCCCTCTACCTAACAGGAAATGGTTAAACTCACCATCTTCCTACTAGGTGGGCAGAGCAGGAAGGGCCACAGCTCAGTGGGAGAGCACCTGTTTTGCATGCAGAAGGTTCCTGGTTCAATCCCCAACATCTCCAGACAGGGCTGGGGAAAATGACTAAGCCATGAAAGCCAGGAGGGCTGCTGCCAGTCAGTGTAGACAATACTAAACTCGGTGGGCCATTGGACTGGCTCAGTAGAGGGCAACATTCTATGTTTGGAGGGGGAATGGGAGAGCTCATGAGTGAGAAATCGGGCCCTCAAATTTCAGCATCACCCTGTGCGGTGCTAAAATTCAGCACCCCCGCTACCCTAAAACTGCCCCCGTGACTGCATATGACCTCCAGGGTCAGGGTTCAACATGCTTCGGAGAACATCAGCCCGAGAGGGTGATGGCCCTCATCTCCCGCTTGTGGGTCTCCCAGAGACATCTGGTGGTCCACAGTGAGACAAAGGATGCTGGCTGAGGTAGACTAATGGCATAGGGAACCTTCGGGCAGCCTGATGTCACTGGATTTCAGCTCTCAGAAGCCCCAGCAAGCACAGCCAATGGTCAAGGATGATGGGAGCTGTAGGTCAGCAAAATCTGGAAGGCCAGAGGTTCCCCACACCTGAGAGAGGCTCTCCCTATGTTCTGAAGGAGATATGAGGCTGATGCCCTCAACCCAAGTGCATATGAGTTGGTTTTTGTGTCTGATGCTGCATCCAGAATGCTTTCTCCCTCCTGTGGTTATGTGGCTGGTTTCTCCCAGCTGTGGTTCTACCCAGCGGTCAACTGGGTATGTGCAAGAGACAGTCCCTCACGCTGTCTTTACATGATGTTGCGGAATCTTCTTAAAACTGGAGGAGATCCAAGGAGTCTGGATTCTGTCTTTGGCAAAGCTCATGTTCTTTCTTCTTCTTCTTCCTCTCCAGAGAGGGTCGTCCCCTTGCGCATCCTCTACGAGAAGTATGGTGACTGCCTGACGCAGGACAATATGATCAAGGTGATGGCTCTCCTGAAGGAGCACGAGACCAACGAGATCGTCCTCGAGTCCAGGAACATCTATGTCAAAAACCCAGATATCAAAGTCCGGGTAAGGCAAATTTGCATGGGGATTTCATGGCTGCTTCTGGGAAGTGGGTGCCCTGGGCATAATCACATTGTAGATGTTATGGACTGAGTTGAATAGGATCCAGAATGCAGCAGTCTGATTGGTCCACAGGAGCCACCCAATCCAACTCCAGGTGGAAGTGAATCCGCAACCTGATTGGCCTACAGGAGAATCCCAGAATTAGCCAATCACGTGGGGCCCATTGTGTAAATAATGTATATAAAGCAGACATTTTGGGGGAACTTCCATTCCTCCTCACCAGTATGAGCTGAATAAAGAGCATGAAATCCGCTCTTGACTCCAAGTCTATTTCAGTAGAGTTGGAAAGGGTCGGAATGGTCATCTAGTCCAAGCCTCTGCAATGCAGGAAAAAATCCACTGCAGGTTCTGGGGAGAGACAGACAGACAGACAGACATATGTTGAGTCCAGACCGTGCAGCTTAATGCAATTCTGCTAGGGACATGTGTGGTTCTTCTGTGTTTGCAAGAGAGAATGACAAAGTATCATATACTGGTAAGCAAGATCTTGTTCTTAGAAGCTATTGTAGAGGAACAGATAAGGAAGTTAGAAGAAAGAAAGATGTGTTGTCATATATGGACACAGCTTCCTCCACGCATACAGGTGCAATAAATGTTTGTGCCGTTTTCATAGTTGTTCCTCTGCCCATCAACTCCTTGTGGGCTGAGCTTGTGTTGCCCTGGCCTTGCAACGCCTAAGTGAATGTCCTGTTTTGTTGACCCCTGGAATCTGGCTAAACCCAAAGGATACTGGGCACTGAACCCCAATATTTCCCCATCAGGCTGAGCTTTCTCCTCTTTTCCAAATGCAGATCTTGGGGGAGCCAGTTCAGAAGCGGAGGCTGGTGGCCGAGCTGACACTGAAGAACCCCCTTCCGACCCCCCTGAATGGCTGCCTCTTCGCGGTCGAGGGTGCCGGCCTGACAGAAGGGCAGAAGATCCAGGAGCTGTGAGTTTCCCCCAACCACATCTTCTGGTTCTCAATACCAACACTTCCAAGACCCGAACAAGGGCTGTTGACGCCCAATTCAGTTGTGGAAGGGGAAAAGGGGGAAAGGCTTGATTCTGCAAGCAGAGCAGCCTTTGGGCGTTCCAGGAGTTGCAGTGGTGAGAGAGAGGGAGGAGAACTTTTCTCAAACCAACCATGCATAATTTCACAAACGTCTATCGTGTTGCCTCTCGCTGGCCTTTTTGCTCAGCTGAGAAGCCTGAAAAACAGCAGCCTTCCTTTGTAGGGAAGTGGTTCTGATCCCTTGCACCATTGGATCATTACAAAAGGAAGTGAATATAAAACTACTGGCATCATGATGTCATTCTACAAATCTATGATGCAACCACATTTGCAGTACAGTCGTACATTGGATCCCAAATGTTTTGGCTCCCGCAAACCTGCAAGTGAACGTTCCAATTTGCAAACGTTCTTTGGAACCCAAACGTCCGACAATACTTCCACAGCTTCCGATTGGCTACAGGAGCTTCCTGCAGCCAATCGGAAGCCGCGCCTTGGTTTCTGAATGTTTTGGAAGTTGAACGGACTTCCGGTACGGATTCCGTTCGACTTCCCGGATACGACTGTACTGTGTGATCTTCTGGTCACCTTGCCTCAAAAAGGATATTGCCACCAGAATTTTTCCTCCCTCTCTCAGAACTCTGGAACGTGTGGACTTTCAAGGAAACTTTTATCAGGAAAGATAAAATTACTTCTTCTTGCAGTGCAAAGTTAAACTATGGAACTCATTCCCACCAGATTAGATAACTTCGTGGAGGAGGAAAGGGTTACTGAGGGCTCCTAGCCATGAGAGCTGTTGGAAGCTGCCCAGAGTGGCTGGGGAAGCCCAGCCAGATAATAATAATAATAAAATTTTATTTATAGCTCGCCCTCCCCAGCCGAAGCTGGGCTCAGAGTGGCTAACAACAGTATAATAATACAGATGGGCAGGGTATAAATAATAAATTTGTTTTTGTTATTATTGTTATTGTTATTGCTATTGTTCTGCCTCCACAGTCAGAGGCAGCAATGCTTCTGAATACGCGTTGATGGAAACTCTGGGAAGGGAAAGGGCTCTTGTGTTGACGTTCTGCTGGACTCGCTGGGCCCTGGGCCTGATCCAGCGGACTCTTCTGATGACCGTAGGTTGACCTCGTGTGTCCCCCTTCCCCTCTCTCCGCAGGGACAGCCCCGTCGGGCCGGGTGAGGACGCCAAGGTGAGGGTGGAGTTCGTGCCCCGCCAGTCGGGCCTGAGGAAGCTGGTGGTGGATTTCGAGAGCGACAAGCTGAAGGGGGTGAAGGGCTACCGGAACGTCATCATCGCCCCCCTGCCCAAATGATGTGCCGCCCCGCCCTGCCCGGGAGGGAAGAGGGTTGCTTTGCTGGCCCGGCCTGAAATCCATCGCCTGAGCCGCCTCTTTAGAAAGATGGGTGATTCCGGCAGCAATGGGGACCCTGGAAAACTCCCCCAGTGTACACTCAAATGTGACAATATTGCAAGGAGCCATCACTCCCAACTGCTCCTTCACCAAGGAGCCGAAATTTGGTCCTAGCTAGACCCTCCCCTGAAAAAAAAAAGATATATTTTTGTGGCTTTTTCAAAGAATCGTAGTTAGAATTGACCTCCAGAGGTCATCTAGTCCAACCCCCTGCAATGCAGGAATTACGGCTGAAGAATCCCAGTTGGAAAAGCTCCAGAGGAGTCTAGAAAGTTCCTCCTGATGTCATTTGCGCACACAGCAGAAATGTATCGCTTTGGGCCACAGACGGGGCGGGTACTTTTTGAGAGTTCCCCCGTGAAAAATGACATCACACGCAAAACTCCCCCCAGCAGCGCCTGGCAAGTATGCAGAATCCCTGGGCTGCTGGTTTTCTGTCTTCAAGGGAGTTGGAGCAATAAATAAAGCTCCGTCCTTCCACCTCAGGAGGACTTGAACCCCTTATCTCCCCTCCGTCTGCTGTGTCCGTAAGACAGGAATATCTCCTGCTCAGAAATGGGTGGCCCTTAATGCCCAGCTGTCTGCAGCCCCAACAAAATGTGACATGCCCTTCCCCGAAGTCGCAGGGGAGAGGGACGCAAATATTGTAAGCTGCTTGCTGCATCATGCCAAAAATAAAGAAAATAATATATATCTAGACTCCAGCACAGTAGCCACCAGAAATGTACGGCAGCAAGTACAGACTTCTGCTACGCCAGTCCTGAAAGACCCACCTAACCCGGCATCCTGTTCTCAAATCCTGATCATCAAATGCCTCTATTGGGAAACCCGCAAGCGGCATTCGAACACAGAACCCCTCTCCACTCCTGCAGTTTAGTAGCTAGTAGCCATCAATAGTCTCCTCCCCCTCCAGGAATTTGCCCCGCCCTCTTTTAAAGTTGGTCCCTGCCCCATGTGGGAGGGAGTTCGGCAGTCTAACCGTTCACCAAGGCCCAGGGCTTCACATTGATGGCACAAGCGCTTTGTCTAAGAACTGTGGCGAGCGGAGTTTTATTTCGTGTTTGAAACCAGGGAAGATCTGGCTGGGTGGGACAGGAGAAGGACTCGGGAGAAGGAGTCTGCCAACGACCGTCAGATAAACAGAGACGTCAAAGGCACTCAGCGCTGCCAAGACAGATGCTGGCCAGAGACACCAGCTTTTCTTGGGCTCAAGAGCACCAGCTTCAAATCCTTTCCCTGGGCCATCTTTAAGTACTTAGCCGGAGAAACAAACTCTCTGTGTTTGTTAAAAGGCATGGCAGGGGAAAAAATGAAAATTGTGAGCCAGGACTGTGGAGGAGAAGGAAGGCAGAGAAAGCAGCTTTCTTACCCCTTCCAGTGCGGTTTCTGGGGAACAGAAAGACAAGCGCAATTTCTTGGTGGAGGCATTTCTTGCTAAGAAGCTCCCAGGTCCACACTTTGGAGAAAGATTCATTTATTTTTTTAAAAAGCTGACCCAAGAAACAAAGGGCTTAATAATGTGAGCAATGTAACATGTACATACCTATAGATATATTTGTGTACCGTGATGCTATGCGTAATCTCAAATGTGCAGAGGAGAAGGTGGTTTGCTGCCTTTGCTTGATCCTTTCTAGCTGACGCTCGCGGCAAATGCCGTGTTCTCAGAGTGGAACTGAACTATGCAATCACTGAATAAAGAGTTAATTTTTCACCTTCAATATTTCTCTGGAGCGCTTTCCTCTCCTTTCCACAACCATAAATGACTTCCTTGCTACTCTACATGGGGCTGGGGTGTGGGTGTGTTTTCCTAGGGGGGTACCTCAAATAATTTCAGACCCTCATGAGTGTCCCTATTATCCAGCGACAGTCCCGGATTTATAGAAGCCCTCCCAGTTTCTGACTTGATCCTGGAATCTCCCACTTTTCCTTAGGACATCCCTATTTTCATCAGAGAAAGATTGGAAGGTATGGTGGAAATAATGATAACAACAACAACAATAATAATAATTTATTTGTACCCTGCCCATCTGATTGGGTTGCCCCAGCTATTCCAGGTGGATTCCAGCAGATATAAAAACATAATAAAACACTAAACACTAAAAAGCTTCCCTATACAGGTGTATTCTAAAGGTTATGTAGTTACTCCTCTCCTTGGTGACTATTGTGAGGGTGTTCCACAGGGTGGGTGCCACCACCGAGAAGGCCTGTGAAATGATGGAGGCTGTGTCATTTTTGCAGCCCCGGTTAACTGGGTCAATACTTACGATTGCACAGCCTGTGGCACTTCAAAGATACCCATTTAGTCATCATTGCAGCATAAGAAGAACACGCAGGATCAGGCCAATGGCCCATCCCAGCCAGGATCAGAAGTGTCACGGCCTGTGACGGTGGCTGCAGAGAAGAGCCATCATGGCTTGTAGCCTTCAGTAGGTTTCTATTCCATAATCCTCTTTTAAACCACTGCCTCCTGGGGCAGGGAGTTCCACAGTTTAATTACTGTATTTTTCGCTCCATAAGACATACTTTTTTCCTCCTAAAAAGTAAGGGGAAATGTCTGTGCATCTTATGGAGCGAATGCGTGGTCCCTGGAGCCGAATTGCCCAGGGGCAAAAAGCAGGTCTTGCTTTTTTTTATTAGAAAGAGGGAAGGGGGTGTTGAAACAAAGCCGCTGAGCAGCTGATCGGCAAGCGATTGGGAAGGGAGATAAGGGACTCTAGCAATAAAGGAGGCTGCCTGGGAGGGGGGAGGTAAAGACAGCAAACTTGCAAGGAGAGGAGACAGGAATACTAAAACAAGCAATGAGGAGAGAAATTAGACAAAAAGGAGGAGCAAAAAACTGCTCCAGCTAAGGAAAAGACACTAAGGCAAACAAGAAGGAAGGGGGTGTTGAAAGGAAGCAGCTGATCGGTGGGATCGGGAGAGAGATAAGGGACCTAGAGATAAAGGAGGCTGCCTGGGAGGGGGGAGGTAAAAGCCCATAGATCCTCAGGATTTTTGCATTGGGTCACCCCAAATTCACCATCAGATCACATAGCATGTCCATGGCTACAGCCTGCCCCCCCCCAAATCACACACCCACTGTTGCGTGGGGCCGCAATGGTGCAAAAACGTGGTTACAAAGCACGGATCCACATTGATCCTCAGGATTTTTGCATTGGGCTACCCCAAACTCACCGTCAGATCACGTGTCTGTGGCCACAGCATGAACCACAAAAATCATACATCCACTGTTCAGAATATTTTTCTTTCTTGTTTTCCTCCTCTAAAAACTAGGCGCGTCTTATGGTCAGGTGCGTCTTATGGAGCGAAAAATACGGTATGCCCTGGGATCTGGAGGCTGAACAGGCCCAAGTGGAGGATCCTCAGGAGTAGCTGGGAGAAAGTTGGGGGGGGGGGGGAGAGACCTTTTTGTGTTGCCAGAATGCAGAACTAAGCCCAGTGAAAACTTGTCAGGTCCAGCCTTATCATGACAGCTGTCCGTGGGCAGAGCAAAGAATTCCATCATCCTTGGAAATTAAAGGATTTTGCAGCCTCTTTGAAACCAGCTGCCTCCACGCTGACCTGACCCTGATGGAAACGGGGAGTTATCTCTGCATTCTTGACCCAGGCAGCTCAAGGCTGAGGCATGAAGGTAAATTCTGCCCATGTTTCCCAGAGCCAGACGCTGGGAGGCCTTCAAAGGGCTGGCCAGGCAGCAAACTCCACAGAAAGCGATGGAAGAAACCATCTCCTTCCTGGGAGGTTTTTAAGCTGAGGTCAGATGGCGATTTGTCATGGACGCTTTAGCTGAGATTCCTGCATTCGGGTTCCTTCCAACTCTGATTCTATGATTCTAGTATATATAAATTTTTTATTAGTTTTTTAACATATCATTTTCAACAGTAATTAAACATACTTTTACATCTTATTCATATTTTTTTTTACTTCCATCAATCCTGTCTGAAAATTTTCCAATCTAATCTCTCAGTATGCATTTCTTATTTTCCCTATTACATTTCAAACTCATAACCAATATCTCTATCTTTTTCTACTTCGTAACACTTCATATATTTCTCCTTACAAAACTTCTTGTAGTCCTACTAGCGTAATTTGTTGGTTACAGTTGCTCTTCAAATAATTCATATACTTCTTCCAATCTTCTGTAAATCTCTGGTCCCGCAGGTTTCGAATCCTTCCTGTCATTTTGTCCAATTCTGCGTAGTCCATTAATTTCGTCTGCCATTCTTCTTTTGTCAGAATTTCTTCTTGTTTCCGTTTCTGGGCTAACAATACTCTTGCCACAGTTGTTGCATATAAAAACAATTTAACATCTTGCCTATTAATGTTCTGACCTAAAATACCAAGTAAAAATGCTTGTTTTTTTTTAAAAAAAGTATATTTCAACATCTTTTTCATCTCATTATATATCATTTCCCAGAAGTTCTTTACTTTTTTACATTCCCACCACATATGATAAAATGTTCCTTCTTTTTCTTTACATTTCCAACATTTATTATTTGTCTTACACATTTTAGCTAATTTCACTGGTGTAATATACCATCTATACAACAGTTCCATGGTTCGAGGGCAGTGCGGTGCAGTGGTTAGGGTGACAGATTTCTAGGACCTGGGAGTGACCAGGATTCAAATCCCCGCTTGGCCATGAAGCTCACTGGTCATGACCTTGGGCCACAACCTCGCAGGGCTGCCGTCGCAGGGACAGAAAGGGGAAGAGGAGAACGATGTATGAGCTCCCTGGAGGGGTATATCTGAAAGCAATAAATAAATAAATAAATAAATAAATAAATAACTGGGGATTCTTCAGCTCTGATTCCTGCATTGCAGGGGGCTGGACTAGAGGACCTTTGGGGTTCCCTCCCAACTGTAACTGTGTGGGTAATGCTAACGGCAGGTACACACAGAATTTACTGTACCTATTTTGTGGGTAAAACACCTCCTGTCTTGCTCTGCTTTTGAATCCAAGTCGCTTGGGGTTGCCCTGGGCGAGAGAAAGCTGCTAAGATTTCCTAGCCCCACTCGAGCCTGCCTGAAGGGGGCTCTGGCTTCCCCCTTGGAGCAGTGGGGCTGGCGGGGCAGAAGGCAGGGAGACCAACAGCAGGGGAGCCAGAGCCAGCAAGAAGCAGAGTCCACAGCTGCCGGCAGTTGCATCCTCACCTCTAGAAGCATAAGGACAGGAGGAGAGTTGAATCAGGCAGCCAGTCCAGCCTCCTGTTCCCTCAGGGGCCAAAGGGAAACCCCCGAGCAGGACCTGAGCAGAAGAGCAGCTCTCCCCTTCCTTTTATTTATCTCTCCTGCTTCAATGTGTGACAGGAATTTTGAGGTCTTAGATCTATGTTAAACATTCATAACATTCAACCAAGCACGTACATAGATCAGCACAGGAAGACCAACCTGGAACCATTTTGATTCCCAAACTGAGCAAATGTTTTCTCTGCAAGGTCAAGGAAAATGGAAAAGCCTCCCCATTGTCTTTTCCTTCACAAATCCTAACGGTATGTCTGTGTATGAATAGGGTGATCCTGTGACCTGGCTCAGGAACTAAGTATTTATCATTACGAAAGACTGGCCAGGCTCCCCAGGTTATCCAATCAAGTGAGCATTAACAGGTAACCTGTCAGATGAGATAAACAACGCACTCAGATTTCTGCTGTAGACCGCCTTTTCTGTGATGTAGGTATGATGTTTGTGGGGGGTGGTCTTGGGTTACACCCCTTCTGTGATGTAGGTATGATGTATGGAGGGGTGGTCTTGCACTCCAGGGCAGGGAATTTAAAATGTCTATATAAGGCCTTGCGTGCCATTGTTCAGGGTTCCTCCTCCCTCCTGCGTGTGGTGAGTGAGGACCCTGTTGCAACAGATCAATAAAAGATCAGGCTTACTAGCTGCTTTGCTTCTCAATATTCTCTGGTTGGCCTCTGTTATTTTCTCCTACCAATAGGGAACCTACGTAAGGAATCTGTATGGGCTCTTGGATACCCCATAAGGGAAAAAGGGCAGATTTTGTTTACAACAAATGGATACCCAGAAATTCTAGCTTTGAGAGAGAGGGACAAAGACTCTTCTCTACCCTCTTATCTGCAGAGGCTTCTCTCTTCCACCTGAGAGCTGTTTTCTTTCAGAAACCAGCTCTGGAGACAAGCGGAAGCCACTCATCCAGCCAGGATCAAGCCCCTCGCACAGTGGGGGGGACCAAAAACCCCCAAACCTCCTTCTTCCTGACCGGCTTGCAAAGTTCAGAGGAAAAATTGTGAGTGTCAGGCTAGGACTGCAAACCACTGGCAGAGAGACAGGATTGGATGGGAAATGGAATCAGATGGCACTGGAGAAGCCGCAGGTGTAAGAGATAAGATTCTAGACTTGAGGCCGCAGCATTTAATCCTGGGGGGGAGGACGGGATGCGGTCAGAGCTAAATTGACGTACCAGTGTGGTTTGGGGCCAGTTTTGCCAGGAAATCCCCTGCAGCCATTGACCTGAGGTTCAAGGGGCTGTTTAGACAACGCATTCCTTCCTGAATGGAAGAAATGAAATTGTGGATATCCAACAAAACTGGCTGTGGAAAGATTCATGGCAGATAAAAGAGGAGGCTCTCTGGGGCCACGAGGCTTGCTGACTTTTTTTGGGGGGGGGGACGACCCTTGGGAGTCTCTTCCAACCCTACAATTCTATGATTTTAAGTGGCCACATTTTGGGGGTGAAGTTTTTTTTAAAAATTAATTTCACTTTATAATGCATATAAAATAGAGAGAACGATTATAAAAACAGATGACAAGGGATGAAAAACAAGGCTATAAAATAGGCGTGTAGAATGAGTAACAGTTTCACAGGGGTCCAAGTAAATACTATCAGTATCATCAGATTATTAATTCCAGATTTTTCACGCTGGTGATGAGGGTTGCCTTGAAAAGGACGGTTGAAAATGCCAAATCACATTAAAAATTGTCTGGAGCTTCTCATCTTTGTCGACACCTCCATTATTGTTTGATTTTCTCTGTTATAGCTCTATTCCAGAGTGTCCAATCTAAGGTTTTGGGCTGTTGAGCCGCAGCTACTATTTGAGTTGCCAATTTCATGGATAAAAGCAATCCTTTTAACGACAGACCTGCATTGGCATCCTCAGAAATACTCAGCGTTGATTTAGGACTACAGTCAATCGTTCCTTTAGTAGCGTTTGTCGTTTCTGTCGGAATTAAATTCCAAAAAATCTGGCACCGCTTTGCCTTCCCATCATGAAGGATAATGTGCCCCAAGCTGGGCGTTATGAAATGGGAGGCTGTTGGGGAGACCCTGCGTTTTGCTTCCATCCCTGCTGAATCTCCTGCGTGGCATTAATTGGAGGAGAGGAGGAGGAGGAGAGACCTAGCAGCCCGAGAAGGGCAGCCTCCTCCATCTCCCTCCTCTGCTGCCGCTGCCTCTCCCCAGCCCTTTTCATCTGCTCCCAGTTCAGAGCAATTACTTCTCTGCTGGGCGCAGATTCCTCCTTGATCTTCTTGGCTCTCATCTCTCCCCTCGGATTGAGGCACTAATGAAGCCTCCGCAGGTGAGATCCTGCAGCATCTACTACACACGACTCTTCCAGCTGCTGCTATAACTGACAATCGCACCCGCTTCCCGTGGAGAGAAGCAATTTAATTTTTTTGCCAATATCTCAAAAGGACATCTTGCTCCCATGCGCCAGGCTGGAGTGGATGCATCCTGCACAGGTCCGTTTGGAAATGGGCCTTTCCCCCCATTTTGTGAATCAAGGACTAGGGGAGAGAGGGCTCTTGTGCTCAGATCCTGCTTGTGGGTTTCCCATAACGGGGATCTGGTTGGCCACCGTGAGAACAGGATTCTGGTCTACATGGGCCACTGGCTTGATCCTGCAAGGCTCTTCTTCTGTTCCAATGAATGGCTGAAATAAGTTTCATAAGACTACTATATTTATAGGTTTTTTTAAAAAAGGTAAAGACATAAGCTTTTTGAGGGCTCAAAAAGAAAAGGAAAAAACTCTAAGCAAAACTCTCAGCATACTGCAAACATTTTTTGCGCGTGCGCCAAGTTTCTGTCCATTGCTTTGGGCTATTAGATAAGGCTGTATAAAAATCCCCCAAAATAAATAAAAGAAGATCAGAGATTTCCCGCACAGCATCTGGTCTCCCTCCCTGCACTGTGTTCTTGACCACAACCATTCCCTGGCCTAGAGAATGTCAGCAGCTCCTCCAAAACAACATCTGGCTTGCCTCTCCAAAAACCAGGGGGTTGGCGGGGGTGAAGAGGGGAGAAAGCCTTTCATTTGTTTTCCAGGACGTATTTGTAGTCACAGAATCGTACAGTTGGAAGGGACCCCTGGGGGTTATCCAGTCCAACCCCCTGCAATGCAGGAATCACAGCTAAACAATCCCTGACAGGTGGCCATCTAGTTTCTGCTTAAAAACCCCTGGCGATCGAGAGGCCACCACCCTCCTCCCAGTTCACTTTCTGCTTGATCTTCTTGACAAAGGGATAAATCGCAAAGCTGCCATCAGCAGGGAGAAGATACAGCATTTCAGCAGGCCACTCCTGGAGCCCTTTGGCTGTGGGGTTGCTGCTTCAGAGCGATTTGCAGTGGCGGCTGGTGCCCACTGAGGCTGGTAAGAAGCCAGGCAGGGAGCCCAGCACTTTTGTTGTTTAGTCGTTTAGTAGTGTCCGACTCTTCGTGACCCCCTGGACCAGAGCATGCCAGGAACTCCTGTCTTCCACTGCCTCCCGCAGTTTGGTCAAACTCATGCTGGTAGCTTCCAGAACACTATCCAACCATCTCGTCCTCGGTCGTCCCCTTCTCCTTGTGCCCTCCATCTTTCCCAACATCAGGGTCTTTTCCAGGGAGTCTTTTCTTCTCATGAGGCAGCCAAAGTCTTGGAGCCTCAGCTTCAGGATCTGTCCTTCCAGTGAGCACTCAGGGCTGATTTCCTTCAGAATGGAGAGGTTGGATCTTCTTGCAGTCCATGGGACTCTCAAGAGTCTCCTCCAGCACCAGAATTCAAAAGCATCAATTCTTCGGCAATCAACCTTCTTTATGGTCCAGCTCTCACTTCCATACATCATTACTGGGAAAACCAAAGCTTTAACTATACAGACGTTTGTCGGCAAGGTGATGTCTCTGCTTTTTAAGATGCTGTCTAGGTTTGTCATTGCTAGCCCAGCACTAGGCAAAGGTAAAGGGACCCCTGACCATTAGGTCCAGTCGTGGCCGACTCTGGGGTTGCGGCACTCATCTCACTTTATTGGCCGAGGGAGCCGGCGTACAGCTTCTGGGTCATGTGGCCAGCAGGACTAAGCCACTTCTGGCGAACCAGAGCAGCGCACGGAAACGCCGTTTACCTTCCTGCCGGAGCGGTACCTATTTATCTACTTGCACTTTTTGTGCTTTCGAACTGCTAGGTTGGCAGGAGCAGGGACCGAGCAAGGAGAGCTCAACCCGCCGCGGGGATTCGAACCCCCGACCTTCTGATCAGCAAGTTCTAGGCTCTGTGGTTTAACCCACAGCGCCACCCGCGTCCCTAGCTCAGCACTGGCGGGTGGCAAAACAAACCCTTTCCACTCTTGTCCCCAGCCTCCTCTTCCCTGCTGAGATCTACAAGGGCAAAACTGAGGCTCAGGATGAGGAGGAAGAAGGCTGTGCCATTCCCTCTCCTGCGCTGGTTGTAAGTAAGGAGGCTGGCAAATGGAGGCTGATGCGAGGCTGAGCTTTGTGAGGCTGAGCCCCACTTGCCCTCATGGGACCAGCTCTCTTTTCCCAGGAAGGCTCATGGCATGGTGGCTGAAAGGAGAGATTCTGAGCAGAGTTCCTTGCATACTTCAAGCACCACTTTTACAACCAGCAAGCCGTGCCAGTTTGTGTCGGTGCCTCGTTGAATCAGGCACTGGCGGGGGGCCCTTTTGCTGCTTTCTTTCCTCACTTGGGGGGGAAATATGAACCTTTGGCTGTGGAGCTAATGCACTGCCCATAAAAGTATTTGGTAGAGATTGCCAGCCAAGGGGGTTGTGAACTGCCCTGACCCAGAAAAAAGCCAGAAAAAGAGCCAAATTCTCTGTGTTGTTGCTTTTTTTGCTTTGAACAAACTGTCCTGCTCACTATTTACTGGGACTCTGGAGTCCTCTTGCCCACAAACTGGAGGGGCTCCAGGACAGGGCAGGGCTTATGATGATGTCTGAGGAGGGCCGGACTGAAAGGAGGCCAGAATGACCATCATTTTCTGCAGTGCAACAGGGGAAGGGAGAACCACCTCCCTGTTTTCAGGCATCCTGGAACTGAAGGACACGAGCAGAGCATCTGCTGGATGAGACCAGTGGCCCATCTAGCCCAGCATCCTGTTCTCACAGCGGCTGAGCAGATGCAGAAGCATTGTGCGAACTGCGGAGGCAGGGCAAAGCCATCCTGGCTAGGAGCCATAGAGACACACCCACCCACCCCGAATTTGTCTTTTAAGGTCTTCCAAGTTGGAGGCCATCACTGCCTCCTGCAGCTTTGAGTTCCCTACTTCAACCATGCACTTGAATTTCTGCTTAACCCTCAAGAAAGAAGGGCATTTTCGCTGGCCAGGTTTAATTCAAATCCATCAAACCCCCTTTGGGGAAGGTTCTCAGGCAGGGTGGAAGGAGAAAGAACTTGCCCAGGTGAAGACCACCTGGTGGAAACCCTCACACACGGTTCTTAATTGTAAACTATATGCTGATCTCCGCCAGCAATTTCTAGATCAACTCTGCATCCCCAAATGGAAACCAGAGTTGGAGGCCATACATTTTCTCTTACTGGGGAATGATCAGGAGCTCACCAAGTTAGTGGCTAAATATCTCTATTTGGTTTTTTGTCGTTGAAATACACTGCAGACACCTGATCTCCCTGGAGACCTAGAGATGCGTCGATAGACTGCTCTGCCTCCTTTCTTTTAGCGAAGGTTTTGTGCCACTGGGGAAGTGGTACTTCTGTATTGATTTGTTTTGGATGTTGTATGTGATGCCAATAAAGGTTTTATGATACGATTTTATCTGCCCTTGGGCTCGGAACCTGCTTGTGGGTTTCCCATCACGGGCATTTGGCTGGTCACTGCGAGAAGAGGATGTTGGCTAGATGGGCCATTGGCCTGATCCACAGGCTCTCCTTAGGTTCTTGTCGGGAAGAATCCCAGCAGAATACAGGCTGGTCCTCAATCTCCCCCAGCTGTTAATCCCATCTCTCTCTCTCTCTCATTAATTCCATCTACAGGCAACTGGCTCACACAAAGGGGAGACATGGAGAGGGAACAGGTTAGGATGGAGGCACCGGCGCCAGCTGTGCTGAATTTCCCAAGGTGTGGAGTGAAGACCCCAGAGGAGCAGCCGCCAGAGTCGCTTATCTCCACGTCAAGAGCCCTCTTCTCCTCCGCCAGCAGACTGGTTAGCGAATTCCTCCTGGAAACCCCAAAGAAACAGAGGCACAGAAGACAAAGGGCATCTTTTACCCGATGCTTAACCCCAACTAAAAACAGAAACACGATTTTGAAAGCTTCAGCTTGGCATTGTGGAAGTTGACAGCTTTATATTTAATGAAGGATTTATTTTTTAAGTTCAGTAGGAAAGGACAGTTTCCGTGGTGGGATTGCCACGCAGGGCTGGGGAAGGATCCCTGCAGGAAATCATGGAGAGCCACTGCCAGACAGAGTAGACCATACTGACTGGTAGCCCAACTCAGTTCAAGGTAGCTTCCTTAAAACAATTCACCTGGTTGAAAATAAAACAGGCTGGGCCTGCCTCAACTGAACACTGATCATTTCAGAGAATGTCAGTGAATTAGGACAGAGGGACATAGAAATAGGCCTTATTCCGTGTCATCCTTGCTGGGCTCAACTGACGTCCTCCTGCCCCCAATGGAGTAAATTTAAAAAGCGTCCAGGAAGATGTGGCCTCTGCTCCGTTTGTGTGCTGGTAGCAATTATCCGACACTGAACTCCCATTCCTGCATGCGCCAGTTTACAGCCAAAATATCCCAAGCACCATGTAGCAGAACAGCCCAGATTTTCAAGGCTTTTTGGCTGTTCTGCTTCTCCCTGTGAGCCACAGACAGGACCTGGCAACCCATCCACAGGTTGGGGGGGGGGGAGAGCTTCAAGTTGCTTGGCTGACACACAAATTTGGGGAGTTGGCTCTTTCTCTGTGCATGGAAGGGAAAACAAGGGGCAAGAAGGATACACACCACTCTTGAGGACTGATTGTAAAGAGCTGAGCCTCAGCCCTGCAAGAGGCACCCAGCACCCCAAGCTGCTTTTGCAAGGTTGTGACACACTGTGGTTGCCAGAGCGAAGGAAGATCCCCAGTCCTGTTACGTGAGCAAGGAATCGGGGTCAGGGACACCTTTTGGCATTAAGACCTTAATGCAAGATCTAACATACAGATGCTTCCAGCTACTCTCTTTGGGAAAATGTACTAAAACAAAACGTAACATTTATTTATAATTCTGTTTGGAATCGAAAAGGGCTAGGGTCAATCCTTTGTGCACTAGTTTCAAGTGGGGAGCTGGCTGGGCCCAGAACATTGCTTTAGATGGGGCTGTGGGTTGATTCTGCAAGGCATTCTTAAGTACCCAGAGTCAGACCATCTATGCAAGTCGCTCAGCTACTGAACTTGGGCAGAAACATTACAGTACATCCCCTGTACTGACATTTAATAACCTTCCAAATGGGAGAGGACAGGACTTAACCAAGGACTATTATTTAAGAAAAAAGCTCCTTCAAGTTACAGCACCTCTGCAAACCAGCAGCCAGCCAGCACCCTCTACTCATGCCTAAACTCTCCCAATCAATCTGGGTAACATTAACAGGTTTCCAGGAACCAATAATCAGCATTTAAAGTTCCATAGAGAAAATAACTGCAAGGGTTTGATGGCTGAACTTGGGCACTTACCTGTGCTCTCTGAAAATGGAGTACACCTGTCAGCATCAGTCAGCTGGCTACAGAACGCACCAAATTCGGAAGAAGTTGATTCGGTCACTGTTGAGCTTTATGGACCTCAAACATCCAGCTACATCAGAAACTGCTTCCCGAGTGGAACCATGATAAAAGGCACTCCTGCTTCCAAACTAAATACCCTTGACTAAACACCCATATTTGGGAATTCCAGGATTTTCCAGAGGGGCAGCCAGATCAGTCTGAGGCAGCAAGAACAACAGAGTGTCACCCTTGTATCTGATGAAGTAGGCTCTATCCATAGAAAGCCAATAAATGTTACTTTCCAGGTGTCCAAAGACGCCGTTGTCCAAGCACAAGACTTTGAAACACACACGGTAGAGCCCACCAATAAAAGAGGCACTTGCACCCGTTGAACGACACCCTCTTTATTCAAAAATATATTTATGAGACATTTCAGAATATACTGCTGCAAAAATGGCAGCCTATACCTCTAAATTTATTTCTAGATCGATTCATATACAGATTTAAGAAAATGTTTGGGGGGAAGAATGCGGATTTGATCTCGAGGGAAGATTTCGCACGGAGCACCGGGTGCCCAGCCAGACTCCTGCCCCTCCTTGACCCTTTAAAGCAAATCAAATTCACAGGATTTCAATGACGTTAAAAATAAAAAGTGGAACCTGTGGATTGCCTAATTTGTGCTGCTGTGTCCAAACCCTCTCCCCTCCGCCACAACTCCCCAGGGATTTCCCCATGACCCCCTGATCTATTTAGAGGGAAATACATTGCATGGAGGACTCTCTTGCCTCTGATAATGTAAAGCGGCATGATGCATGCTGATGCTTGTGGCTGGCATTGGCACATGCAAACACACACTGGAGATGCAGGGCACTTGCAGGCCAAACGGAGGGCAGAGGGCTCTGGGGATACAGCAGGGTCCCAGGGGAGCAAGGGGGAAGCCCCTCCTCTAAAGATCAGAGTGTGAGGGACAGCCCTTGTGGGCACTGGAATGAACTGGAGCTGGGAGGTTTGTTTTCCTTGTGGGGGGGGGGAACTCCCGAAGAACGGGAGACCCCAAAACAAAGGGAGAACAGCTGCTATCACTGCAAAATAAGTCTGCCTACTCCAGATGTGCAAATGTTCCTGCACTGCTTGTGTAGTGAAAGGAAAACATGAACGGGATTTTGACTAGATCCTCCAGATGTTGTTGGACTCCCTGACTGAAAGGCCCAATGATCACGGATGATGGGAGCTGGAGATCAACAGCATCCACAGGGCTACAGATGCTCTCCATCCCTGAGACGGACCAGCAATGGGCACAAGACCACAGCTACGCAATTCCCAGCTCCTTTAATGGACTTGACATGCCAACGGACTTTCCTTGGAGGAAGTGGACACCTGCAACCTGCAACCTAAGCTCAGCCCATCCACTTACAGCAAAGAAGAATTTTGACTGAGGTCTCAGAGCCTTCTTAAGAGGGTCACACAGCCCAAGTGGGTGCATCCTGAGAATTCCCACTGCGGGATGAAGATAAGGGAGCCTGAGTAAAACTGACATGTGCTGAATGAAAGACAAAGGGCAGCGCTGGTTGGAGGAGGAGAGGTTTTGCCTGGGCCATGCAACCTCCTTTTGGTCACCTGTGCGCTGCATGTCTCCACGCAGCCATGCCATAAGAGAGCAGGAGCCACGCCGCACTGAGATGCACCCGCAGAACGGAGGCCTCAGCCTCTGGACACAGCCACGCCGCATGCGCCCATGCCAGAGTTGTGAGGCCCAGAAAAACCAAGCTTGACACACACCAAACCAATTCGGAAACAACCCAGTTCTTTTTTTATATGTGGGGAAGGAGGGGGAGAGAGCAAAAGTGTAAATCAACTTTTCTTTCTTTTGCCTAAAAAGCTCTCAGAAGACGACACACATGATTTGCACAGGTGGTGGTGGAAACTGGAGGTGCTAATGGGGGCAGCCAAAGAGAAACGGAATTTTCTGCCCAACACGAGGGCGCTTGCCTCCTTCCTTCCAAGAGAGAGCCATGTCCCACTGCAACGACGTGTCCTGCGGAGGGTCTAAGGAGAGTCATCCTATGTCCAGTCCTTCCTGTGTGAGAATGCAGTGGGAATTTCCGGTGTCCTGCTGGTAGTAACTGGAACTGTGGGTGGAGGGAGGGGAAGGGGGAGCGCAGACACCCATGTGCCCTAGTCAGTTGAGAAAAGGTCCCCAGCAGATGGCAAAGGTGCCAACCCGCCTGTCACGTTGGGCAGCAGCGACAAATCGGGGAGGCTCTGGATGTGGGATTTGAGCTCTTTGCGGACCTGAGTTACCCGAGCAAGCTTCTGTTTGTACTCCTGGGGGGACAAAGGGAAAAACAGAAAACACAAAGGAAAAAATGAATTAGACGATGCTCCTGTTTCCCAACCATCCTCCTCGTCTTAGCTGCAGTCAAGAGTTGATTTGCAGCCTTCCCTGCTTTTGTTGCAACATAATGTGAATGTGATTGCCATTTACAGCCACGGGCAGAAATTCTACAGCTTCATCTCTGCGCTGGGCCAAGTGGAGCCACAGCAAGTATCAGACTAAGGAGCAGAAGAAACAGGGGTCAGGGCAGGAGGAAGAGGTAATCAGGAGGTGAAACACGAAATGGGCACTCCTTCAGTGCACAGCGGCAGGGACAAGGCAGGCAATCTGAAGCATATATTGTTCGCACACCCCACTATGCTTTCTGAAATCAGGCGGGGTTGGGCTGACCAAGACTGGGGGAATGGGTGGGACTGTGGGGTCTGCAGGGCCCTGAGCAAAGCGGTGGGTGAGGGGGCAGCGGAAGAGGCCCAAGGAGCTCATCTCATCTCATCTTGACCTTGGAAGTCCTGCTCAACCCACATGCAGCTCCCAGGGTCCATCTTACACAAAAAACAAGGGGACAGTCCAGGCTTATTTCAACAGCATTTGTACATGGCTTAAATGCTTCTGAACAGTTTATGACCTGCCAAAAACACAAGCACACGTGGGCTTTGTCACAGATGCACTAAAATGCAATGTGCATGTCCAGAATACAAAGTGTGGTGTGAGAAGTGGCCTTTAGATAGTGTCAGGAATTTTGCAGTGGAGAAAGTCTTAATGCTGTCTAGTTTTCTACGTGTAAAAAAATCTTGTGCATCTAACCAAAGGCCACACACAGGCTTAGCATTTAACCAAGAGCATTCTGGGGGTGGGGTACAGCTAAGAATTTCCATAATGCTGCCCCCAAAATGCTTCCCCTGTGCCCTTGTTTTCCCCACTATCCAAATGCTTTCTGACCCAGCTGCTGTGGGAAACCCAACCTCCTGAGCCACAACTGTAGCTCTGGTTGGCTTTCTTGGCTAAAGGTCCAGGGGACGCTTGTCCCGCAGGAAGAATGAGGGTACTGACACACTGACTATTCCTTTCCAAAAAGGCCTCCTTGGAACTGGGGGAGGAGAGTGTGCTGCCTCCTCACCACATTGTCTGCCAAACAACAGTGTAAGAGCTCTCCATCTGCAAGCCACCTCCCACCTTTCCCTCCTGCATCCAAGGGGGCTGGGCTAGATGGCCTTTGGGGATCATACAATTCTAGGATCCCGGCTTTACAGCAGGAATAATGCAGGAGCCCCACTTCGACTGGGGGCCCGTGGTGTGCTCTTCGCCCCGTTTGCTGTGGGAGCACTAAATACATTCAGCAACAGCGGCTGATGCACAGATATGGATTTCCTTTAAGGTGCTATTGCTAATCCCTGCAGGATTCCAAGGCTGAGGAGAGTGGCAGGCCGCTCCTTCATGGAGATCTATGTGAAGATGCACAGCAGTAGACGGGATGACTGCAGAAGAGGCACCACAGGTTTCACCAAGCATAAAATAAATAGCTGGAGGTTCTCCAGCAAAGAGAGGGAGGGAGACACTGCCACAGCACCAGCTCAGGATGTGGCCCAGAAATGGCAGCTCCTGGGCAATGAAGGCGTTTGTTGTGGCAAGAGACTCCTTCATCACCTGCACTGGGTTCAGGAAGCTGCAGGATGAGCACCAAAGCTCTAATTCAGGATGGGAGCCAGAGCTTTAATTGGGATGAAGGGTGTGTTGCTGTTTAAACCCCTCAGCACTGCTCTCCAGCTGTAGCCCTGCAAAAACCAGGAAGATTCGCAGTGGGAGGTGGGGAGAAGGAGAAGAGTCTGGCCTAATGCACAGCCAAGAAGGATACGTGAAAAATGAAGAACATTTTCTTTCCAATAACACAAAGGTCTAGGAGGAGACAAGCAGAGCTAGTGCTGGAAACAGACCCCCATCCATCTTCTGTGAATGCAATGTGAGATAGGACCAGTGGTGGGGTTAAGCACCTGTGGGGTGCATGGGGCCATTCTATTCTCATGGGTGGCTGGGAGCATCCTGCGCCAGCCCCCGACCCAGCTTGATATGAGGGCCACATTCAAACACCCCAAGGGCCATCACATGGAAGAAGGAACAAGCTTCTTTCCTCCTGCTCCACAGGGGAGGGTCAGAACCAAAGGATTCAAGTTACAAGAAAGGAGATTCCGACTAAACATCAAGAACTTTCTTACAATAAGAACTGTTGGACTGTGGAACAAAGTCCCTCAGAAGCTTGTGCACCCTCCTCTACTGGAAGGCTTTAAAAGAGATCGGATGGCCATCTGTCAGGGATCCTTTAGGTGTGATCCTTGCACCGCAGTGGGTTGGACTAGATGATCCCTGCAGTCCCTTTGAACTCTACAATTCTATGATTCTTTTCCCCTTTGGTATATCCTCTGCCAAAGTCATTCCTGCTGTTTCCAAAAACACACGCTGGAAGAGTGTGTTAACAGCCTTGCCTAGGGGCGCAGACAGAAATGGGATTTTATCGTAGCTGAACATGCTCACAGACAGGAGGCTGACACAGCTGAGTCTACAGATAACTTCCTGCCAAGAATCTGCTGCTTGGAAATTGTAGTACATGACTCTGAACGACAGTGATGGATGCGGCGCTGGGAGAGCCAGGAGGGAGAGGGGGCAAGAGCTGCAGGCCAATCCTCGCTCTCCTGCACCCAAGAATGCAGGGGGGTCCGTCAACCCACCATGCCAAGCCTGGGGGTCCTTCCCCATAACCAGTAAGAAGAGGGAGCCCACAACTACCAGGAAGGGCACATTCCCACAAGGATGTTCTATTCCACCAGGCCACTTTCTCCCCCCAGTAGGGCAGGGCAGCAGAATGGAGGGCTCAAAAAGGAGGACAAGGGGGGGAGGTCCTTCCTCGAAGTCAGCGCTTTTTCATTCTCTCACCACCCAGGGCCATCTAGTCCAGCTCCCTGCAATGCAACGCATTCTCTCTTGGAAAAACACTCAACTGCATGCAAGTGTATATATCTGGCAGGTCCCTGCTCCAGGCATCCTGCAAGAGGGTGAGTGTGCCCACAAGCAACAGGGAGCATTTCAAGGTCCCCTACGCCTGCTCCCCGACTAATCAACAGCCGCAGTCCACTCCCCATGCTCAGGGGGCTTAGCTGACCCAAATCCTTCTCCCCTTTCAATTCTCACAGAGCTCTTTCAGGATTACATTTAATCCCAAAGAGGCGCCTGATGAGAAGGGACAGAGTGCTTAACCTTGAGAAAAATCTGTAAATGATCTTCCAAGCAACTGTGGTAAAAGAGAATCATCACTAGAGCAGCAGGGTAAAAACTATTTGTGCTGTAACACAACTGTCTGGAGAGGCACAAGGAAATTACCCCAAACTGCATTTTCCAATGGTGTAGCCTTAATCTGAGGACCTTATTTCATCTAGACCAGGGGCTTCTAAGGCGTGGTACACAGGCCACTGGGCTTCATCCAGACCATCTGTGGCCTCTGGACTGTGCTTGAAGATGGGAGATGGGACATCCATCGCATTACATACTCATATTGTTTTTTAATTGTATTTCTTTGGTATTTTTATTGCTTCTTTTATTGTATCATAATTTGAAAACAATAGGCATTAGTTTGATTGTTAGTTTTATGGCATTGCAATTATTCCACATCATTCTATGGAGTAAAATACAATACATAATAAAAGCAGCAATAAAAATGCAATTAAGAACCATGCTAGTACAGTGCATTACAATTGCTACGACTGGCAGAAAAATCATTACGTGGTCCACCAAGACCCACAGCAATTGTGGGGCGGGGGGATTAAATCCCCTGATCAAGACTGGACAGAAAGCTGGTGACGGACTTTCCTTCACTGGGAGGCTTTTCAACACAGGTTGGATGGCCGTCTGCCAACGATCCTGCAGCTGATTCCTGCATTGCAGGGGGCTGGACTGGATGACCCTCTGGAACCCGCTCCCAGCTCTACAATTCTATGATTCTGTGGCACCCATGCATAAGCAGTGGCGGCACCGAGATTTCCACCATGCTCTCTCACCAGGCTTACTAACTGGAGTTCAGATGGCGAACAACAAGACATCATAAATCTCTGGTGTTCAGCCCGTTAAGCAGTCAATGACCCCCCTAAACCCAGTGCTAAAAATGGTTGGTCTGCATCCACAAGGGAGGCACATTACCCATAAAAGGAAACAGCCAAACCAAAGTAGTAAAGACTTAGCTGAACCAAAAAAACAAAACAAAATATTAATAGGCCTAATTGAGGCCGGCTGTTCCTGACTTGCATGGATCAGACAGACAAAGTAAACACTCCGTGACTTATGCTCAATTCCCATCCCAGCTGAGATTAGGTTCAGGGAAATTCCTTCAGAAGATCCAGATGAGACACACTAAATCAGATTCACCATTCAACATGGGCCTTTTAAAAAGATGCCGTGCAGGCTGAGCTATTAAAGGAAAAGGCATCCTTCGGGGCTGCTAACCTGCCACCGAGCGTGTCGGGCAGAACTGAGATGCAGAGCCAGCAAGGCAGGGTGTGGGCAGGTGTTGGAGATGCTTTCTGGAAAAAGGGGCTCCACTCCCTGTCCACATTTTAATGACTACTTGGGCTTCTTCTCCCTTTCTGTTAATTTCAAAGGCTGGAGCTGCAACAAAGAACTGCAAACTTGCGGCTTCAGATGGTGGCCAGAACCGGCTTGCCAAACACTGACTCAGCTGCTGGAGGGGAGCAAGCAACAGTTTATACACACACACACACACTCTCTTTCCATAGCTTGCTACATCCATTATAGTTATCTTCTTTTATCTTATATACTTGGACTTCCCCACACATCCCTTCATGGGTGCTTGTTTAGTCCTTGCTGAGCTGCATTTCCTTAATTACACTCCTCTTCTGCTTTTCTTTAACTCTGCTTGGAAATTCATCTAATTATTGCATTTCTTTAAATATTCTCCAAAGTGTTCCCACTCCTCTCTTATATCTGTCCCATCCTGATTCCTTATCTTTGCAGTCAACACTGCTAATTCCGCATATTCTATTAACTTATTCTGCCATTCTTCTTTTGTAGGACTATTTTTGTCCTTCCACTTTTGAGCATAAATTATTCTGGCTGCTGCCGTTGCGTTTAGGAAGAGGCCAAGCACCATGTTTTTCGCTCTATTAGACGCACCGGACCATAAGACGCACCTAGTTTTTAGGGGAGGAAAACAAGAAATTAAAAAGCAATGCAAAGCATCCTGAGTTAAGAGGGAGCGCTCCTCCATCTTCGCTCAGGAGGCCTTGCGGGGCTATCCCTGAAGCCAGGAGAGCAAGCGGGATCGGTGCGCACCGATCCCTCTTGCCTTCAGTGAAAGCAAGCCTACTGGCTTTCCCCCCACCTCCCGCAAGAGCCGCACACTCTTTAAAGGGAGCGCGGCTCTTGGGAGGCTTTTCTGGGAGGTGGGGGAAGGGACAAAGCTGCACGCTCTGTCCCTTCCCCCATCTCCCGCAAAAGCCAGGGATAGCCGTGCGAAGCCTTCGCAGGGCACGGGGATGAAGGCTCCCCATGCCCTGTGGATGCTTTGCGCGGCTAAGCCAGGACAGCCAGCGGAATCGCAGCGCAGCGATCCCGCTCGCTGTCCTGGCTTCTGGCTTGGCCGTGCGCAGCCTCTTCCGGGCAAGGGGAGCCTTCATGCCCTGCCCGCGAGAGACTGCCCGCGGGTAAGGCTCCCCCAAGAGCTGTGCTCCCTTTAAAGAGTGCGCGGAGTGTGTGCGCGGCTCTTGGGGGCATTTCCCAAGGAGGGAGAAGGGCAGCCCTTCTCCCTCCTCGGGGAAAAGCCCCCAAGAGCTGCACGCACACACACTCAACGCGGCTCCTTAAAGGGAACACTGAGCAGAGCCTCCCACCTGCATTCGCTCCATAAGACGCACACACATTTCCCCTTACTATTTAGGAGGGGGGAACGTGTGTCTTCTAGAGCGAAAAATGCGGTACTTTCTTAGGTATTGCACCCTCTATAATATTCAATAGCAACATCTCTGGGTTTTTTTTGGAGGAATGACAGCTTAAACATCTTTTTTAGTTCTGAATATATCATCTCGCAATACTTTGGCTTTCTTACAACCCCGCCACATATGTATAAAAGGGAACTGACCAACTTTCAATCACACTTTATTCCAGATACAGGTTTACTTTTGATCTCAATGCCACCCCACCCACCTCCAAAAATAGTGGACCTGGGAGCCCAAGGTTTGGAGAAATACAGTCCTTTTAAGTAGTTACCAGGTGTCACTGGGATCTCTTTGCTTAAAGCAGGGCCAGAGGCCAAGGAGGGCGGGAGCCGCAATCCGGGTGAGGCTCAGAGTTCCCCCATCCCAGCCTTAAAGGGAGATACGCTGTGAGTGGTGCCCATCCACTACAGAGCCAGCTTCAAGGTCCTTGTATTAATTTACAGAGCCCCCAACAGCCTCCCATCCAGGGTAGTAAATCAGGGACCACCTGAACCCTTTGACCCCACCTTGAGGACTGAGATCACCTGCTGAAGCACTGCTGGTCAGTCCCTGGGCTGATGAGGCTCACTTGATAACAAGGTATAGAGCCTGTATTTTTATAGTCAAACGTTGGTTGTTGAACGGAATCTGTTCCGGAAGTCCGTTCGACTTCCGAAAAAATTTGACAACCAAGGCGCGGCTTCCGATTGGCTGCAGGAGCTTTTTGCACTCAAATCAGAAGCCGCGGAAGCTGCGTTGGACGTTCGGCTTCTAAAGACTCCGCTAAAGAATGTTCGCAAACCGGAACACTCACGTCCGGGTTTGCGGCGTTCAGGAGCCAAAACGTTCCGACTAACAAGGCGTTTGGGATCCAACATATTGTGAACTGCCCAGAAATCTATGGATAAATGGTGGTACAGTGGTGCCCCGCAAGACGAAAAACCCGCTAGACAAAAGGGTTTTCCGTTTTTCGATGCGCTTCGCAGGACGAATTTCCCTATGGGCTTGCTTTGCAAGACGAAAATGTCTTGCGAGTCTTGAGATTTTTTTCGCTCCCCCCCCCCTTTTCTAAGCCGCTAAGCCGCTAATAGCCTTTAATAGCCGCTAAACAGCTAATAGCGCTAATCCGCTAATCCGCTAATAGGGTTGCTTCGCAAGACGAAAAAACTGCTAGACGAAGAGACTTGCGGAACGGATTAATTTCGTCTCGCGAGGCACCACTGTATACAAGTTTAATAAATACAGTGGTACCTCGGGTTACATACGCTTCAGGTTACGCTTCAGGTTACAGACTCTGCTAACCCAGAAATAGTGCTTCAGGTTAAGAACTTTGCTTCAGGATGAGAAAAGAAATGGTGCTTCGGCGGCGCGGCGGCAGCAGGAGGCCCCATTAGCTAAAGTGGGGCTTCAGGTTAAGAACAGTTTCAGATTAAGAACGGACTTCCGGAACGAATTAAGTACTTAACCCGAGGTACCACTTTAATAATAATAATAATAATAATAATAAAATTTTTAGTGTGTACCAGAAATTCAGCAGGCACCTTTTGTGCCAACTTTTGAAGGCCTGCTGTAAACTATGCAGGCAATTAATACGACATCCCTTCTACAACGGTTAACTGATGTCTGCTTTTACCTTTTTGTGCTTTTATTGCTGTAAACCCCTTTGATATACCACACAGCAGTAGACAATTTTTTAAAATAAATGAATAAACAAAGCTTTCCTGGCCTCCTTGAAAACTGTTTACAAGGGCTGAAATGTCGTGTCTGTGCGTTATTACATTCTTAATTTTGAGAAAGAAAGAAGGAACAAAATGGAATACTGTAATAGGGAATGAAGAGTAGTAAGTAATAAAAGAGGGGACACCACAGAGAGTTAAGTTAGTGTAAATCAATTATAAGGACGCAATCTGCCTGCTACTTTGCCATTCCAAAACTGAATGAGCAGGGCTCATCTTTCAATATCTTTGTCATGATAATTGCTGGTATGTTGCCTTCCTGCTGCACATTGGCTTTATCCGCAAAAACAGTCTTCCAAGGTTTATTCAACCACTCTGCCCGTTGGGAGTTCACTTTTTCTGAAACTGAGCAATGCAGAGTTTCACTGTTGTCAATAAGGTCTGAGATTGTGTTCTACATGTCAACTGTGAATTGCATCCTACATATGCACACCATGTCAAGGACAGACATCATACCCTTTTTTTTGCATCTTTTCAACCCAAACCCACTGCTTCTGAAGGTGAAACTTGTCTCTTTATCCCCTAATGAAGATTAAAACCCAATACTTTTTCCTCTGCTCCAGAGTTAGCTTCCAGCTAGTCTCAGTTGGCAATACGTCCTGGTTTGATTAATGCTTTGGTATGACAGGGCCCAGAAAGGGTCCCAGAACCCCCAGGCCCTGCTATTTCCAGTCCTTGGCCAACAGCCTGCAATGAGAAATCACTGGCATTCCATGTAAATAATATTTAGTTGCAGGATCTGCCTTGACCGATGAGTGATTATGTTAGCAGCTTCTAAATTTGAACCCCAATGTTTAGATAGCTAGCTGTGGTGCCAGAGAAAGGGATTAACTGTTTAAGTACTTGGGTGAAAAATCACTTTGAGAACATGGAGCACCCCTGAAGATGCCTTATTTGATCAGAGCACTGCAGACTTTTCCTGACTTAGCAAAATAAATCCCAATTTAGATTTGCCAGAGGGGAGCCAAATTTCTCCTCCCAGTTCATTCCAGAAAGTTTTTGGCCTTTCAACGCACTTTTTCTGAGAACGAGGGGTTGGCTTTCCTACAGTAGAGACCTTGTGCCATAAGAGGGCAAAACAAAGCAAACAGGGCATTACCCGGGAGAAACCTATACCGAGGATGTTTTGCCATAGAGCTTGAAACACACCAAGTTGTACATTTACGCCACCCTTTGCAATCCTCCCCAGTCAGTTCCCAGAAAAGCAGCAAGAGATGTAGCTGGAGGATTCCTTTATCCTGAAGTCAGTATGCTAATAACCTTACATGCATCAACCAACGTTGTATTTTGGCAGCAGTGGTATTACCAGTGCCCTGAGCCACCGCAAACCCATTTTTAAGGAACAATCCTGCTCCTTAACACATGCAGAATAGGGTATACCAGACTTGGGAGGCTCCCAAGGACCCAGAAGGCTTAGGACTTCAAGGAGAACTGCTTCCCCTTACAAAGTGTCTCAGGGGGTGCAAACGTGAATGGCAGCCTTGCCCAATTCACTGGCAAAGAGGAGAGCTTATGACTTTAGCACAAGTGCATCAGTTGCACTGCTGTGCAACTCCTTGAACCGCAGGGGCGTTTTGCTCATGTCAGGGACAAAGCAGCACATTTTCAAACCACGCGCTGCTCCCCCTCTTATAGTAGATTTCATCAGCCAACAGCCTCAAGAAGAGCTGCAGTGCAAGCGCGCCTGTGACATCTGCAACAACATGTACAAGTTCAAGACAAGAGCCAAGAGAAAGTGGCACTCTGAAAAGCAAGGGCGACATGCGGTTTTCGAGGCGACAACACCAGCCCCGTGGCAGGACAAGAGGCTGCCATTGGGACAACCTGCTTAGCACTCGCTGTCTCCTTCTGGACAGCTCTGCACTCTGCAGCAACTCACGTTCCGCCCAAGAACAGCTGCTCCTAACAGTCAGCCCTGACAGCCACAGGAAGCCCTTAATATGCTAGCCAGGGGCAACGCAACAGATGGCAGAGTGACATACAAGCAGAATCATTAATTATGTTCCCGTCATAATCCCGGGGTGTAGAGCAGAACATGCCGCCCTGCTGAAAATGGTACATTTCAGATAAATGGCTCTCCACCCGGCTCATGCGCTCTCTTCCAGTGGCTTTTGGACGCTGCCGAGCTCCAGCCTGCTGCCAAAGCCATATCTGTCAGCTGCTTCCTGTGCTCCCAAGTCAAGCGGCTTTTTACGAAACCGCTTTTATCATCTGCCCACATGCGTGGTTGCACGTCAGGTCAATAGCAATTCAAAAGGGCTTCAGCTGAACTCGCAAGATGGCAGCAGGCGGTGAGGTTGGAAAAGCTGAGCGCAGCAGATCAAGTGAACCAAGAAGAGGAAAGTTACCGGCAAAGTGCAAGTGGGAGGGACTCTGATAATACTGGGGAGCTGGCCTGAACTTAACGCCAGAGCAACCCAGAACCCAAATTTCCTTCAAGATCACGTTTCAGGAGTTCCTTCTTCCAAGTGAAGTACAGTGGTACCTCGGGTTAAGAACTTACCAGTAATTCATTCTGGAGGTCTGTTCTTAACCTGAAACTGTCCTTAACCTGAGGTACCACTTTAGCTAATGGGGCCTCCCGCTGCTGCTGCGGGATTTCTATTCTCATCCTGAGCAAAGTTCTTAACCCGAGGTACTATTTCTGGGTTAGCAGAATCTGTAACCTGAAGCGTCTGTAACTCAAGATACCACTGTATCACGTTTTTAACATTAACTATTAAAACATGATGCCTTCTACTGTATACAAATAGCAATCCAAACACACACGCTTCCTACGCTCAAGCTTTACACACAAGTGTGCTATCTTTCTCTCCCCCAGAGGAGCGCAGAATGCCTTCCATCAACAGCCCTATCTGGACAGGGAAAGCCTAACACGCTCATGTGACCTCAAAAGTTACATTGCTGCAATAAACTATATATGGGACTGCCTTTGAATCACAAAATCATAGAGTTGGAAGGGACCCCAAGAGTCATGTAGTTCAAGACTGTTTCAAATTTGCAGCTGGAGCAGGTTGCTTACTAGGGCACGATGGTCTGAGCATATAGCTTCACACATCTGCATTTATCAGCTACGATTTCGTTTCTGGGGTCAATTCAAAGGGCTGATAAGCCATATATGGCTCAGGAGGCCAGTATCTCAAGGACTGCCTCTGCCCACATGAACCAACCCAGGCACTGCATTCGTCATCTGAGACCCTCCTTCTCCATGTGCCTCACCCAAGGGGGGAGGTGACAGAGGGTGGCCACACAGATAGACCTTTTCGGTGGTGGCCCCGTCTGTGGAATGCCCTTCTCCAGGGAGTCTCACCTGGTGCCATCATTGTCTATTTCAAGGCAAAAACCATTTTCATTTACCCAGCAGGCCTTTGGGTCTTAACTGGGAGGGCACACACCTGGAGAGGCCACAGTCCCCAGCTTCATGCCCATGGGGTGGTGGTGGAGACACAGGTGTGACTGCTTCAGCTGTGACTATGCAAACCACATAGCCGTTATTGGGCCTGTGGATTAAAGCAACCCCAGAAGCCAGGGCAGACTCGAGGAACTGACACGTCTAAGAAAGGACGCTGCTCGGCATCTATCGGAGGAACGCTACTCACTTCTAGTTTTTTCTCCTTCTCCGTCAGCACGTCCTTCTGGTTCTGGGTGTACTCAATCAACATGCGTGCCAGCTGGCGCCGGTCTTCCAGCTCTGCTGCCAGTCGCCCATTGTACTCCGCTAGTAGCAAACATGCCTCGTCCACAGTCTTCGAAAGACGCTCGGCAGCCTCTTTGTCTAGGCACAAAGGTGGCAAATAATCGACACTGACTGTGTGCAAAAGCCTTTGTGTGGGTGACAAAAAGCAGCTCATCTGGGGTGAATTTCAATCAAGCGTGGATTTCACAAGGACCAGCAAGCAACACACTTCTTTAAGCACTGGCAGAGGAAGACAAGTGCAGCTAGCCCAAAGTGTCCTTTTTTTCCTGGAAGGCCAAGAGGTCAGGGTTAGGGCTGGCTGGCTGCAGGTGATCCAGGAAGCAGACCGGCACATCTGCAGGGAGGGGTGGTCCCAGAGCTGCTCTGTGTGCGCCCAAGGTTAGCAAGCTGCTAAGGCCTGAGCAGGCAGCTTTAGAGGACTTGGGGAAGAACATCTGTTGAACTGATAGCTGCAGTGCCACCCTCTGCAAAAGCAGTGCTGAACTGAAACTGTGTTGGCTCTCTTCTGATGAGCACAGACAGTGAACTCTACTGCTAAATGCCTGCTTCAGCTCTCCCTGGGCCCTACTGTGAAGAGAGCTGTGCTACCACAGTTGCCTTGGGAGTGCGACTCCTATGCATCAGGCGCTCTGCCTAGATCTCCACCCAGCAGCACACACTGCAAAAGTGGCATCCTTTCCCCCACTGTGAGACACTGTAAGCAGTGATGGAGGAGGCCATCAAGGGCCAGAGAGGAACAGAAATGAACAAATGTGTCCTGGGCCTCTCACATATTCAGTCAAAGCAGTGGCCTCTGTGCACAGTCTGCAGGGCTCCCTTTACAAGGCAATGATCCCCTTCAGTGAGGAACGTGTCAAATGCTCTTGCCACACAAACAGCAGCAGGCAGGGCTTGGCATGTGGCCCAACAGAGTCCAAGCTACACTGGAACAGAACAAAAAGGGGAAAGGCAGGTTCATATTCGTCTTTTGGCATCTGAGGGTGAAGGAAACCCTTAAAAACAAGCTAGTCTCATTGGGCAGTTTCCAGGTGCAGGAACAGAGTTGTGTCCTGCCTTTTGCATCCAAGTGTTGGCACTTGAGAGCCTCACCTGTAATCTTCTCCAAGAGTGAGACGTCCTGAACCTCCTGGGGAAGAGAAGCAATTTTCTGCCGCACTGTGGCATCTCCCGATGCTGCGTTTTCCAGATCTTGCAGGGCTTTGATCAAGTCCTCAGTCTGCGCAATTGAGACATAAAGAGACTGCCATGATCACTTTCCCGGCGCATGTAGCCACCACCACCCTGCTTCTAACTTCTTATTCCAACACAAGTCTTGCTTTTTGAAAGCTCTCACTCCCTGCCCCTTGGTCAACAAGCCGCCCTCAAAACCAAACTACAATCACAGAATATTTGAACCCCCATTTCTGGTCCACAGAACAGACAGCAGAGCAGGAAATCTGAGTTTAATGAACTTCCTGGAATCATCTACCACCATATATAAATTAGATCACACCATGCTGGGTATAATATACTGTCTTGCTTTGGGCAATTTGTTTTATTTTGCTTTGACTGCAGCAATTTTATGGAATAATATTTGTTTTATGTTCCGTTTTACTATGTTCCATGTTCTTCCTTGAGTCGTGAGGGTGTGTTTCTGAGCAAATAAACAGTATAATACTGGTCCTCCTATTGCATTTGCTAATGGCGCCACCATGTGGCTCTCTCTTTAGAATCCAGGGCCTTTTTCTCTCTCAATCCTTGGCCTTCCAGACATACCAGAAGAGGCCCAGCGTTGGGGTCCTGCGGGGAGTAGCTCCCGGGATAATCGTCATCTTCTTCTTCTTGTATCTGCTGAAATGTCCGCTTCAATGACTTTTTCTCCTCTGTAACTGAGAAAAGACACAAGAGAGACAGTCACATTCTGTAAGGAGACATTGTCCCAGTGGTACCTTTTGAAAAGCGGGTGTGCATGTGTGATAAAACCCAAACTGCTTTGAAGGTCAAAGTCTGATCAGGTTCATCTTTTAAAAAGAAAAGAAAGTTAGCTCTAAAAGCTTAAAACAGAAGCCAACCTCACCTGCCACAGTGTCCCATAGATCAGGTTGAGGAACAAGCCTCCTGCCTTCAGGGTTGTGAGAAAGATAAAAGGGAAACCACAGAGGCCTCCATTTCCCCTCATTTCAATTCTGCACTGCTTGGGGCAGCTTTTGGGAGCTTGCACAATTGGTGATGGGTGGCATTCTTTGCCACTGGTTTAAAGGTTCTGGAAGAATCAGGAAGGTGTGAACAACTGAAGACTAACATAACATTAGGCCACACTCCAGAATTTTCCATATTTTGTATGCATCATCTTATCATGAATTTTACTTCCCTTTTTTTAAAAAAAAAATGAAAACCCATCCCACAAACTGCCAAAGATAAATAGAACACTACAGATATAGAAAGAACCTGCAGTAACCTGGGGAGGCAGGCACCAAGGTAGAAAGACAAAAGGCTTCCCCATTCCCCATAGCAGATCCTTCTCAGGCTGAATTGCTGGGCGATCTCAAGGTGGCGCTGTTGGATTCCTGTGTCTTCTTCCTCTGCAGACTAGACAAGTAAAGAGCTCCGGGATGCCAGAAACCCCTCCCATCTAAGGTAGAGAATCTGAGAATCCTCCGGAAAAACAATCTCTCAAAGGACCTGTTGATGGCATTTTACGATTGTACTGTTGAGAGTGTATTAACTTATGATCTGTGCGTGTGGTTTGGGAGCTGCACGGTCAGGGAAAAAACAATGCTGTCCAGGGTTGTAAAGACTGCGGAGAGAATAATTGGGTGCACTCTTCCCACCTTGGACCAAATTTATGCTTCCAGGTGCCATAAGAAAGCTGCAGAGATAGTGCAGGATAGTGCGCACCCCGGAAATGATCTCTTTCAGTTTCTGCCTTCTGGAAGAAGGTACAGGGTTATAAAGACTAGGATTAGCCGCCTGAGAATAAAGATTATCATATTGTATCGTATCGTATTGTAGAGGAGGACAGCATGCAGAGGCTTTTCAGAAAATATTTTGGGAGGCTGGGTGTCCCCTTGTTCTTTTTCCCTTCCCTTTCCTTTTTTTGGACAGAACCCCAGGTTTGCCCAATACCAGTCCTCCTCCTCCTTGCATACAAAACTATCGGCATGTTTTTGCAGGTGGGAACCTGGGCACAGATGGTGAAGAGCTGGAGGGCAAGGGATGTTTGGCGCGTCCTCAGCAATCATGCCTGGAAGGGGAGCAGCATCTGGCAGCACCAGGAGAAAGACGAAGCACAAGCTGGTCAGAAAGCATTTGCTGCCGCCATCGACAAAGGGGTCAGGTGTTTCTGGCTGGCTTCCAGGGTGCAAATTAAACCCTCCTGAAGCTGGCGGGCTCCTCTTCTTTGCCAAGCCAGATCTTCCGACCAAGAACTCGAGGAAAGCCAGCTGTGCTGAGAGCCCTCTGTCCCCAGCACCCCTTTCAAGTGCCATTACGTTGAAAAACAGAGCAGTAAAGCTCATAAGAAAAGGGTAAACCATCTGAGAGCAGATGAAGCTGCCTCATATGCGACTTCATGAGGCAGGGGAGGGAAATGCTTTGGGCAACTGCACGCTGACACTCTCGTTCCTATCACAGGAGTAAACACGTCAGATTGTAAATCAAATGCGACAACGTAACCTCCTGCTCCAGTCCCAGGATGACAGTTGAATGGTGCCAATTTAGTGAAGGATGAATGAACGATGGGGAAAGTGCCCAGTGGCCAAACTAGTCACAATTGACTCAAAAGCTACTCTCAGTTTATAGACATCTGCCTAGACTTTGGGCTTAACCCAGCCTTCTCTGTAACCCAATTGGGGGAAGTCACTACAAGGAACCATGGAGACCTACGGCACTGTCAAATAATCATTAACAGACACAGTTCTTTAGAATGTGATGACTGCCACCACGGCTACTGCGATAGCAGAAATGTTAAGAACAACTACAGTCCCTTCATTCCCATAACAAGACGAGCTTCAGAGCATAGAATGCTCTTTAGAAACCTTGTGATTTGGGGAGCAGCCAGAACTCAGCAGCAAAGCATAAGCTCTGCATGTAGAAGGTTGGCTGCCCAATTCCCAGTGCCTCCAGTTAGAAAAGGAGTGGAGAATCTTTGGTCCTCCAGATAGTGTTAGAGTTCATCTCCCTTCCACCTCAGAGAGCAGGTCTGGGATGTTGATGGGAGTTGCAGTCCAGCAACCTCCCTGCCCGAGTTAAAAGGATCAGATGGCAGCTGATGGAAAAGACCTCTGTCTGAGGCCCTGAAGAGATGCCGATAGTCAGGAGAAAATGCAGGGGTAGACAGACAACTACGGTGGTACCTTGGTTCTCGAACAGCCTAGTTCATGAACTTAGAACCTGAACATAGCAAACCCAGAAGTGAACGTTCCAGTTCTCAATTTTTTTTGGGAAGTCAAACATGTCCTGAGTCCCGAACTTCCATTTTTAGTGTTGCGCTTCTGTTTTTAGAGAGATCGCGCTGAATGGGCTGGTGAAGAGAAGCGTCCCGGCAGCGCTCTGCAGCCCAGCCACTTTGGCGAGAGAGAGATCAAAAAAGAAAGAGACTGAAAGATCGCAATGATTGGGGAGGTGGGGAGAAGGATTTTAGGGGTAGTTTTTCAACAGCCTGGAACGGATTAATCCGTTTTGCATTACTTTCTATGGGAAAGCGCATCTTGGTTTTGGAATGTTTTGGTTTTGGAACAGACTTCTGGAACGAATTAAGTTCAAGAACCAAGGTAGCACTGTAATATGATCTGGTACAAGGCAACTTCCAATGTCTCATTCTGGCTGTTGCCTGCCAGGGCCTAGAAACACCCCTGGGATGATGGACCCTGCTCCACAAACATAAATTACAGAGAAGCTGGAGGGACAGGATACAATAAGTGCCTACACAGTGCAGATGTGAAGACTGTCATCAGTTCAGTTCCAACCAAGCAGGAGCCCTTGAGCGTAAGTACCTTGAATTCAAATGGCCATGAACCACAGCTGGGGATCCTGTGACCCACCAGATGTTTTTCAAGAAGAAGAAGAAGAAGAGGAGTTTGGATTTGATATCCCGCCTTTCACTCCCTTTTAAGGAGTCTCAAAGCGGCTAACATTCTCCTTTCCCTTCCTCCCCCACAGCAAACACTCTGTGGGGTGAGCGGGGCTGAGAGACTTCAGAGAAGTGTGACTGGCCCAAGGTCACCCAGCAGCTGCATGTGGAGGAGCGGAGACGCGAACCCGGTTCCCCAGATTACGTGACCACTCTTAACCACTACACCATACTGGCTCTCCTATTTGCCCCAGTCAGCATGACCAAATGACCTGGGATGATGAGGGTTCTCGTTCAACAACATCTAAAGGCCTCCAGGTTCCCCACCACTGCCATAAACACACCATTCTTTGCTCCTTAGCAAGCTACCTTTTCATAGTGGCTCGATCAGAGTCAAGGGTGTTTCGAAAAAGCAAATACTTTTTTTTTACCTTTGGGTTGGGGGCTATTGGAGTCTTCCAAAGACAGTTTCAACTGCTGTATGAACTCGCTGCCATACACACTCCTCTCTTGCCAGATGTTCAGCAATCGTTCCAAGGGCTTTTTGCAGCCCTCATCTGCCTCTCTGGAGGGTCAGAAATTCAGAACGTCAGAAAGGGGTTGAGAGAGAACACACACACTAGTGGGGAAAGTGGTAGAGGGTGTCCACTCCATTCCTTCCCTCCCACGTAAAATGTTTAAGGAGAGACACAATCAGAGACAAAACAGGGATGAAACTGAGCTAAACCCATCAGGCTTCCCAAGTAAGGTGTTCACCAGCATGCCAGCCACTTATATCAATAGGCACACAAATTTGAAATTTGCAATTTCAAAGTAAAAGGAATACTTAGTCATCAGCAACACACCCAGTTAAGTATAGAGTTATCCAGAACACACTTGCTCACTTATTCATCTGTGTGTTCTAGATATAATCAGTTTGCAGACTAAGGTCTTCCCTAAATAGCACCACAGCCTTTAAGTAGCTGATAACATACAGTGCGCCAAGAAATGACACGTAGCTGCTCATTTGTAGCTTGCCCCACAGTGAGAGAACAGTCACTCAATGACAGATGGAGCGAGCCAAGCAGAAAGGCAATCTGGTGGAAAAAATCTGATAAATCCATAGCATTTGAGAAGCTGACCTCACTTAAAATGGTGTTCAGACAGAGCAAAGGCACGTGGAATAACTAGCAATTGCACAAGGCTGCCAACTGGGGGTCTGAAGGAAACAAGCTGAAATTTCTGCAGGGAATACTCCAAGTGGTAATGTGTTTGCCACAGTTATAACTCTTCAAATAACAGATCAAAGGAAAGTTAGATTTGCTGAAATCTGAAAAGAACACTTCTGCAGCGCAGAATGATCAAATACAGTGTGTCCAGTTCAATCCCAGAGGGAGCAAAGCAAGCGTGCATTAAGGAAGCCCCTTGTAGTACAGTCGGTGTAGAGCCTGCAGGCCTACTGCTCATGTTTCAGCCGCAGAGAGCAAACCCTTCCCCCCAATCCTAATGCAGGTCTTCACCTGCTGAAGGACAACATGGAGGGAGACAGTCTACCTTCTCCGGGGGGGGGGGGGGAGTTCCAGAGTCTAGGAGCAGCTACCGAGAAGGCCCTTTTCCATATCCCCCCAGGGTGTGCCTATGAGGGCGGTGGGACTGAAGAAAGGACCTCCCTTGAAGATCTGTTTTCGTTAACAGTCTGGCTGCTGCGTTCTGCATTAAACGAAGTTTCCAAACTTCACAGATAGCCCCATATGTAGCACATTGCAGTAATCCAGCCTAGAGGTTGCCAGAGGCATTAGAAGAGGTTGCTATACATACCTGGCAACGTGTGAAAAAGCATCCACCAGAACCGATTCAAATTCCCTTGTAAACTCAGGCCCCTTCCTTTTACTGTTTTGGATGACGTCATTGGCCAAGTATAGGAAAGTCAGTTTCCTACTTGACTTTGCTGGGAAAATAGAAGAGGAAAAAAATATCTGTATAGCATGTTTAGCTCTCAAGTCACCCATCCTTTTCATTCAGTCTCACAGCCACCCTCGAGGTCGACATCACAAACAGAAGCCAAATTCTCATTTCATGCCCCCTTCTTTAAAGCCAGCAGCAGATCTACACTTAACCAGAGCAGAGCTGCAGAAGCACAACAAGGAAAGACGTCTTGTGGCAACTGAAAGACCCAACAGATGGTTTATTGTGGCGTCAGCTTCCACAGGCTAGTATATATTTCATTTCATGCAAGGTGACCTCCCAAGCTGGCTTGCTTTGTTCTTGAAGATTCCTGTGGTTAGCCACAGTAACGCCATGCTTTCAAGACAAAACAGCTCTCAATTAGCCTATTTCAAGTCAGATGGGTGGCTTACAAAATGAAACAAACCTTGTTTTATTGCATTTTATCTTGTATTTTTATTGTTTACATTTATTGTTTAAATTATTTTAAACACAGCATTAAATAATAAGGCACAACCAGAAACAAATCAAAGGAAACAAGCAAATTTAAAAACATTAAAAGCTTAAGAAAATCTTAATGTCCTTTGCAAAAAAGGAACTAGACCAGGGGTCAGCAACCACAAAGGGCCCATGGGGGTCGCTTAACTGGTTCATGGACCCCCACCGCCCGCTCGGTCGGCTCCCATGCGCCGTGCTAAACCGGCACAGAGCAGAGCAGGGACCGCCTTCTGCAATGTTGGCTGGCTTCCCATTGGCTGCAGGAAGCTCCTGCCAGCCTATGGGAAGTTGCACATGCCTCCTCCGCACTGGAAATAGCGTTTGCACATGCGTGCATGCGCACTCTGGCCCACCGCGGCGAGCCACAAAAGCTTTGCCGACCCCTGAGCTAGACCAAGCACTGTGGACTTTTCAGGAAAAGGCATTCCACAACAGAGAGGCCACTGCTGAAGAGGCTCTTTCAGCGACTCATAATCCCCTGCTGAGCCTCACTTGCTGGGAGCATTCAAAGAAAGGCATCCAATTTAGAGCTCAGGGTCTGGGTAGGAAAGCACCAGGTAAACTAGGCCCAGGCATGGACTTGCCCTTCCCAGACGCCCTGCTCATGCCTGCCCAAATACAAAAGGAGTCACTCTCTATTGAGAAACCATGCCAACCCCTATGGCATGGTGTGGTGTCTAAATTAACAAATTTCATAGAATTCTGCTGCCCTTGGAAAAGACTTAGGTTCCCAGACTTGAAGAGAAAGGAAGTCTGGAGAGTTGAAGGGAAGAAAAAAGAAAACAGCTACCAAAAAAGCATTTCTTTGCACCATCAGCACTTGCAGCTGGTGCTCATTCTAATTACAATATTCCAAGAAGAGTTGTGTGAACTGCTTGGCTGCACTGAGCTGTTTCAGTGGTAATTATTTCAATATCAAAGCCAATAAATATGACTTATTTGTAGAAATCCTTAAAAACAAGCAAGCAAGTGGCATTGACAAGAATGAACTCATCGGTAATCACGGTGAAGGCTTGGGGAAAGAGGCAGCCCCAGAAAACAATGTTGATGCTGACAGGCTGTGCGATTCTACGATAGCTTTCATCCAAGCATGCCCTATATTGCTCAAACCTGACAGGCCACAGTATCAAAGCTAAGCTTTTGAAAAACAACAACACCCTGGTAGCCTCGTACCAAATTAAGAGAACACAGATGAGGGGCAGTGGCGGGAGGGGCTTATTCATACCCCACAGATGCTTGCAGGGGTCAGGAACGTAAACCCCCCCCCGCCGCAAATCTGTTGTTCCCTGTATTTCCTTTTTATCTGTTCTGAAGATAAAAGTTCAACTTCATTGCAGTGAGCCACACACATGGCTTCTTTGCACCATGCGTTCAACAGGTTCCACTCAATGCAAACTGGCTCCTTTGAGTCAAAACGCAGAAACCGCTTGGCATCCTAACCAAGGAAGGGTGGTTCACAAATTGACTATCAAAAATGCATGCCACAGAGCATCAAATTGATTCAAAAAAATGCATGGCACAGCACGTCAGAGCAGCAGTAGTACAGTCTTTATTGCAAGTCTTCTGCCCTCCCCAATTCAAAACATGACAATTTCATTAGAGTTCTGAATAGTTCATTAAGTTCAGAGTGACTATAGCGGTAAGTGCCTGGCACCAACCAGCACATTTTAAATTCCAAAAAATAAATGTCCACCTTAGACTCCTAACAGAGCTTTCTAACTGTAGAAGCAAGGCATCACCCTAAGGTGATGTGACCTGGTACCGCCGGGTGCTGGAGGGGCAGGGGGAAGACGGGGGCAGACAAAGTGAGTGCCACACTTCTGGAAAGGCACCAGCTACTGAGACCCCATTTAGGTGTGAAACCAGGTATCTTTCTCTTACTTTACCAACTGAGGGATCACTCCTTGCTAACAGTCAGCTCAAATGTTATTTGCAAATCGTATATTTTTAGAACCAGCAGGACAGGATCAAGAACAAACACTTTGCCCTTGAAGCTGAATACTGAACAATAGACTATACTGTGCACCAGAGAACAGACAACCCAGGCTATTCAGAGCAATTCAATTTAGTTTTCTGAAGATGTTCTGGGCCAATGTGTAGCTTGCCAGTTGCCCCTGTTGACTTTTGACCCTAACAGGCCTGCAATTTTTAAACCCTCCCTTTCCCATACCAGGTTTACCCAGCACTAAGCAAAGAGTGCCTTTTGACACATGTCTCTCCACCAAGACACACAATCAATTAATTATACTATCAAGGCTGGAAGAATAGCTTTCTTATGAGGGGGTAAAACTGAGCTCAGCACCTGCCATTAGAAGAACAGCCACAATGTAAGTTCTTAATTCCTCAAACACATCCTTTGTCAAGGCCCTGTGTTGGGCGGATACAGAGAAGCTGAACAACTCAGCAGGTGATAAATTAGTAGACATTTTGTCAAAACTGAAGCTTGAGGAACAGAAGAATCATACAAGGACCAGTCCCAGTGGGAGCTCTACAGGCAGAAAGTCTGAGCCTTCCCTGATCAAAGCTGTGAAGACCACATCATCAGTTCTTATGCTCAGGTTCTCCAAGCTAATCTTCAGCTCAAGCCGCCACTGAGAGGGGTGGGGAAAGAGCCTGCAGATCAAGTTGCATTACAAATGACAAGTTGGGATGTTAAGCGATAACAAGCCCACAGCCCAAGTTCTGCAGGGATCCCCAGCTCCTAAATGCTGCCCTGCAGAAGCAAATAAAATTTTTATTATTTATTGAATTTATATACCGCCCTATACCCAGGGCTCTCAGGGTGGTTCACAGAAGACACCAAGCTTCTGTTACCACCCACCCACCTTATCTCAATGACACAGGAACCTGAAAAAAGGCCTCGGTAGAAGATATTAACATCCAGGCAGGTTGATCATCTGGAGAATCAGATTAAGGTTTCTAAGTATTCATGGACTCTTTTGATGTGGCAGAAGGACCTGTCTTTTAATTGTACAGGTATGCTTATTGTAATTGATTTTTAATATTTCTATTTATTAGTAAGTACCTGGGCACCTGGGTCAAAAGCCATGTAGGGCTTTCAGAACCAAAATCCACACCTTTTATTGGAATCCAGTGAAGCCCTTTCATAACTGGCAAGATATGATCCCAGTGGACTGCTCACAGTTAAAATCCCAGCAGCTGCATTCTGAGCGTGTTACAGCTCCCCAAGTGTCTTCAAGGGCAGCTCCACATACAGCACATATTAACAGCATGGGGTAATGGTTCCCAGAGCTACCTTCTGATACCAGCCCTGCAAGTAGCAGGGGAACCTCCACACTTCCAGCTCACAACTCACACAGCTGTTCTAGAAAGATGTTGTGAACAATGGGATCTGGAGAGCCTCCACAGGCCTCCCAACAACCCTGCTCTGCTCTGGAAGGCTCTCCTACAACACACCCTTCCAGGACAGCACATAGTGCTCTGGTCAGGCAATTGTTCAGCCATGCTGGCATTCCCTAACCTAATGCAGTCTTTCGGGGGACTTGGCACTCTGATCACACGACTATTCAACCATGCTGGCATCTCACGTATCCTTTCTAAAGAGGGGGCATGGTTCTCTGGGTATGCCACGCTTGCACACCCACCCACCACACCTGTGCGCTCTTTCCCAGGAGGGGGCACACTGCTCTGATTACATGACCGTTCAGCCATGCTGACGGCCATAAGAACCAACTCCTAGGAGCTGAGGTCCCATAACATATTTGAGGGGGGCAAAGTTGGTAGGCATTGCAATTCGAATGGTGTTTGTGCTGTGTTGTTGCAGGAATTTATGTATAGGTTGGGGGGGGTTGCCCCTCCAGCAGATATCATGCACATGCAGCCCACTACCAAAATCAGAACAATCACTTTTGTGACTTGTCCCCACCAAACACTTCATCACAGTTTCTTCCTATCTATTCAAAGGGCCTTTGCTGCACAATACCAAATGTAACAATTCACTTATTTATCTATGTACTGGGTCACTGGGAAAACTTCAGAAATTCCTATAGACATGTGAGCTCAGCTACTCAGCAGCTCCTCTGCCTGAGTGATAATCCCTGGCATCCTGATACCTGAGTGCCAGACAGGTAGCCATTCCAGAAAGAACAAACCCAGATGAAGACAAAAGGGTATGATGAACTTGGCTGGGAAACAGGGAAATTTAAATATCTCTTTTGTTACACTTGATGGGTGTTTGGTGGAGGGCAAGGAGAACCATGGGGCAGGGTCCAGGATGCTCAGATTACTGCCACCAGACCTCCCCTTTCATGATGTAACCGTGATGTATGAGTGATGTCGTTTTGGAGCGTGTAACATGGGGACTGGCCGCTAATAAAAGTTTGGGTTCTCTTTTGTTGGGGGCTTCCACCCCATCTTGTGGCAGTTGGGAGTCCTGTCACGACAGTCTTCAATAAAGACCAAGCCTACTGGCTGCTGTTTTGCTCTGGTATTCCCGGCTGGTGTCCTTGTTTTTTTTGTCCAAGGGAGCCCTCAGATTTCTCCGTTAACAGTGTAATGTGATCAATTATTGGTACCCCTACTGGCAACTTGTGCGCTCTTTCCCATGAGGTGGGCACGCTGATTTGATTACATGACTGTTCAGCCATGCTGGTGGCCATAGGAACCAACTGCTAGGAGCTGAGGTCCCATAACATATTTGAGGGAGGCAAAGTTGGTAGGCATTGCAATTCGAACGGTGTTTGTGCTCTGTGTTGCTGCAGGAATATATGTATATAGGAATTTATGTTATGTGATCAATTATTGGTACAAGTGAGAGCTGGACCATAAAGAAGGCTGGCGGCCAAAGAATGGATGCTTTTGAATTCTGGTGCTGGAGGAGACTCTTGAGAGTCCCATGGACTGCAAGAAGATCAAACCTTTCCATTCTGAAGGAAATCAGCCCTGAGTGCTCACTGGAAGGACAGATCCTGAAGCTGAGGCTCCAAGACTTTGGCTCTTCTCTCCTGAGAAGAGAAGACTCCCTGGAAAAGACCCTGATGTTGGGAAAGATGGAGGGCACAAGGAGAAGGGGATGACGGAGGACGAGATGGTTGGACAGTGTTCTCGAAGCTGCAAACATGAGTTTGACCAAACTGTGGGAGGCAGTGGAAGGCAGGAGTGCCTGGCGTGCTCTGGTCCAGGGGGTCACAAAGAGTCGGACACGACTAAGCGACTAAAAACCAACAACTGGCAACACACCCACCCACCCCCTTCTCTGGTTACACAACGGCTCAGCCACGCTGGCCCCCTGCTTCCTCTCTCTCTCTCTCTCCCTTCCCTTTTACGCGACTGTTGGGCCATGCTGCCCCCCCCTCCCCGGACCTAGCCGTGAAGGGATGCGAAAGAGGAGGGACCCGGGGGAGAGAGGGCGAGCGCCCCCCGGCCTCCTCTCTTCCCCGCGTCCCCCGGCGCCCCGCCGCCTCCCTCCTCCTCACCCTTACGGAGCTCTCGGTGCCAGACGGTGACGATGGGCCCGGCGTGCTTCCGGTGGTGGATGAGCCACAGGCTCAGCGTCTGGACGCTCTGCTGGGAGTTGCTCAGCTCCGACAGCTTCCGCTCCAGCGCCGACTCCGAGAACGAGGACATGGCGCGGCCGGCGGCGGCGGAGGAGGAGGAGCAGGAGGAGAGGAGCTCCGCCCGGCCCGGCCTGGCGCGGCCTCGCTGGAGCGGCCCGGCCCCGCCGCCCTCCCTCCCTCCCTCCCTCCCGCCCGGCCTCACAGACGACCAACCGCCGACACAAAATGGCCGCGCGCCCTTTCACCCCGGCGCCGCGCGAGGGTCAGGGGGCGGCATGCTACGGGGGGCCAAGGGGGACAAACCACCCAGGAGGCGCGAGAGAGCGGCGGCCGCTGCTGCTGCTGCTGCTTCGGCCGGACAAGCGGCGGCAAGTCCAGCCGGCGCCGCCCTAAAGCGCACGCGCGGACTCCCAGCGACGCGTGCGCAGTAGGGCCCGGCCGCCGCGCATGGGCGGTGCTGCTCCGGTGGGACGTTTGTCGCTCCTTCCCGCTCGCCCGTCTCCCCCGCGGGAGATATTTCGCTCCGTCAGAATGGTGACTTCCGGCATGTGGCGAACTCTCGCTTTCTCCCGAGCAGCGCCTGAGGAAGGGAGAAGCGGGGGGAAGGCGGGAGGCCTGGGGGGTGTTTGGGGAGGGGGGAATAGGCGACCAAGTGACCTGCCACCCGGGGTCACTTCCAGGGCCTTGCCGGCGGCCTGACCCCGCCCACTCGCGGGACTCCGGCCCCAGGTGAGGCAGTGTGGCTCAGTGGGTAGAGCGCGTGCCCTCCGGGCATAAAGGCCAGGCCAGGCCCCCTCCTGCAAAGTTGGACCCCAAAGAGACTGGCAGTCTGGGCCAGGGACGCTGCCAGGCTAGACCAGAGGGCTTGACCCCTTGCAAGGCATTGCAGGGGGTCAGGCTGGATGACCCTCGGGGAACCCCTTCCAACTCCACAATGCTGCGATTCCTGCACTGCAGGGGGTCGGGGCTGGGTGACCTTTCGGGGTCCTTTCCAGTTCTACAGTTCCGGGATTCCCAGGCCGCTTCCTTTGTATGCCAGAGGGCTTCTCTTTCCCTCTTCAGCTCCAGGCATTGGCCAAAGCTGCCCTGCCATGCGCACAGTGGGGTAGCTAGCCATGCAGTGAAACTCTTTAAGGGACCTTGAGACTGCCTGCTGTTTTTCAGAGAGCCTTCCTCTAGTTTTTTGAGAACTTAAGGCTGACAAAAGTTATGTGAAGGGGCACATTGGGCTTGTTACCTTTTTTATTTATTTGTTGTGTTTCTCCTCCTGCTCCTCCTGTAACCTGAAAGCTGCTCTCACCAAACTTATTTCCCCTTCCCTCCTCAGGATGACCACGACCGGAGGAGAGGCCTGAGTCGAGGGCGGCAGGGCCAGGCCATGGCTGTTTTCGACACCCCGCAGGAGGCGTTTGGGGCCTTGCGCCCGGCCTGCGTGCAGCTGACCAAAGCCCAGACGGCGGAGAACGTGGAGCTGCTCCGCTCCCAGCTGCGAACGGTCAGCGACTCTGCCCTGCAGGAACTCCAGGAATATGTCCTCTTCCCCCTGCGCTTCACCCTCAAGATCCCAGGGCCGAAGCGGGAGCGCGTGGTCCAGACCGTGGCCCAGTGCGTGGCCTCGGTGCTCTCCGCCACGTGCGTGAAGAAGCCCGAGCTGCTCCTGGAGCTGTTCTCCGAGCTCTGCGTCTGCCTGGCCTCCCCCTCCAGCCCGCAGCAGCTGGCCCCTCTGTCGGAGGAGCTGAAGGAGGCTGTCTTGCAGGCACTGCTGGCTCTCTTGCATTCGGCTTCCGGCGACGTCCTGGCGACTCTGTACCAGCCCTCCAACCTCCCGCACCTGGGCTTTGCTGTCTCCTTGCTGCTCTCCCTGGCGGAGCAGGAGAAAGCCAAGCAGCTGAAGATCACGGCCTTGAGATGCCTGCAAGCGCTGCTTCTGCAGTGTGACTGCGAGGGGGGCCACCGGCCGCTGGACGGCGAGGAGGCAAAGCGTTGTGGGGATCTCTTCGCTTCCTTCCTGCCCGGGATCTCCCTCACGCTCTCCCGGATCATCGCGGGGGACGTCAAGCAAGGCCATGCCGTCGTTGTCTCGGCCGTCAAAGTCTTTTCCCGGACGTTAGCTTCGGTCATGGCAGATGAGCAACTGGCGCAGATCCCGCCAAAGGCGGAGGCATCTGTGCAGGGGCAAGGCAGGCTCTCGGAGCTCGTGGTCTACCGAGACCCCGACTGGGCAAAGAGCACAGCAGCCAAGCTCTCCATCCTGATCGCGAAGGTGGTTGGGTCTGTGTCCGTTCACCCTCACTGGAAGGCGAGGATGGAGCTGGTGGAAATGGTCCAGCTCTTGATGGCAACCTGCGGCCGGTCTTTGGTCGACTCTGCCAGCCAGCTCCTGAAGGCCTTGGTTGGCCTCGTCAACGATGAGAGGCCCGAGATCCAAACTCGGAGCAGCGAGGTCCTGCGGAGCACCGCCGAGCAGGGAAGGGTGGCGGAGAACCGCCTTCTTGCCGACATCCTTTCGGAGGACCTCCACTCCCTGGCCACCGCCCTTCCCCGCCTGATGAGCTCCCAGGATGACCAGGGCAAGACGGTCACCTTGAACTTGCTCCTCGGGTACTTGAAGCTGCTGGGCCCCCGGGTCAACCTGGTTCTGAACTCGTCTTCCCACCTCCACCGCCTCTCCAGGGCCCTTGTGCAAGTCCTGGAGCTGGACGTGAAGGATGTGAAGGTTGTGGAGGAGCGGCGTCTCGGGAACGTGCCAGGACCTTCGCAGCTCAGCAGCAGTGCCCAGAGGAAGTGCTTCCGGTTCTTTGCCGATGAGCGCATATTCTCCTTGCTCCAGCAGATCTGCCGGCTCCTCGGATACTACGGGAACCTCTATTTGCTGGCGGACCATTTCCTGGGGCTGTACGGAGAGTCGGCTGTCTACCGGAAGCAGGCGGCGATGGTCCTCAATGAACTAATTGCTGGAGCAGCTGGGCTGGAGGTGGATGTCCTTCACGAGCGAGAAGAGGTGGCCAGTGCTGAGGATCTCAGAGGCGTCGTGATTTCTGTGCTGGAGGAATACGTGGACCAAGCCAACTGGCATCTGGTCACCAGCATTGAGGCTGAGGAGGTGGCCAGCGAAGCAGAGGCAAAGCGCTCCGGGCTCCTTGCTGTTCCGCCTGGCCAGCCCCTTCCTCTCCCAGATGCCAAGTCCACCGTCCGCACCATGAACGGCAACATCTGGCAGATTTGCATCCAGCTGGAAGGGGTGGGCTGCTTTGCTTCCGCCCTTAAGCAGGACTTCCGCCCGCTGCTGATCTCAGCCTTGTACCCCGTCCTGGAGAAGGCAGGAGATGCCACGCTCCTTATCAGCCAGGCAGCCAGCGGGGCCATGGAGGACATCTGCTGCGCCTGCGGCTATGGCTCCATCCCAGACCTTATCAACCAGAATGCCGACTACCTGGTGAACGGCATCTCCTTGCACCTGCGCCACCAGACTCACGTGCCCCGTTGCTCGCGGGTCCTGGAAGCCATGCTGAGACACTCGGATGCCAATGTGCTGCCCCTGGTGGATGACGTCATCCAGGACATCCTGGTCAAGCTTGACCTGCATCACGCTGACCGGGCCGCCTCGTTCCTCGGGGTCATGCACACGCTGCTGCTGAGGCTAGGTACCGATTCACCGCCATGCTTCTATCCTGCTTTTTCTTTCAAGGAGCTCAAGCCATAAGTGGCTCTGTTTCCCTCTCACAGGGACATGGGTGGCGCTGTGGGTTAAACCACAGGGCCTAGGACTTGCCGATCAGAAGGTCGGTGGTTTGAATCCCCGCGACGGGGTGAGCTCCCGTTGCTCGGTCCCTGCTCCTGCCAACCTAGTAGTTCGAAAGCACGTCAAAGTGCAAGTAGATCAATAGGTACCGCTCCGGCGGGAAGGTAGACGGTGTTTCCGTGCGCTGCTCTGGTTTGCCAGAAGTGGCTTAGTCATGCTGGCCACATGACCCGGAAGCTGTACGCCGGTTCCCTCGGCCAGTAAAGCGAGATGAGCGCCACAACCCCAGAGTTGGCCGCGACTGGACCTAATGGTCAGGGGTCCCTTTACCTTTACTTTTACTTTCCCTCTCACAACAACAGCCCTGTGAGGTAGGGCTTAGCTGAGGGATGGCGAATGGGCCAACGCCAGGCTTCGTGGTCGTGGGGAATTCGAACCCTGCTCTTCCAGGTCTTAGTCCGGCAATCTAACCACTTTGCCACCTTGACTCAGAGTAGGAAATCCACAGCACCCCCTCCAAAATGGGGGACCTCTGTCTTGTCTGTGCTATCCCAGGGGTCCTGGCCTTGGTTTCAGTGTGTTGCTTAATTCACCCATTTCTCCCTTTCAGAAATTCTGTAGCTGAGTTAGGAAATGAACCAGGGCCTTGGATCCGTGCTGGAACATCTACACCACTGGTTCCCAAACTTTTTCAGGCCACTGCGCTCTTGATTCCACATTCGCATCCTCAGTGCCCCCAACCCTGTAAAGATCACTAATCAGGATAGCAGTTTGCCCAACCCACTAAGGAAGAGAACAGCACAATGAAATTCAAAATGGTAACAATTAATTCCATGTTTATTCAAAATCCAATTAAAACTATTTAGTTTAATTAATTCAACAAAGCAGATGAACTTGTATCAGTGATATCAGCTTTTCAAATTCTGTTAGTCCTTTAAACCTCTGGCACCCCCTTCCTGCCCCCTTGCCTCTTAGTGCCTTCCTAGGTAACCCCACTGTCCCCCATGGGGTGGTCCTCCCCACTGATCTACACTCTGTGGGGATGCCAAATGACTCGGGAATAACTCCGTTAATCTATGCATGGGATTTCCTTCAGAGGATGCATACTCAGGAATGCATATGTGAGAGTAATATTCAGCACTGAGAGTTATAGCCAACTAAATCATACTTGCGAGTAGACCTATTGAAATTGAGGCACCTATGTCATGCCTTTTTAAATTTCAATGGGTTTGCTCTGGGTACGATCAGCGCAGGATTCATCCCAGAGTTATTCAGAGTCAAGATCTACCTGTTTAGAAAGGAACAAATTGAATTCCTTGAAACTTCCTTGGTCTGCAGCCTGATTGTCCCAGTTGCAGAGGAAAGCCAGGAGAATTTGTAGCTGCTACTATGTACTGTACAGTACCTCTTTTTGTTTTTTAGAACTTTATTAATGAATCAAAATATCTTACACAATGAAGCGAAACGAATCTGGTGGTGACTTGCTATCATAGTTCTATAGTATATGGGAGCATGAAGAGGTTGATTAAAATCAGACCAGAAAATGGGATTATCGTTCTCTCGGGATCAAAGAGGGCTTGTGGTAGTGGATTTGGGTATGTGGTCAGCACCAAATAAATCTGGTTCCGTGGGAATTTGCCAGTTCCTTAATGCATGTCAGAAACATCCATCATGAGAGGGCTGTTGGCTTGGTGGTGTCTTGTAAAACACACATCAAATGATTCCACTCTTCTGCAATTGGGATGTGTAGGGCCTTCTGATACCAAATGTGAAGGGAAAAATCAAACATATTTCTCCATTATTGAGCAATAGTCAACCTAGCCGCAGCGAACAAATATATAATAAGAGTTTTACAAACTAGTTTTCCACGGTTTTACGAACATAGCCTGGCATGGAGATTCACTGCACTGTGTCTTCCCTGTGTGGCTTAGCCCTCTTTCCCCAAATTGGGACTTAAATCTATATCCCAGCTGCCCAGAATAGAACCCATTTCGTAGCCAAGTTCAGGATTGCTGTGTTGGGCTTAAGGAAGTCACGCTTTCATCCTCTTGGCAGCTTCCTGGTTTGCGGTGGAGCGCCGAACAGAGAAGAATTTGGAGCACGAAGGTGGCCGTTTCTCGGGAGCAGCTGAGCAGAGTGAGGAAACCCCTTCTCCGCCACTTCTCACCGCAGAGACCATGGAAGAGTTCTTCCTCGAGTACATGAAGCAGAAGCGGATTGCAGAAGGCAATCTCACAGAGGAGGAGGAGGAGGAAGGTCAGTACAGCTGGAAGCGCTTCAGGTCTCTGGTCGGAGCCCAGAATGCTCTTCCCCTACACTCATGACCCTGCATGTGCATGGAATGCTATAGCGGCATTTGGGAGAGCTTGATCTTTTAGTGTGGCAGCAGCTGCCCTTCGGAACTCCCTGCCTATTGACGTCAGGCAGGCGCCTTCACTGTACCCTCTTTTGGGGCCTGCGAAAAACATTCTTGTTGCAGAGGGCCTTCTCGGGAGTGACGCCCGCCCTGTGGAACACCCTCCCATCAAAGAGATAAACAACTACTTGATATTTAGAAGACATCTGAAGGCAGCCCTGTTCAGGGAAGTTTTTAATGTGTGGCATTCTAATGCATTTTTAATCTTTGCTGGAAGCCGCCCAGAGTGGCTGGGGAGACCCAGCCAGATGGGCGGGGTACAAATAATAAATTATTATTATTATTATTATTATTATTATTATTATTATTATTATTATTATTTATTGTTTAGACTAGCCTACCCAGATGAGTGTGAGTTTTAACCTGCTTTTAGTCTATTGCTAGTTTAACTTTTTGAAAGTTTTGAAATATTGTTCATCTTTCATAGATTTTGTTGTTGTTTAGTCGTTTAGTTGTGTCCGACTCTTCGTGACCCCCTGGACCAGAGCACACCAGGCCCTCCTGTCTTCCACTGCCTCCCGCAGTTTGGTCAAACTCATGCTGGTAGCTTCCAGAACACTGTCCCACCATCTTGTCCTCTGTCGTCCCCTTCTCCTTGCGCCCTCCATCTTTCGCAACATCAGGGTCTTTTCCAGGGAGTCTTCTCTTCTCATGAGGTGGCCAAAGTCTTGGAGCCTCAGCTTCAGGATCTGTCCTTCCAGTGAGCACTCAGGGCTGATTTCCTTCAGAATGGATGTGTTTGTTCTTCTTGCAGTCCATGGGACTCTCAAGAGTCTCCTCCAGCACCAGAATTCAAAAGCATCCATTCTTTGGCGATCAGCCTTCTTTATGGTCCAGCTCTCACTTCCATACTGCTTTGAGACTTTTTTCCTACAGTCAAGCAGTGCAGCATAAAGTTTATGAAATAATAATAAAAAAATGTGTTTAAGTTCCACCCTGTATCGTTCCCATAAGTGCCAACAACCCTCCTTTCTCCTTCCCAGAGGATCAGCTGCCTTCTCTGGAGCCAGAAGCCAACAAGCAGAGCCTGGAGACAGAGAGCCTTTTGCCAGCCCATGCCCAGACTGCCAAGGCCGTGATGGAGAGATGTGCCCACTTGCTCTCCGACAAGAGTCTCCATGTGCGGCTGAAGGTATGCCTTGGAGGAGCAGCCAGAACACCAAACGCTCTGCTGTTGGCCCAGCCCTGGAGACGGTATCCAAGTGCCAAGGGCCAGCCCTTGCTTTGAACATGTAAAACAACAATGAAACGAGTTGCTTCGAGCATGTCCGCAGTCCCTTTTTCATGCGCCTGAGACTGATGGGCTTGGCTCCCAGCTCAAAGCGCTGATCTTAAAGCCAGCCAGAGGGTACCCTTGGGTATAATGCGAAGAATGGGTTAAATGACACAGTGCTAGGCCTCATATCTTGAGGAGCACATCCTCCGTGTCTGGATGCTCTGAGATTAGGGTGTCAGGTGCCCTGGGTCACCATAGCAACACCAGCGAGGTCGAGTGTATGATTTGCAGAGTCCTTCGCCCTTCCGTTGGTTCAGGGATGGGGAGACAGGCATAATGGTCTCCAGGGCATCGCTTTTAATAAATAATAATAATAATAATTTTTTATTTATACCCTGCCCTTCCCGGTTCAGAAAACCGGGCTCAGGGCGGCTAACAACAAATTTAAAACACTTAATTGATGCTACAAAAAACAGCATAAAATACGGTATCAAACATGAATAACAATAAAATTGATTTAGGGGGAAAATCCATCCAATAAACATTAGATGATCACCAGAGCTAGCTGGCTAAATTAGTCCTATTTGGGCCAGTGAGGAGACCAGGGGAGAATTCGCTGTGGGATCCCAGAGTGGGTGATCTTCATAAAAAGGGGAGGGGGAGGGAAGGAAGGGGAATAAAAGATCAGGCTGAATTCAAATTAAAGGCCAGGCGGAATAGCTCTGTCTTACAGGCCCTGCGGAAGGAAGTTAAATCCTGCAGGGCCCTGGTCTCAGGAACGGCTAAGGGAGCTGGGCATGTTTAGCCTGGAGAAGAGGAGGTTAAGGGGTGATATGATAGCCATGTTCAAATATATAAAAGGATGTCACATAGAGGAGGGAGAAAGGTTGTTTTCTGCGGCTCCAGAGAAGCGGACACGGAGCAATGGATCCAAACTACAAGAAAGAAGATTCCACCTAAACATTAGGAAGAACTTCCTGACAGTGAGAGCTGTTCGACAGTGGAATTTGCTGCCAAGGAGTGTGGTGGAGTCTCCTTCTTTGGAGGTCTTTAAGCAAAGGCTTGACAACCATATGTCAGGAGTGCTCTGATGGTGTTCCTGCTTGGCAGGGGGTTGGACTCGATGGCCCTTGTGGTCTCTTCCAACTCTATGATTCTATGATTCATGGGACAGAGCATCCCACCTGGTTGGAGCCATCACTGAGAAGGCCCTGGCCCTGGGGGAGAATAATCTGACTTCCTTAGGACCTGTAAACTATGAGTATGTCCTGTTGTCCCGATCTCGTCCTGATGTTGAACCCTGCGCTATTTGCTGTCAGGGTTTGACTCTGAATCTGTCAGAGAAAGAGGCTGTAGGTTTTACACAGCAGCGTTTCGCTAGCATGGCAGTGGTGTAAGCATTTCTCTCTGCTCATAGGTCGATAGTAGTGTCTAGCTTCGTCTTGTGTCTGGAGACAAAAAGCACATTGTTCCTTTGAACTGTGCAGGAGAGGAGTTTCCCCTTAACCGGGCACTCTGGAAGAAGGCCTCTGCTGGGAGCAAGATATCTCTGGAGACTCTCCTGGGGCTCCACACCCTCTGCCGACACATTACGCAAGTTGAGGGGTGGTCAGCTACCAACTGACTCCCGCAAGTGACCAACACATTTTAGTCTTTGAAAAAGAGATCAAGGACTGTTTCCTTCTCAAGGTGAGAACAAACAAGAGGGATGCACACTCTTACATCGCAGAATCACTCGTCTAGCTGTCTCCAGCCCCAACTCTGTTAATGCCATTGTGTTTCTCCTCTGAATTCTCCTGCGCTTCCCCTGGCAGGTCCTGGATGTCTTGGAGCTCTGCGTAACGGTACTGAGCCCCCACGAGAGCCACCTCCTTCCCTTGGCCCATCGGACGTGGCCTGCCCTCGTCCACCGCCTGACCAAGGACGACCCTCTGGCCGTTCTCAGGGCCTTCAAGGTGAGCCTGTTCAGAATCCTCAACACCCACCCACATCCCACCGGGGCCAGGAAGGGGCTGAACTTGGCCCCTGACGCAGTTCCGGCAAGGGAGGAGCCAGCCGTCTTGACCACAGTCTAGTTTCATGGGCATGATCTGCGGAATTTGGGGCTTCCCCTTGTATTGAATTTTTGCAGATTCTGAAAATGAAGGGTGCTAAAACGTCGTAACGTGGCTTGGGGATTCAAAATATATTTTGGTTAAATTAATATAACTTAGTTTTCTCGGTAAGGAAAATTGCATGGAAATCATTGATTGCCAGGTATTTCCAGTTACATCACCACCATCGTTTAGCATTAGCTGACATTTTCAGAAGGTGAAATTAAAAGTTATTTGGTTTTCCAAAAGCAGTTTACATGATTCTTCATCAGATGTAGACTTACCGAGCTAAATGCTGTCTAGTCACAAAAATAATAGCAGATTTTAATTCCTCACACCCAAAAACACATTTTAAGGAAAGAGATTTGCAGAAATTAAGTTCCTCCCCTAAAATAGCACACCATAGTCCTCTGTTTAATAAAACTATTTTTTTTTTTAAGAAAAGAGTATGTGATAATAATAATAACATTTTATTTATATCCCGCCCTCCCCAGCCGAAGCCGGGCTCAGAGTGGCTAACAACAGTAAAAGTAACACAGTTTACATAAAATCACAATCAATTAATTGAAATACATTCTAAAATCAATTCAGAATAAAATCAATTCAGAATAAAATTAATGGAAACCATTGGGCTAGAGTTCTGTGAGGATTGCCAAAGGAGCGGGTCAGGCTGTGCCCTGGCCAAAGGCCTGGTGGAACAGCTCTGTCTTGCAGGCCCTGCGGAAAGATGTCAAGTCCCGCAGGGCCCTAGTCTCTTGGGACAGAGCGTTCCACCAGATCGGGGCCATGGCCCAAAAAGCCCTGCCTCTGGTTGAGGCCAGCCTAACCTCCCTGTGGCCTGGGACCTCCGAGATGTTTTTGTTTGAAGATCGTAAGTTCCTCCGTGGGGCATACCAGGAGAGGCGTTCCCGTAGGTAGGAGGGTTCTAGGCCGCATAGGGCTTTAAAGGTTAAAACCAGCACCTTAAACCTGACCCTGTACTGAACCGGGAGCCAGTGCAGCTGGTATAGCACTGGGTGAATGTGATCCCGCGGCAAGGACCCCATAAGGAGCCTCGCCGCGGCATTCTGCACCCGCTGGAGTTTCTGGGTCAGTCTGAAGGGCAGCCCCAGTTTCTGAATATCAGCTGCTGGAAACCACAAAAGGCCAGTCGCCACAGTGGCCAACCAGACGCCTGTGGGGAGAAACCCACAAGCAGGATTCGATCGCAGGAGCCCTTCTCCCCTCCTGCAGTTTCCAGCAGTGAGAAGCATTGCTTCTTCCAAAAGAAAGCAAGTCGGCCGATGAGAACAACGCAAATTTGCAATAAGCAAAACAGGGAATAAAACTAACAGCCTGACAGTGCGGTCCAGCGTTGAGCTCCGTAGTGCTAACTGAGTGTGGGGGCACCAGGTTGGTTTCCGCAGTTGCAGCCTGGCTGAAAAAGCAAAGTGAGAAACAGGGTCACAGGGGGAAAGTGGCGCAGCAAAGAGGACATCTCCCTCCCTATATTTCATCTCCTCTTTGTTTCTCAAGGGCTGGTGCAAGATCTGCTTTGGGGGGGGGGATTGTGCTCCCCTTTTAGCGAATCTGGCCCAGCTGTGCGCCAGCAGATCCTTCCAGTTGCCAGCTGACATGGAAAGGAAGAAGCATTCGATGCCCTCCAGGCTTCCAGCTCCGAGATCTGGCCTACAAGGAGAGCGTTTGAAGTGCAAATGGTTTGAGCGACTTAAAGCTAAAAGCGTAATACACAGGGGCCCCCACCTTGGGGGGGGGGACAAAAACCCCCAGCCAAGCCTGCAATACCCAGCCAACATCTCAAGGACCAGGCAGGATTTTTTTACACAGAGAGGAGAAGACGTTATCGAGGAACGCAGTTACCTTTTCAGCATTTTGAGATATGCTGCCAAGCAGCAGGGAAGGTGATACTTTTTAATTATAGAAATCCCTTTGATCGTGGTGGCCTCCTTTCTGCAGAGAGGGAGGGAGAGAACTTCAGTGCGGCAAGGGACCCCACCCTCCCTGTGCTGGGTGGGCCTCCTCTTGGCAGCCGAGTTTAGAATCGTAGAATTGAGGAGTCGGAAGGGGTCCCAGGGGTCATCTAGTCCAACCCCTGCGATGCCTAGAGGCTTAGCAGTTCTTGCACTTTCTTGTCTTTAATAATAATAATAAATAATAATAATTTTTTATTTATACTCCGCCCTTCGCGGTTCAGAAAACTGGGCTCAGGGCACCTAACAACAAATTTAAAACATTTAATTGATGCAACTAAGAACAGCATAAAATACAGTATAAAATGTGAATAACAATCAAGTCAGAATTTAAAAATCAATTTAGGGGGGAAATCCATCTAATAAGGGCTAGCTGGCTAAATTAGTCCTATTTGGGCCAGCGAGGAGACCAGGGGAGAATTAGCTGTGGGATCCCAGAGTGGGTAATCTTCATAAAAAGAGGAGGGGGAGGGAAGGAAGGGGAATAAAAGATCAGGCTAAGTTCAAGTTGAAAACCAGGCGGAATAGCTCTGTCTTACAGGCCCTGCAGAAGGAGGTTAAATCCTGCAGGGCTCCTGGGACAGAGCATTCCACCAGGTCGGAGCCATCACTGAGAAGGCCCTGGCCCTGGAGGAGGATACTCTGACTTCCTTAGGGCCCGGGACCTCTAAACTATGATTTTTCATGGACCTTAAGGTCCTCTGCGGGGCAGACCAGGAGAGGCGGTCCCATAAATAGTCCTTTGCATGATGCTGCAGGCACCCCCAACTTGCACATTCGCTCTCATACACAGAGCTGCGCGGCACTGTGCAAACAGTGTGCAAGCCCAACCTGCAGTATTTGCTCCGAGCCCCCCAGACTTTGGCTGAACGTGACATAGAGAAATAATAATAATTTATATTCATAGCCCACCCATCTAGCTGGGTTGCCCCAGCCACTCTGGGTGGCTCCCAACAAAATATTAAAAACACAATCAAACACCAGCCATTAAAAAACTTCCCCGAACAGGGCTGCCTTCAGGTGTCTTCTAAAAGTCAGATACAGTGGTAGCTCTGGATGTGAACGGGATCCGTTCCGAAGCACCGTTAGCATCATGAGCAAAACGCAACCCGCATGCGTGGGTCGCAATTCGCCATGTCTGCGCATGCGCAGTACGTCATTCTGAGTGTCTGCGCATGAGCGAGCGGCGAAATCCGGAAGTAACCCTTTCTGTTACTTCCGGGTCGCCACGGGATGCAACCTGAAAAGATCCAACCTGAAGCAAACGTAACAAGAGGTATGACTGTGGTTGTTTTATCTGACATCTGAGGGGAGGGCGTTCCGCAGGGCAGGTGCCACCACCGAGAAGCCTCTGCCTGGGTCTTGTGGCAGATCGCCCACTCAGCGCAGATTCATGCAGAAAGCAAGACTGGGTGCAGGTGGCCTGGCGCAGAGCGGCTGTGCTCGGAAGCAGAATGAAAAAGAGTCCTGCTTTTCATCCTAGGGGAGAAGGGGAATGGAATGGAGTATCCCGGGAAAGGGCATAGCTGGCTAGAAAACTGCACAGGAGCCCTCGATACGGCAGCATTTTGTTGCAGATTGCACTCATTCAAGCAAATGTGACTTGCCTCTGTGAATAAGAGCCTGTTTGGTGGAATTTCCGCAGGTGCTGTGCACTTTGGGAGCCCACAGCGGCGACTTCCTGCGGCGGCGATTCTCCAAAGACGTCCTGCCCAAGCTGGCAGCCTCCCTTGTCACCCAGGCCCCGGTCAGCGCCCGGGCAGGGCCCATCTATAGCCACACCCTTGCCTTCAAGTTACAGCTTGCCGTGCTGCAGGGCCTCGGGTCCCTATGCCAAACTCTGGACCTTGGTGAGTTGTTAATCTGTGGAACTCCCTGCCAAAGGAGGCAGTGACCAACCTAGACTGCTTTAAAAGAGAATTAGACAAATTACAACAGCCGAACGTTTGTAACCTTAGGATAACAGAGCTTGGAAAAACTATTTAAATATACCTTCCCCAAAAAACTGGAAGCTTTTCTGCTGGGGTTGATAGGCGATGAATTAAGAAAAGCAGACCAGAGACTATTTATGTACGCTACGACTGCCGCCAGAATCTTAGTAGCCCCAAAATGGAAAACTCAGGAAATACCAACACTAATGGAGTGGCAGACAAAAATGGTTGACTATGTAGAATTATCAAAACTGACCCACAGGATCCGTGACCAAGAGGAAACAAAGTTCAAAAAGGAATGGAGTAAATTTGTCGAGTATATAGGCAATAACTGTAGAAGTTTAAAGACTGTGGCAGGATTAAAATAAATCTTGTGATGTGTATAGAATGCAACTAAGAACCTGTGAAAGAGAAAATTTAATATGAAAGCCTGTTGAAGGGAGGGAGGGAGGTCTGTGCGCGATAGAGCGTGTAGAAAATAAGCAGACATACGATCATTGAACTTTAGAGTATTTATTTTGTTTGTACATGTTAAAGAAAACTCAATAAAAAGCGTATTAAAAAAAAAGGATAACGGAGGTTGTTGCTTGGGAACCGCAGCACAAGGGGCTCTGCCTGCCTGGCGCTTGGGAACGAGACAAACTCAGGGCTGGCAGAACTTTCTGCAGGGGCCGTGTGTGCATCTCTACCTGCCCAATGCCAGGTGAGAAAGTCTTTAGCATCAGTCTTTAGTCTTTAATCAGTCTTTAACATCATCAGTACCATTTAGACCATGGGAGTGTTTCAACCCTGTTCTTGAGTTTGTTCAAAATCTAAAACAGCTTTATCTTGTATTCCTTTCTTTGAATTTGTGCTATTTAGGTTTTTAAACCTTTTTGTAAAAGCAGCACTAGAATTTTCACAGTTGAGTCCTCAACCCTTTATTACTGTGCTTTGCTTTCTTCAAGCTGGGCTTTGTTTAAAACTTGCCATTTTTGTAGCTTTTTTGTAAATTCAGTATTAGAAACTGTACCTTTGAGTCCTCAATCCTTTATTACTGCGCTTTGCTTTACCTAGGTCAAGCTAGGATTATAATACGTCAGAATTTTGGGGGTTCTACCCTTGTTTGAATCTTGGCCATTTAAGGTTTATGATTTTTCTATTTCCTTCTGAGGAAACTGAATAGTTCAGTGAAACGAGGTTTGTAGCCGGCATCCCGTTAAAGGCTTTGTTCTATTTTAGGTTTTTCTGATTTTTTCCTTAAGCTTTTTGATTTTATTATTTAGTTGATTTCCACAAGGTAATACTTCTAGTCGATTACTTCTCGTTTCAGGGATTTTCACGGTATTTCATTTGTTTTGTGCAATGCCAGCTGAGAGGCAGATGCATGTGCTTTGTGGGAAACGGCCTTGTAGAGACTGCGACTCCCTGTTCTCCTGCCTTCCCAGGAACCAAGTTTCCCTTGCCCACCCTGAGGCCTCGGTTCACTCTGCAAGCCCTAAACCTTGTCCGACCCTTCTTGTTTGCAGATGCAAGCCGACGATCTGCCCACCCTCCAAAGCGCTCCTTGCGCGAGTCGTCTTCCTCTGACGCTTCTCTCTTCCTGTTCCCACAGGTGAGGGCGACCTGAATAAAGTGGAGGACGCCTGCCTCCCCTACCTCAGCGCCAAGCAGCCTGCCAAATTGCAAGAGGCCGCCTGCAGGTAATGGAAACACTGGCAACACAAAGCCTTTCATGTTGTACCCGGAACAGAATTACATAGCAGTGTAGGGTTCCCTCGGCCATCAAGTCTAATCCCCCATCTCTGCAGAAAAGTTGCCCCCTCCTAGATCCATAAATATGCTCCACAAGCAACACCACAAAGCCGGCTGCTTCAGGTGACTCACACAAGTGAGCCAAGGTGCAGGGGGCCTTGCCTTTCACTCAACAGGGACCTGCATTCATTCATTCCATCATTATCTTTATTTTATTTATACCCCGCCAATCTAGCTGGGTTTCCCCAGCCACTCTGGACAGCTTACAGCCTATATAAAACATAGTAAAATATCAAACATTAAAAACTTCCTGATACATTTATACACTGTTTAGGGAAGGTTTAAATGTTTGATGTTTTATTGTGTTTTTAATATTCTGTTGGAAGCTACCCTGAGTGGCTGGGGAGGCCCGGCCAGATGGGTAGGCAATAAGTAATAAGTTATTATTTATTATTATTGCTGCTTGATTGTTAAAAAAAAAAACCTTGACGCAGTTTCCAAAGGGAATAAAACAATAAAACTATCTGTAAAAACAGTAAAAAAACCCCAAAAACCCCATACCTTTGAAATATCCCAAAGATAAAAGTCAGCTATGAACTAAAAAGAGATTAAAACATACGTCCACTTTCTACATATGCAGACAGTCCTTTCTAGATCAAAATGTCTGGAGTCCAGTGAAGGCACTTGCCTGATGCCAAGTGGCAAGGGGTTCCAGCTGCCACCCCACTGAAAGATTGAGTTCTTTCCAACACAGAAAAGGCATCCTGTGGCCTTGTATCAGTGCCAGCTCTGTTGATCAAAGCAGTTCAGTGGGCACATGTGGAATCAAGGCAACCTTGTAGGTAAACTGCTCCCAAGTTCTTCAGGGCTTCCTATGCTAATATTGACACCTTGGACTTGGCCCAGTAGCAAATTAGCAACCGGTGCAGATTTCTGAGCACACACAGGTGTTCTCTGCGGACAAGGGCCCCTCCTCCTGTCAGCAGTTGTGCTGCAGTATCCGGCACTAACCCCAGCCTCTTGGGATTCCACTTCCAGGTAGGTGGACCAGCCAATGAAATCTTCTTACCGTGTAAGACTCTTTGGAAAAAGGCAAATTTAGTTCAGTGGGAAGCCTGCCTAGCCCTGCCTGCTGTTTTCACCAAACCAGGCAAAGGTGGCTCTCCCCCAACACACCCATTTTTTTCTGTTTTCTCTCTTCCGTCCCTTTGGCCCTGAATGACACTTGCGCTTGCCTGAGCCCAAAACTGTTTCTCTCCACCGCTTGGCAAATCCTGGAAAGGGACCAGACCCTCTGTTGCCGTCGTGGCTTCTTAGGTAAAGGTAAAGGGACCCCTAACCATTAGGTCCAGTCGTGACCGACTCTGGGGTTGCAGCGCTCATCTCGCTTTATTGGCCGAGGGAGCCGGTGTTTGTCTGCAGACAGCTTCTGGGTCATGTGGCCAACATGACTAAGCCGCTTCTGGAGAACCAGAGCAGCGCACGGAAACACCATTGACCTTCCTGCCGGAGCGGTACCTATTTATTTACTTGCACTTTGACTTGCTTTCGAATTGCTAGGTTGGCAGGAGCAGGGACCGAGCAACGGGAGCTCACCCCGTCGTGGGGATTCGAACCGCCGACCTTCTGATCAGCAAGCCCTAGGCTCTGTGGTTTAACCCACAGTGCCACCCGTGTCCCTGTGGCATGGCTTCTTAATTTCTCTTTAATACATGTTTAGTCATGTATTAGAGGAGGAAAGAAACCCCCGGTCAACTCTCGTTAATAGCAGAAGAAGCACCAGTGGTTCTGTTGATGGGGCTCCAACCTGTTGGGATGCTGCCAGGGACAAGGGGGCATTTGGCAGCCCCCAGGTGGCTTCGGCAGCCAGGCAAACTCCGGTTCTCGGAACAGCATCAATCAGCAACTTGAGCCTCCGAAACCTTCAGAAACTGAGCACGCTCTTCTCAGCAGAGTGAATAAATCTACACAACGGAAGTGGCAGACAGAAACATGTGTAAGCATTATTTACAGGCGTTTATTCAGCATCAGGAACAAAGGAAAAACATGTCTTCTTCCCTTCGTGTCCAAGCAAACCAGCAGTACAGCAAAAGCAATATACAGCGGAAGTTCCCAGCAGACTGTGCTGGAAGTAAACAGGCATGTGACCTACAACAACTCCACATATCTGTTCCTCTTAAGGAGGAATGGAACATCAATATCCGAACACAACCAAGGCCAAAATACCCTGGGGGCAGGGGCAAGTGGCTCCTTGCTCTGCCACAGTGGGAGCGAAAGACCTTTCCCATCTCCAGAGCTTCTGCAAGCTTAAATTCAAGTTCCGTGAGCCTCTCCCTTCCCAAAGGGACACCCAGCCTGAGTCCTTCCTGCCAAACAGAAGACGGATAGAAGACGCAATAGCCATCTTCAGAGATCTGAATGGCTGTAGCATGGAAGAGGGAGGCAGCTTGCTTTCTGCTGCTCCAGAAGGGAGGGCCTGAACCAATGGATTCTAGTTACAAGGAAGGAGATCCTGACTCAACATTAGGAAGAACTTTCTGAGCGTAAGAGCTGCCCAACAGTGGAACAGACTCCCCTGGAAGGTGCTGGACTCTCCTTCGCTGGAGGTTTTTAAGCAGAGGTTGGGTGGCCATCTGCCAGGGATACTTTAACTGAGATTCCAGCATTGCGGGGGGCTGAGCTAGATGGCCTTTGGGGGTACCTTCCAATCTGCTTTTTTTAAACGCCATGCACTGTTTTATTAAGTTCTATAATGTCGCTTGTTACTCTAAATACCTCCCAGATGCTGCAACCTTTCATCATGGACAAAGTGGGTAGAGAATTTTTTTTCTCCCTGTCTCATAACACACAAACATCCAAGTTGCATGTTGTAGGACTCAGGACAAATCAAAGGAAGTCCATCATCATCATCATCATCATCAAATTTTATTTATATCCCGCCCTCCCCAGCCGAATCTGGGCTCAGAGCGGCTAACAACAGTAAAAATAATACAGTTTACATAAAATCAAAATCAATTAATTGAAATACATTGTAAAATCAATTCATTCTAAAATCAGTTCAAATCAAATTAATGGCAACCATTGGGCTAGAGTTCTGTGAGGATTACCAAAGGAAGGGGTCAGACTGTGCCCTGGCCAAAGGCCTGGTGGAACAGCTCTGTCTTGCAGGCCCTGCGGAAAGATGTCAAGTCCCACACGGCCCTAGTCTCTTGTGACAGAGCGTTCCACCAGATCGGGGCCATGGCCAAAAAGGCCCTGGCTCTGGTTGAGGCCAGCCTAACCTCCCTGTGGCCCGAGACCTCCAAGATGTTTTGTTTGAAGACCATAAGGTCCTCCGTGGGACATACCAGGAGAGGCAGTCCTGTGGGTACGTGGGTCCTAGGCCATATAGGGCTTTAAAGGTTAAAACCAGCACCTTAAACCTGATCCTGTATTTCACTGTGATACCAGAATGCTGGCCTAGGTGGGGCACTGGCCGGATCCAGCAAGCTCTTCCTATGTTCTTCACCATCAGCTGCAGGGCCGCAGATTCCTGCCTACCCCCCCAGCCTGCGCCCAAAAGGCTGTTCTTGGAAAGGGCAGGGCACCGACGACAGCCTTTTTGCAAAGCAGATCGGCCTCTTCGCACCGTAGAGAAGCTTCTGCGCTGAGCAGCCTGCTTCCAACTTGCCCGGACGAGCCAAACCCATCGAGACGCTCCAGCTCCATTCAGCGCAGACCCGGCGGGTTTGCACAAGCCAGCGATTCCGAACCGTTTCTCGCCACAGTTAAAGAGGCGCCTCTCCGTGCTCCCGGCTTGGGCCGCTTTCATTCCCCGCATCCCCATCTGCATCTGCCAAGTTGCAAGCTCTGGTGCAGAGCCCTGCCAAGCGAAAGCTTAAAAACAAAGTAAAAATCAATAAACCGCACTTGAGCAAAGCAAATACAAAGGCGAGCACGTCTGCTTGGATTAACCCAGGCATCTTTCGCCATGGAAACGGAGGTTGCTTGGAAACTGCTGGAGTAAATGCATATATATATATATATATATATATATATATATATAAAAATTGCAGGAGTCAAGTTGCTCCTTAAGCTGCACAGCCCTCTGGACCACCAGGGGAGAATCTCGGCCCAAGAGGAGAAGGGTCTTGGCGTGGAGGGTGGGTCATCCAAGGTCAGTCTGGACCTGAGATGGCCAGTCAGGAAGTGGAGGCGCCTGACGGAAGGGTTCAAGGTGCATCTGTCCTGCCAGGCTGGGGAAGGCAAGTAACCCAACAATTAAACAATTGCAAACAATTATCTGTAATATCCAAGGCAACAATATACCAAGTACAACAATGCAATGTCAATATAAACTCTTTATGTTATAATCTATACAAAACATTAAACAGTATGAAAACAAAATAACAAATAAAATAAGTCTTGTAAGTCTTCTTTCAGAGACTTGCATAGTCTACAAAGACTTTCAGAGACTTACAAGACTTATGTTTATTTGGATCTATGTTTCCAAGAGAATCCATCAAGAGCGCATATCTTGTGACTTTCAGAGATTTGTAAGATTTCTGTTTATTTGGTTTTGCAGAGAGTGCATATTTCATATACAGTCATGTTGCTGTTTAGTCGTTTCCGACTCTTCGTGACCCCCTGGACCAGAGCACGCCAGGCATTCCTGTCTTTCACTGCCTCCCGCAGTTTGGTCAGACTCATGCTGGTAGCTTCGAGAACACTGTCCCGCCATCTCGTCCTCTGTCGTCCCCTTCTCCTTGCGCCCTCCGTCTTTCCCAGCATCAGGGTCTTTTCCAGGGAGTCTTCTCTTCTCATGAGGTGGCCACAGTATTGGAGCCTCAGCTTCAGGATCTGTCCTTCCAGGGAGCACTCAGGGCTGGTTTCCTTCAGAATGGATAGGTTTGATCAAACGTATCCATACAGTCATACCTCTGGATAAATATGCTTCAGGATACGTATTTTCGGGTTGTGCACTGCCGCAACCCAGAAGTAACGGAGCACGTTACTTCTGGGTTTCGCCACTCGGATAGGCGCAGACAGTCAAAATGAAGAAGGAAGTTGTGAAGAAGGAACTTGTATTTTAACCGCCCTGAATCTTCCAGCATCATTGGACGTGGCTTAGTGAGGACTTGCAGCAGCTGTGCCCAAGCTCTGCCGGCTTGGAGGTCCTGGTTCAATCCCCAACATTTCCCGTTAAAAGATCCCTGGCAGGAGAACTGGGGAAGGCCCTTTTGCCAGCGGCTGTGGGGAGTGTTTGCCAGCCTGAGGGTGCCAGACTGGCTGTTTGGCTCGGTGCGAGGCAGCTTCATGCATCTGTTGACTCTGGCCGCTGCCACCCGGTGGGGTTCAAGTGAGATTAGGTTGCCGCATGGTATCCAGTGCCTGGTGGGCTCTGTGGCTTTTGCTGCCCAGACGAGGCAGGCTGTGCGTATCAGTCAGGGCTGCAGAATAAGCAAGCTGGACTCCCTGTTGGAGTTTCTCAGGTGCAAAGGGTGGCATGATGACAGCCCGGCTCTTGGCATCGTTTTGTAGGCACAGGTTTGGGATGAGGGACGGGGATGGGATGAAGCATCTGTGAATCATAGCGCTGCAGAGTTGGGGGGGAGACTCCCAGGGGTCATCTAGTCCAACCCCCTGCGATTCAGGGAATCCCAGCTAAAGAATCCCCACCCAACCTCCGTTTAAAAACCTCCAAGGAAGGGGCATTCACCACCTTGGAAGGCGTAATGGGCGGCATCACTTCCACCTCTTCCTCTGTGATTTGGGGAGCCCAGAGGTCCCTCTCTATATCCTAAGGCATTGTAGTACTTTTCTCTTTCCTGCAGGATCCCCTGTCTCTAACTATTTTATTTTATTTTATTTTATTTATTTTATTATTTTTCATTTCATTTACAGTCATACCTCGGGTTGAAGTTGCTTCAGGTTGAGCGTTTTCGGCTTGCGCTCCGTGGCGACCCAGAAGTAACGGAACACGTTACTTCCGGGTTTTGCTGCTCACACATGCACAGACGGTCAAAATGACGTCATGCTCAGAAGTGGCGAATCGCAACCCACGCAGACACGGGTTGCGTTTGCTTCAGGATGCGAGCGGGGCTCCTGAACGGATCCCGTTCGTATCCAGAGGTACCACTGTATTTCATTTATCGCCTCCATGGAGTTTGAGGTGGCATGCATACCTCTCCTCTTCCTCATTTTATCCTCAAAACAACAACAACCCTCAAGGCAGGTTAGGCTGAGAGCGAGCGCTTGGCCTGCAAGGTCACAGCCAGTGAACTTTGTGGCCCAGCGATGGACTCGAACCCCGGTCAAGTGGGTGCTAGGCCAGCACTCTAACCACTGTGCCACGCTGCCTCTGTACTCACTGAATAAACGCCATTGTAGAGCCCATCTGGTCCTCCCGCGCGGTTCCTCGCCCAAGAGGATGGATTTCTCCAGGTCTGCCAGCCGTTTCCTAGGCCACGGAAGAAGTGCTGCGATTATCCCTCTAGGAAAGGGCTCTTCTGAATCCCAATCAGACCTGAAGAGCCTCTCTTGGTTTCAAGAGCGGTGGCTTGGCTGCGGAGAGCATCTAATTCCAGCCTCGGAGGCCGTGTCAGTGGGCACAGCGCAAACACACCTGCCGCAAAGAGGCAGGGAAGCGGCTGAGCTGGGTGGTGCCTTGCCTGGTACAAACAAGAAGTTGAAAAAGCCACGCAAATCCATTAAAAAGAGAGAGAAGGAGAGACCGGTTTCATCTCCAGAGGCCTTCTCTGTCTGAAGCCAAGTCTTTGGTGTTTGGATTTTGCCCAGTTTCCCGCAGCGGCTCTAGAGGCGGCCAGTGGTTGTCAAACTGCCCACATCCGGGAGGGTAATTCTGGATTGATTCGCCTGGAGAAAAGCCACAGAAATCTGCCAGGGGAATCACACAGGTTTGGGGGGTCCGGCTTGGGCTGCCTAGTCGGTGCCGTGCTTTGGAACCAAGTTGCTTCATCAGTTTGATTTGATTCACTTATATTCTGCTTTCCCCCAATGAGCTGTGGCCAAACCATATTACAGCAGACATTCAGAGCATCAAATTATGGAGCGTCGGAAATACCGCTGTACAAAACGCAGAGCGTGTCAGTAAATACAAAAATGACAAAAATAATCAATTTGGCTCACACAGAAAGACTTCAGAAACCAAAACAATCTAGGCTTTAAGTACATAAACACATTTCAATTTAAGCTGTTTAAATTTTTCAATCCTGATTAAGGCAATTTGTAGCAAAGTAACAGTAGAACAACCACAGCAAATTTACTGGTGTTTTGGCCAATCTGGGAGCATTTTCTGCAACAGCTGCTCCCACACCTGTGGAACTCATTGCCTCTTGAGCTCAGCATGACCAGCAGACTGCAAACCTTTTCGGAAAGTTCTTAAAACGTTCTCTCGAGGTAGAGTACCTGCCTCATTTCTTTGATTACTTTCATTATATTCTCGCAATTTTGAGTGGGCTTTTAAAGAGAAAAGCATGATTTATAGATGCCAGGTCCTTCCATAACCCCCACCATGTGCATTGGCTTCTGTACCTGATATCTGCATTGGAGGACGAAGTCCTATAGAAAAGCAGCAGCAAGGACAAGATTTATAAGTCAGTGAGAAGGTGGCTGCACAATGAAACTGTTTGCAGAGTTCTGTGAGAAGGAGAGAGAGAGAGAGAAGGAAAGGAACTTCTCTGTTGGCGTCAGCTAGGTCGGCCTTCCCCAAACTGGGGCCCCCCAGTTGCCTTTGGACTACAATTCCCATCATTCCCCAAGCCAGCATGACTGCGGTGACTGGGGCTGATGGAAGAAGCTAGAGTCCAAATGAAGAAAATAATAATAATAATAATAATAACAATAACAATAATAATAATACCCCGCCCATCTGGCTGAGTTTCCCCAGCCACTCTGGGCAGCTCCCAATCGAGTGTAAAAAACAATACAGCATTAAATATTAAAAACTTCCCTTCAGATGGCTGCCTTCAGATGTCTTTTAAAGATAAGATAGCTACTTATTTCCTTGACATCTGGTGGGAGGGTGCTCCACAGGGCGGGGGCCACTACCGAGAAGGCCCTCTGCCTGGTTCCCTGTAACTTGGCTTCTCGCAGCGAGGGAACTGCCAGAAGGCCCTCAGAGCTGGACCTCAGTGTCCGGGCAGAACGATGGGGGTGGAGACGCTCCTTCAGGTATACTGGACCGAGGCCGTTTAAGGCTTTATAGCTCAGCACCAACACATTGAATTGTGCTTGGAAGCGTACTGGGAGCCAGTGCAGATCTCTCGGGATCGGCGTTATGTGGTCTCTGCGGCCACCCTCAGTCACCAGTCTAGCTGCTGCATTCTGGATTAGTTGTAGTTTCCGGGTCACCTTCAAAGGTAGCTCCACGTAGAACGCATTGCAGTAGTCCAAGCGGGAGATAACTAGAGCATGCACCACTCTGGCCAGACAGTCTGCGGGCAGGTAGGGTCTCATCCTGCGTGCCAGTGGAGAGCGCCAGGTTGGGGAATCTCAGCAGTCACGTCGCACTTTGAATTTTGTGTATGTGCAATTCCTACTTTTAATAGAGCAAGTTTGGGAAGAGATCATAATGTCATCTCAGGTTTTAAGCTAAGTGTGTGTGTGAGAGAGAGAGAGAGAAAGAGAGAGAGAGAGAGAAGGTATGTTTGCTTAAGATAGATAGATAGACATTCCTTCCAGAGATTTACTTCTTTCTCTCACAGCCTTTTAAAAATTTAATCTCTGAACCAGTTGCTTTATGTAATCACATTCTGAAAATGCAGCTAACTCTGAACCCACAGCTATTCACCTCCGTGTGGGAATGTATTGATGAAGGAAGTTTAAAATAGGATGTGGCAATGCCTTTAATCAGGACTCTCTCGTTTTTTCCCGGGCTTCGGCTCGCAGCAAATAAGCATTAAGGCGGAGAACACTTATTTAGCACATTGCAATTTTCAGGGTGCTGACTGTGCTGTGAACCAGAACCGTATTTTGGGGGGAAGGTGTGGGGAAGAAACAAGAGGCTTTATCCAGAGGCAGGGCTCCAAATGAGTCGAGACAGGGCTGGTGTTCTCCGCAGCCGTCCAGGATCAAACATATGGATTGCAAAGCAACCAGGATGAATTAACATCCTTTGCCATTGATTAGGTGGAGAGAGGCTGGTAGGGAACCATCACTGCGGAGCAAAAATGGTCTCCAGCCACCCAGTGCAGAAGAACGGAAGAAAATTATTGTGGAGAAGACTTGTGGAAAAGTTGATTGATTTGAAAGACAAGCCAGTCATTGCAGGGACTGGACTAGGAAAGCAAGACTGTCCTCGCCTGCGATGTGAGCCTGGCCTCGATTTGCTGAAATAATTATGTGTCGTTATGCAAAGCCATCGCTCTGCACCCATTAAAAAAACCGCTGAGCCTCCAAAGTAGGAATTTGGGGGAAGCCTGAAAGAGGGCAGAGCCATGTGAGACTCAGAGGGAAACCACCTGCCGACCATCATTCTGAATGATGCGATTTGGCGATTTTACAATATGATACGATAATCTTTATTGTCATTGTCCCATACAGAACAACGAAATTGAAAAAAATCTACATCAGACATTCAAAAACCAACAAGCCTGCTATCCCAGCTATCCCAGCCTGGTTAACCCTAAAAACTCTGATACCCCATAATTAAATCAAGGGAAGAGTCTTGACTCTGGGAACAAATCACAGGCCCCGATATATCAGTAATGGTAGGGGTGACGTACAATGACAATGTATGTTGGAAGATCTGAGGTGCATAAAAGGATGTCCTCACAGCACATAGTTCAACTATGGAACTCCCTGCTGCAGGAGGCAGAGATGGGCACTGAGTTGGATGGCTTTAAAAGAGGATGAGACAAATTCATGGAGGAGGAAAGGCTATCAACGGCAGCTGGAGGCAGCAGTGCTTCTGAAAACCAGTTCCTGAAGCCATAGGAGGGGAGAGGGATCTCGTGCTTGGCAGGTTAAATGATATTATACTGGCCGTGGCAAAGTTTCTTTTGGGGGTTATAAGAAACAAAGATCATTATGCCCTAGATAAAACAAAATGACTGCCTTGGTTTCTTCCATCTGTCTGGTCATTTTAACTGTACAGTGGTACCTCTGGTTGCGAACGTGATCCGTGTGGGGTGCACGTTCACAACCCGCAGTGTTCGCAACCCGCGTCTGCGCGTCTGTGGTTTAGCACTTCTGCGCATGCGTGACCACCAAAACCCGGAAGTAACCCATTCCGGTACTTCTGGGTTTTGGCGGTCCGCAACCCGAAAAAACGCCACCTGAAGCGGCTATAACCCGAGGTATGACTGTATCTTGTTTTGAAATTGTTTTGTGGGTCTTTGGACCGCAATAAAGTATTGATTGATTGGCAGGTTTCTCAGAAGAGGCATGTGGTGGGTCACTGTGGGGACAGGACACTGGACTCGATGGGCCATTGGCCTGATCCTGCAGGCTCTTCTTACAGCGTTCTTCTAAGTGTTCTTGTGCTAAGCGATCGATGCTCAGAAATAGCCGTGTGCCTTGCAATTCCTTGATGCTTTGGGGAGGAGTAGCCGGGTTGGTTCTCCATCATGTTAAGGAGACCTTTGCTGGACCGATTAGTCTTTTCAGAGGATGCCTCAAGTCAGCATTTGAGGAGAGCGGAGCCCTTGTTCAGGTGGATGTGATCAGCAGAGTTAATGAAAAGAGATCCGGCGCCCTCAGTGCTGTGCTAACCCAAGTCTAGTAGGGGGCTGGGGTGAGTCTGGGTTCCCCAAATCCTGGATCCGGTATTATTAGAGCCATTCAGCCATGGAACGGCCTCCCCTCGCAGCCTGAGATACTGGCGCAGGCTAAATGCCTTCGAGGATCTTACCCTTAAGATCAGCTGGTTAGAGCAACTAAGGGCAGGGGGCTGAGCACAAAAGTGGCAAGATGAGTTTAGGGTTTATAATCTTCAAATGGAGAACTCCTTAGTCCTTAGGCCATATGGCCTTAGAAACTGGATTTTTGATCAGGATGCCAACCAAGACAGAGCATCCATCACTGCCACCCGTTACTCTACTTGGTACCCCAAATTAAGACCAATCGCTCAAGGCGATTGAGACTCTGACCTTCCCACAATGCAGGGCCTTTGCAGAATTAAGATTCCAACAGATGCCCTCAGCATATTTAGAGGGGAGAGATCGGGGAATTCCCCATACGGATTGCAAATGTATACATAGATGCCATCAGGTAGATGACATCACAGGCTGTCTGCTGATTTGCCCCCTGTAGACAACGCCCAGAGGGAAATTTATATTGCCAGTTCTTAATTGGCTTCCAGGTCAATCCACACAGGAAGTGACCGTTGAACTCCTAGCAGGTAAACATCTAGATATTACACACCAGGTAGCCTAGCCAAATTTGCTCTGGCAGCCAAGAAGCTCCGTTCCAGTTATGTGAATGCACTCCAGTCTTAAGTTTTAATGTTGTAGATTTTTTTTTATGTTGTAAACAGCTACAGGTTACGTTGTATGGTTTTAGATGAAAGTTTTCCTTTTATTCTCTGTCGCCCATTGTAAAGGCCTTTGGCTATACAGTGGTACCTTGGGTTAAGTACTTAATTTGTTCTGGAGGTCCGTTCTTAACCTGAAACTGTTCTTAACCTGAAGCACTGCTTTAGCTAATGGGGCCTCCTGCTGCTGCTGCGCCACCGGAGCACGATTTTTGTTCTCATCCTGAAGCAAAGTTCTTAACCTGGGTTAGCGGAGTCTGTAACCTGAAGCGTCTGTAACCTGAAGCGTATGTAACCCAAGGTACCACTGTACAGTCATACCTCAGGTTAAATATGCTTCAGGTTGAGCGTTTTCAGGTTACGCTCCGCTGCGACCCGGAGCGCCTTACTTCCGGGTTTCGCCGCTTGCACATGCACAGACGCTCAAAATGACGTCACGCGCATGGATCCCGTTCACATACAATAAAATGGATTGAAGAAGAGCCCTGTCTTTGACTCCCACAAGATACGGTGGACTCTGCTTCACAGAGGCCTTTAAACAGAAGTTGGGTGGCCACCTTTCAGGGATTCTTGAGCTGTGATTCCTGCATTGCGAGGGGGGTTGGAATAGATGACCTTTGGCGTCCCCTTCCAACCCTGCAGTTTTATGATTCTAGACTTCCCATTGACTCAGCTTCCCCTCCCTGCTTTTGTTTTTGTCTCCGCAGCGTTTTCCTCCACCTGATGCAGGTGGACTCGGATGCCGTCTGGCTCTTCCTCAGCAACGTCTGGTGCCCCCACCCCTACGAGCCCCCCCACCCCAGCCTGCGGCCCGTGAAGCTGGCCGGGGCGGAGAAGAAGCGGGGCGAGTTCACCGACAACGTCGGGCGGCTGCTGGGCGAGCTGCAAGGGAGGGAAGGAGCGGCGGTGGTGGCAGCTGCACCCTGAGAGCCACCCTTGAAACCTGGAGAGACGGGAGCCTTTTGCTAGAATCTGGGGGTCCAGTGGCGCTCCAGGCAGCAGCAGGAAGGGGAACAGGAGGGTCGATGGGGGAACATCCTCAGGCAGCATTGTGCAGTTTCTGAAGAGGAGTCTTGGAGATGCACCTCCTTGGGAGAAGGTCTCAGCTGGCCAGAGAACATGACTGCGAAGCCTCTGAGCATGAGATGACTGCACCTTCCTAGGGACCTCGGCCCATCCGCACCTCGGCTGAATGTGGAATAGGCACCCCTTCTGTGTCCTTTGATTTCCCCTCGTCCATACGGCATTCACCAGAAACAGCCGCTGCCCTCAACGTTCTCCTTCTAAATCTGGAATTTCTCTGATCCACGGAAAATCCAAAAGGGACACCTGCTCTGCCTGTCATTTTTATTGATTCAAAAAAGGTTATGCAGTATTCTGCAAAATGCAGTGTTATGAAACAGGATCTGGTGTGGCAGTTTACCTAGCGCATCTACAAATACAGACATGAAATAAAGCCAAAATAAATAAACCACAGGGCTGTTTTGCTGCGTAGGTGGCAGTGGCTGCAACTATAGTATAGATATAATGGTTAAACAAGACAAGGTTCCCCTGTTCCTCCAAGTTATTAAAGTATTCAGGTGCCCCGAGTCACTATGTTGACCATATTTGTTCGTAGGTCAAGGTGGGAGTCCTCAACCACGTTCTTCCTGGCTTACAAATGAAGTGAAGTCAGATCAAGCAGGCAGGAAGTTGTCCTTTGCCTTTGGCTTCTGCCATCTTTCCCTGGACACCTTTGTCCATGTTTTCCTTCTTTTGACAAGGGCGTTTTAGGGCTGCTTGAAAGAGCAAATAGTAGAAAGCAAGGAGAACAGACCCCCAAATCCCTGGCTGAAATCGCGTCCGAATATAAACCACTCAGGTGTGCACTAGCACGGGGATGAATCGGTGATGTGAAATGTGGATTTTCCGGGTGAGTCTGGATGGGCCCTAGTTAGGGATGCTTGACTTTCCTGTAGGTTAAAAAAAAGTCTTGCAGTTTTCTGAAATCCTTGTCTTGCCAAATATCTTGGCTGCTGCTGGATTTCAAGAGGATGGAAGCATGTGCAGATGCGTAGGGAATGTTGCAGTTTTGCAACCACGCAGTGAGTTCATGCAAAATCCGTCCTTGTTAGCTTGAAGCAAAGAATGCAGATATCTTCCCCCTTCCATCCTGCACCATCTCAGGCCAAGGAAATTCAGTGCTCCCTTCTTTGGGAACGTGAGGAGGTGAAAATGCATGGTTGCTTCAGTTGGAGAGGCAAAAAACCTGCCTGTGTAGATTTTCAAGAGACTGATGAACCCTGAAGCAAAGAGTGATCCGTTACCCAGGAGCAGCCCAATGCGAAACTTTGCCACCTGCCTCCTCGCTTCTCCACCAATTATTTATCGCAGGCAATCTTTGCAAACTCCGTCACCCATTAATCTCGTTGCTCGGTGGAACCGTTCAAAATATAGTGTGATTTTTTAAACGGGGGGGGGGGGGAGAGAAATAGGATGCCACTCTTTCTAACAACGTTGCCATTAAATGCTTGGACTTGCTTCCGAAATAGTAGAGTCTTATTCTGCAGCCATGAATGGCATGCAGGGTTAATGCAAAGTAGCTATTGCAGGAGGGGCTGCTGTTCTTCCAGAGAGTTGGGGAGGGGGTTATGCCAGGTTTGTGTTGCTATCTGACTACTTCAGTAAAAACTTCTATCGTGTCTCTTCTAACTTGCGCTCTACGTGGGGCTACCTTTGAAGGTGACTCGGAAACTGCAATTAATCCAGAATGCGGCAGCTAGACTGGCAACTGGGAGTGGGTGCCGGGACCATATAACACCAGTCCTGAGAGGACCTACATTGGCTCCCAGTATTTTTCTGAGCACAATTCAAAGTGTTGGTGCTGACCTTGAAAGCCCTAAACGGCCTCGGTCCAGTATATCTGAAGGAGCATCTCCACCCCCATCGTTCAGCCCGGACATTGAGATCCAGCGCCGAGGGCCTTCTGGCAGTTCCCTCGCTGTGAGAAGTGAGGTTACAGGGAACCAGGCAGAGGGCCTTTTCGGTGGTGGCACCTGCCCTGTGAAACGCCCTCCCAGCAGATGTCAAGGCAATAAACAACTATTTTACTTTTTAAAGACACCTGTTTAGGGAAGTTTTTAATGTCTGACACTGTATTGTTTTTGATATTTGGTTGGAAGCCACCCAGAGTGGCTGGGGAGACCCAGTCAGATGGGTGGGGTATAAATAATAAATTATTATTTTCTCTAAACTAAAAAATTCCCAAATGCTGCCCCCTTTCCTCCTGGGGGGGGGGTCTCTCCACCCCTTGATCATTTCTGGCAGCCCTTTTCTGAACCCCCCCCCCCCAACTCTGCGATATCCTCATTTGTTGTGTTTCGATGGTACAAGAAAGTGGGAGGGAGGGAAAGAGATGGAGCGGCAGGAATGTCTAGTTAGTTCCTCAACGAAGGTGGAAAACAGGCCTGGTGGCATAAAAAAAATGGAGCAAGCAGACTTTTCTTTTTTTTCTATCTCCCTGTATTTGATTTCTGGGCCCCCCTGGGCACCTGTCCTCCTTCCTGGCCCATTAAGGGCTTTAGCATAAAAGGTGAGGCTTGTCCACATCACATCTATTGATTACAGAGCAAGGTTTACAGCGCTACAGATGAAGCAGCTGTCAGAGGAAAGGCAGATTTTTCTGGTGTCGTTTGTTAGGGAATAAAAGAGACATTAGAGCATCAAAGCCTCTCCGTGTGTCAGGATTCCCGGGAGAAGGTCGAGGGGAGGGGCACGGGCTCTTGTCTTTTGTTCTCCAGCAAATGGATCGGCTGCATTTCCTGGGGAGGGCCGCTTCCGATAAATTGAATCCAGGGCTGTGATCCAGAAGAGAAGAAAAAGGATAATCTTGTCACCTGAATGAATGATGGCAGTTCACACTGGGCGTTCGTACTCAAGGTAGCCGCGGGGACAAGCAGCCACCTCTCCGTGGCACTGGAGAAAGGGGGCAAATTAATGTTTTCCTCCCTTTCTCATGGAGCCAGCCAGTTAGGCAGGGTGAGGCCACTGTTTCAGGCGGCAGAAGCACCCCAGGGGGCAAGGTGGGGTCCGTTTCGGGCAAGATCTCACACCAAATCAGCGTGACCTTGTCCCAAATGGGTGTCTATGGCAGTGCAACTTCTCCCCCAGTGGGAGCAGAGGCAGGTGGGGTGGGGGTGGCAGCAGGGTAAAATGGGACATCCTGCTCCACTTTCTCATAACACTAAAACTCACCTGCATTTAATGATGCTGAATGTTGGAAGATTCAGGCAGATAAAAGAGTCTTTCAAGTAGGATGTAATCCACTGGGAGCAGTCAAACACAACATTCCTTGTTTTTCTAGAGAAGACATGCATTTCCTCCTGGCTGGAGCTTCCTTCCTCTGCATGTGACTAGAGGTGGGCATGACCTTACCTGTCCAGGTCACAATAGGACAAGGCATGCTGCCACTCTCTTTCTGACTTCCTCCGTTGTTGGAGTAGCTTTTTAGCTAGGACTGCTCTGCTAGCTTCTCAGCTAGCTGAAGCACTGGGATTATTCCCCCATATGGGGTAGATCCACATGTACATATTTGTATCTATGTCTGCCTTCAGGAATCCCAACTGTGAACTGATGTGAGTAAACATCTTTTATTGACTGAATAATAGTGTCGTGTCTTTATTCTTTTATTTTTTCCCCCTAACCCCCAATTTTTTTTATTAGTTTTCCACCAAATATTTAAACACACAAACAAACAAACAAACACAAAAATCCTAACCTTATTCAAACTAATCTTATTAACATTGTTTGTGTCTTTATTCTTTTAAAAGGGATTAAAGGGAGTTTACCAGGAACGTACAATTTAATCTGAGACAGACTGAACTGTATAATAGTGAGAGGCTCACACGAGCCTGCAACCAGCTATCTGCTGTGCGTGTAAAAAGGGGAATGTAAACTCTGCTAAGTAAAGGAACTTGCTAGCGCAAGTTAGGAAGGATAGTAATAAACAATATATCGTCTCCTTCCACCCTGAACATTCCCACACTTCACACAGTGAGCAGTTGAGCTGTGGAACTCCCCCCCTCATGAGGCTGTGATGGCCACCAAGTTGGATGGCTTTGAAAGAAGATTAGGCAAATTCATGGAGGAGGAGAGGGCTCTCCATGGCTATTGCCACAATGGCTCTGCTGCGCCCTCCACAGCTGGAGGCAGCGATGCTTCTGAATCCCGGATGCTGGAAACCACAGGTGGAGAGAGGGCTGCTCTTGTGCTCAGTTTCTGCTTGTGGGAAGAAGCATCTGATTGGCCACTTCGAGAACCGGATGCTGGACTAGAGGGCTGGTAGGGTAGTGTCAGGTGTGCGTGCAGGAGCCAGGCCCTGTGACTAATAGGACTTTGCAGGACTGGGGCCTTCCCAAGTTTGTTCTGAAGAGGCAAGGTGCGGCCGTACAGGTGAGGCCGATTGGTAACTCACAGCATCTGGTGGCAAGAGCCGGGAAGGGATATAAGGTCAGCATTTTCCCTTTGGCTCTTTGCCACAGCAACACGCTTCCTGCCTTGCTGTGTTTGACTCCTTGACCCCTTGCTTCTTGAACCTCGGACCCCTGACTTCATGACTCCTTGCTTCTTGATCCTCGGACCCCTGACTTCATGACTCTTTGCTTCTTGATCCTCAGACCCTTGGCTACTTGACTCCTGGCTCTCTGACCTTCAGACTCTTGGCTTTCTGACTCCTGACTCCTGGCTTCTGGATTCCCGTTCCTGCTCCCACCCCGCTATCTTGCCCCCAGTCCCGATGTCCCCTGCCGTGAACCAGATCACCCGTGAACCAGACTGTGACAGGTAGCCTTGGGTAGCCCTCTCCTCTGCCATGAATTTGTCCAATCCTCATTTAAAGACATCCAAATAATAATAATTTATTATTTATGCCCCGCCCATCTGGCTGGGCTTCCCCAGGCACTCTGGGCGGCTTCCAACAAAATATTAAAATACAGTAATGCATCAAAATTAAAAGCTTCCCTAAACAGGGCTGCCTTCAGATGTCTTCTGAAAGTCTGGTAGTTGTTCTTCTCTTTGACATCTGATGGGAGGGTGTTCAACAGGACAGGTGCCACTACCGAGAAGGCCCTCTGGTAACTTGGCTTCTCACAGTTAGGGAACTGCCAGAAGGCCCTCGGCGCTGCACCTCAGTGTCCGGGCTGAACGATGGGGGTGGAGATGCTCCTTCAGGTATACAGGACCGAGACCATTTAGGGCTTTCAAGGGGTCAGAGCCAACACTTTGAATTGTGCTCGGAAACGTACTGGGAGCCAGTGCAGATCTCTCAGGACCGGCGTTATGTGGTATCGGCGGCTGCTCCCAGTCACCAGTCTAGCTGCCACATTCTGGATTAGTTGTAGTTTCCGGGTCACCTTCAAAGGTAGCCCCACATAGAGCGCATTGCAGTAGTCCAAGCGAGAGATCACTAGAGCATGCACCACTCTGGTGAGACAGTCCGCAGGCAGGGACACAAAGTGTTGGGCGGGGTGTGTTTGTGTGAATGAGACCAAATTTAAATGTGCTTAAGGGGGCGGGAAAAGTCACATTGAGCTCCCTTTGGCCGGGGAGGTGGCTGGACCCCGGATCGGGAGAGAAGGGCCCCCACATACTGCTTTCTTCGTGAGGGATTCATCCTGTTCCCTGGAACTTGGGTAGGCTACAGGTGGCAGAGCAGGTGGGAGGAAACTCAAGGAACACCCCCCCCCCCAATATTACAACCCCCTCCCCAAAAAACTGCAGAGCCATCCAACCTTCAGTTTCTGTTTTGAAGCAAGAAGCAGAAGCTTGCAAACTGGCAGCTGAGGGATGCCTTTAAAAATCCAGTGCAAAGCTTTGATTCTTTTTTGGTTTGCAAATGGAGCAAACTTAATATGCAAAGCACTAGCTGAGAATAAATAGGCAGCGTGAAAATGTCATTTCCACACAGTCACTTTTCTGACCATTATGCCGCTTCAAACAAAAGCAATTTACTCTGCCTATAATAAAGCCAAGGTGATAACGAAGCTCTTGAGTCACTTCTGCCCCCTCCCCCTCCCCCGCTGCCCTCGTCCTCCCAGCCAGACACCACCATAAAAAGGGAAACATGAGCCATCCTGCCTGGAGCCTTCAAGCTTCCCAGAGAATTTCTAATGGCGCCATAAACTTAGAGAAACATCTTGTTTCCTGTGCAAAGAGGGCCATAACCTGGGCAGGGGAGCCAGAGGTGGGGAAATCAATGCCTTGATGGGACGGTTAAGCTGGGTCACAAGTCTATAAGAGAGGCGTCAAGGGGAGCAGAAAGGGGGGCCTTGTAGGGGTCACTGTGGGTAGGGGTCATTTCAGGGCATCCCATGATATGCAGGGCCACTGTTTAAATTCTTATGTATCCTTAACCGGATGTCCATTTACAGTTCTATCCATCTATCAGATAGATAGATAGATAGATAGATACTGTAGATAGATAGATAGATAGAGCATAGACTTGTAGAGTTGAAAGGGACTTCTAAGGGTCATCTAGTCCAACCCCCTGCAATGCAGGAACCTCAACTAGATCATACATGACAATGACCATCCAACCTCTGCTTAAAAATTTCCAAGGAAGGAGTGTCCACAATCTCCCAAGGGAGACTGTTCCACTTTCCAAAAGCTCTTACTGTCGGAAAGTTCTTCCTAATGTTAAATCAGAATCTCCTTTCTTGTAACTTGAAGTCACTGGTTCGAGTCCTACCCTCCAGAGCAGGAGAAAACAAGCTTGCTCCATCTTCCATGGGACAGCCTTTGAGATATATGATGATGATGATTTTGTCATTTATACCCCACTCATCTTGCTGGGTTTCCCCAGCCACTCTGGGTGGCTTACAACGCATATAAAACCACAGCAAAGCATCAACCATAAATAACTTCCCAATATAGGACTGCCTTCAGATGGCTCTCATATCTCCTCTCAGTCTCCTCTTTCCCAGGCTAAACACACCCAGCTGCTTCAACCGTTCCTCATAAGGCTTGGTTTCCAGGCCAGTGATTGTCTTGGTTGGCCTCCTCTGCACACCTTCCAGCTTGTCAACATCCTTCTTAAATTGTGGTGCCCAGAATTGGACACAGTATTCCAGGTGTGGTCTGACCAAGGCAGAAGAGAGCGGGACTATGATTTCTTCCCATGATCTGGACTCTAGACTTCTGCTGGTGCAGCCTAGAATAGCATTAGCTTTTTCTCCTGCTGCATCACACTGTGGACTCATGTTCAGCTTGTAGTCCACCGAGACCCCTGGATCCTTTTCACATGTACTGCTAGTAAGTCAGGGGTCCCCCATTCTATCTTTGTGCATCTGGTTCTTCCTGCCTAAGTGCAGAACCTGACATTTCTGCCTGTTGGAATGCATTCCTTTAGTTTAGGCCCGTTTTCCAATCTGTTAAATCCCAGTTGTGTCTTCTACAGCATTGCTACCCTTCCCAATTTGGTGTCATCTGCAAATTTCATAAGAATCCCCTCAATGCCTTAATCCAAGTTGTTTCTAAAGATGTTGAACAACATCGGGCCCAGGACAGAACTCTGCGGCCCAGGACAGAACTCCCACTTGCCACGTTTTCCCCAGGAAGACAAGGAACGGTTAGTGAGCACTGTTTGGGTTATTTCCCCAGAGACTCACAAAAATACATTTCCAATTCTGTCTGCCCCCAGCAATGAATTTTCTGAAGATTTTGTCTGGTTCGGTTTGTGTTGCCGCTTCCTCAGTGCTGTCAACCGTGTGCTGCTGAACTCCCCTCATAGAGCATTTCTTGGCATCTGGAAAAGAATAATGGAAACATAGAACTGCAGAGTTGGAAGGGACCCCACGAGTCATCTAGTCCACCCCCTGCAATGCGGGAATCTCAGCTAAATAATCCCTGACAGGTGGCCATCCAACCTCTGCTTAAGAACCTCCAAGGAAGGGAGTCCGTTCCACTGTCAAACAGCTCTTACCATCTGCTTTCTCGGAAGTTGAACCCATTGCTCCTGGTCCGAACCTCTGGAGCAGCAGAAAACAAGCTTCCATATTGTGGATGGATGAATGGCCAAGCTAGAAAGTACAAACTGCCCTTTGATTTCCTGATGAAGGACGGTGATGGTGTAATAGTTAAGAGTTTTGGACTATGACCTGGGAGTAAAGGTAAAGGGACCCCTGACCATTAGGTCCAGTCGTGGCCGACTCTGGGGTTCCGGTGCTCATCTCGCTTTATTGGCCGAGGGAGCCGGCGTACAGCTTCCGGGTCATGTGGCCGGCATGACTAAGCCGCTTCTGGTGAGCCAGAGCAGTGCACGGAAATGCCGTTTAACTTCCCACTGGAGTGGTACCTCTTTGAGGTGCTTTTGAACTGCTAGGTTGGCAGGAGCAGGGACTGAGCAACGGGAGCTCACCCTGTCACGGGGATTCAAACCACGACCTTCTGATTGGCAAGCCCTAGGCTCTGTGGTTTAACCCACAGCGCCACCTGTGTCCCTATGACCTGGAATACCTGGGTTCAAATCCCCACTCAGGCATGCTGCTCACTGGGTGACCTCAGGTAGCCTCCCCTACCTCCCAGGGCCATTGTGAGGATGAAATGGGTCGGAGAACGATTTGCTCCACCTTGAGCTCCTGGGGAGAATAGGAGGTATATAAATGTAATAAATAAAGTAATAATAAAAAAATTATATGTATATAAATTTAATAAGTAAATACTGATGAACAATGTGGTCTGTGTTGCCATACAGCGGTACCTCGGGTTATGAACTTAATTTGTTCCAGAGGTCCTTTCTTAACCTGAGCCCCGCTTTCGCTAATGGGGCCTCCCGCTACCACCGCGCTGCCGCCGCTGCAGCGCAATTTCCATTCTGATCCTGGGGCAAAGTTTGCAACCTGGAGCAACTACTCCCGGGTTAGCGGAGTTTGTAACCCAAAGCGTTTGTAACCCAAAGCATTTGCAACCCGATTTTCCACTGTGTTTGGGGAGCCTTATACCAAATCAGGTCATTGGTCCATTTAGCTTGGTATTGTCTACACTGGCTGGCAGCAGCAATGGCTCTCCAGGGTTTCAGGTGTGAGAACTGAACCTGGGACCTTTTGCATGCATGGGAAGCAGACGCTCTCCCACTTTCCCAGGCTGGAACCTGCAGCAGTTCCATTTCCCCGGCAGTCAGACTCCCTTCTGAGAGTATCTCCTGGCACCTGGATTCCAGAGCAGAATCATGGAACTGGAAGGGACCACGAGGGTCATCTAGTCCAACCCCCTGCAATGCAGGAATCCTTTTGCCCAGCGTGGGGCTCGAACCCACGACCCATGAGATTGAGAATCCCGTGCTCTACCAAACAGAAGCGGGAGCAGCCCCAAGTTCAGAGAGTAAGGTTGAATAAAGAATTGACAGTACTTAAAGGGTATTAAAAAAATTATTGTGATAACAAAAATCTCCTGGCAGACCTTGACTGATTCTTGTAATCTATAGGTGATAAATAACAGAACATCTTGAAAAGAATTGGGAGAACGAAAAACAACAAGAAGGCAGTGTGTGTAAAATAACAAAATGAGAAACAGTACAATGAGAATAATCAGAAGTTTATTTTATGTATTCCATGTTTCATTCTTTTCTTTTGTTTTTCTGTATAATATGTGTATGTAGTTTGTATATATTGTATTATTGTGTACTGTTGTGTAAGCGAGAGCAACCCCATGTTCAGAGATGCCGCGTGTGGGTGGGAGAGGTCAGCAAAGAGTGCTGTGCATTGTCCGCGCCATGTGGCAGTGGTGTGCAATGCTTCTGCATGCGCAGGCTCTTCTCCATCCGGTTTCCCCCTCCTTGGTCCAGCCAGGGCTGTTGCACCTTGACAGCTACAAGGGCAGGCAGAAATCAAGCGCTCCCCCAGCCCAGAGATGTGGTGAAGTGGGAGGGGCCTTTGCAAAGTTCCTTGCTAGCCTGAGGCTCAGCTTTTATTTGCATTTCCTCACTGGCCAGGCTCCTGCGTCTGGAATGCATCATGGAATTGCTTATTTATTCCTCTTCATTTAGAGGCGGGGGGGGGGGAGCCTCCCATCAGCCTTGGGCAAACCTCAGCCGGCCCCCACTTTCCACTCTTCCGCCTCTTGCTGGGTGAGACGTAAGTTTGCTTGACAGGAGGCATAAGAAGGGCAGACAAAGCGAGAAATCACCGTCCGGGGAAGATAGACAAGCGAGGCCTGGGGACGGTTGCAGAGAGGCTGTGTATTTCTTTCCTGACAAGACCGTCAGGGCTACTTATGGAGCTGTGCACAAGTTCACCCCCCCCTTCTCTCTCTGCGTAACGGGGTGATTGTGGGGCAGAGGAGAAGGAAGAGAGATGGTCCTGGTCTACGAGGTCTGAGCCTCTGCCTCTCTTTGGGACATCTGGGGAGATGAAAAAGGATCTGGAGACAAAGCCGCCATCATCATCATCATCTTATATTATTATTATTATTATTATTATTATTAATGAATTAATTTAAATTGGAGCATATGAGGTGTGGAGACACGTTGTGCTCCTTCTGGGGTCCTTTGTCCTCCTTTGGTCCCCATCCTGCACTCAGGTCTCACCTGTGGCTCCTAGAAGCTGTCAGCATACGACAGCAAACACACCCCAGGAATGGGTTTGACTGGCTGGCAAGACCAGCTGAAGGGATCTGATGGGTCTCAAACTATCTGGGAGTTAAGAACTTCCCCTGCATGCGAAGACAGGCTCCGGAGGATGGGCAAGGCCCATAGTGGGCCCAACCGCCAGGAAGGTGGGTTCTGCCTGTGCTACAGAGGGAAGTGAGGGACACCTGGGAAGGTAGCTCATCCAGGAGAAGGAATACTCTGATCCTAAACTTCCCCTGCCTTTGCGGCGATACCTGTGGGAAAGACTTTGGGAGTAAACCCTGGGGGAAAGTCCATACCCTTAGCCTTGTGGGACATCTTTGGGAGAAGAAAAAGCTAAGGTGTAAACTCTACACAGGGACATGGGTGGCGCTGTGGGTTAAAACACAGTGCCTAGGACTTGCCGATCAGAAGGTTAGGCAGTTCGAATCCCCGCGATGGGGTGAGCTCCCGTTGCTCGGTCCCTGCTCCTGCCAACCTAGCAGTTCGAAAGCACGCCAGTGCAAGTAGATAAATAGGTACCGCTCCGGCGGGAAGGTAAACAGTGTTTCCGTGAGCGGCTCTGGTTCGCCAGAAGCGGCTTAGTCATGCTGGCCGCATGACCCAGAAGCTGTACGCCAGCTCCCTCGGCCAGTAAAGTGAGATGAGCGCCGCAACCCCAGAGTCGGCCACAACTGGACCTAATGGTCAGGGGTCCCTTTATCTTTACCTTTTTAAACCCTGCACAAATCCAGAGGGGATTCCCTAAGATGGTTGGGTGGTGCCTCCTGGCAGCTCCTGTAGCCAAAAGTAATTCAGAAGCATTGCTACGTCCAACTGTGGAAGCAGCGCATAGTCATAATGGCCAGTCGCCGCTGATAGCCCTTTCTTCCATGAATTGCTACAATCCTCTTTTTAAGTTATCCACAGTGCAGACCCACCAACTGTCCTGTTTTAAGCGGGACATCCCAGATCACAGCAGCCAATCATAGAATCATAGAATCATAGAATCATAGAGTTGGAAGAGACCACAAGGGCCATCGAGTCCAACCCCCTGCCAAGCAGGAAACACCATCAGAGCACTCCTGACATATGGTTGTCAAGCCTCTGCTTAAAGACCTCCAAAGAAGGAGACTCCACCACACTCCTTGGCAGCAAATTCCACTGTCGAACAGCTCTTACTGTCAGGAAGTTCTTCCTAATGTTTAGGTGGAATCTTCTTTCTTGTAGTTTGGATCCATTGCTCCGTGTCCGCTTCTCTGGAGCAGCAGAAAACAACCTTTCTCCCTCCTCTATCCCGTCTTCTGTTTTTGGTTTGGCTCTCTGGCGTGAGCACCAGACCAAAAGATGAGTGTTAAGTTGTGGGTGAACATATCAGACGACACAGCGATTCTTCAAACAGCTCTTGTTTATTCACAGGCCAGAACAGAACTCAACTGAAGGGTTCAGTCAGCCTGCTTATATAGAGCTCCAGTACAATGTAACTGTAACAATTTTCTAAAACTATCCAATCACTGAATGTCACTTTCGATCCCTTATTTGCATAACTATCTACAGTATCCCTCTGCTGGCCCAGGGTGAGAACTTCAGTACATAACAATGATCGCTCTGGCGATCGTCATCATCATCAGCATGCCAAAATGCCTTCCGGTTCAGGGCTCTGGCATGACTCTGTTGATCACCGACAGAGGCACAGAGGCTTGCCTTACTCTGCGCTTAACCCAAAGCTGTAATGGAGAAGCAGGATCTTTGGGGTGTTAATTCTGCAAGTCCCTCCATTCCATGCTCAGGTTGTGTGTGTGTGTGTATAAAATTATAAATCCTAAAGTCGCCGCAGTCTCCACTGAGCTGCATTCCCACACCCCTGGAGTCTCCTGGCCTCAGCAATTTATGTGCATGTAACACTGGTGTCAGAAATAGGCTTGCGTTTCCTGGAGAAGGAAATGTGAACCCTTCCATCCCCAACTCAGGTTGTACATACGCATAAAGAAAACCGCAAATCCTAAATGCACCACAGTCTCCGCTGACCTTCATTCCCAGGAAACTGAACCCTGGGTAAAAGCTGGAGCTGCTGGAAACCCTCGCCACTTGGAGATTAGCAAGCACACGACAATATACCGTATTTTTCGCTCTATAAGACGCACCAGACCACAAGGCGCACCTAGTTTTTGGAGGAGGAAAACAAGAAAAAAAATATTCTGAATCTCAGAAGCCAGAACAGCAAGAGGGATCACTGCGCAGTGAAAGCAGCAATCCCTCTTGCTGTTCTGGCTCCTGGGATAGCTGTGCAGCCTGCATTCACTCCATAAGACGCACACACATTTCCCTTACTTTTTAGGAGAGAAAAAGTGAGTCTTATAGAGCAAAAAATATGGTATTTGCCTCCTTCCCCAAACCACCCACCCCAGTCATGCCTGACGGGCTGCCAGGCCCAGACTCCCGGTCATTGCCTTCAACTTCTTTTCCATGACACTTCAGAGTGTGCCCCAGGCGCGTTTGATACAAATGAAGACTCGGAGATGGCAAGCCCATTTAAAGAACTTTATTCGCTTCAGCTGGTTACAGACTGGTTTGTGTGGTGCAGGTAAGGGCAGGGCATTGTGGGAAAGCTGCTTGCCTCCCCTCTTAGTGCAGCGTAGGGGGCTCCCACCCTGGGCCTGGAGTCACAGAGCTGTAAGGAAGGGGTCGTTACTCGTAGCCAGTTAGGCTGTCCCTCTGCCCAGAGGCAGCAGCAGCAGCAGGAAACTGTATTCTTGATGAGACACATATTGACCTCCCTTGGCTGGCTACCTTTCCCTGCACCAGTCTTGCCTGCTTCTGCAAACAACCTCCCCCGAGACATAGCAAATAGAAATATATACAAGAAGAATAGGACTGGGGAGGGGGGGGTGAAAGGGGCTTGTGGAACCGGGTGGTTTGGGCGTCTGGTTTTGAAACCCAGAAAATTGGCATTTCTTGTGCAATCTGCATTTTATGCCCTCGTTTTGGGGGACCAGAATTGTTTCAGTCAGGAGCCTTGGCATCCCCAGACCCCGCTCTAAGGATTGATTTTGCAGGGCATTGGACTAGATGCTCTTTTGGGTCCCTGCAATTCTGTGTGCCCATGAGTTTTTGCCGAAGCTAGGGTGGCAGCCACCTGTGGGCGTCCACTCCCACAGGGGTGGGGTCTCATTCCCCCCCAGAAAGTATCCACCCGGGTGGGTCTATATTCCCAGGTTGCCCACAAATTTGACTCTACTGGTTCTCCGGCGTGGCCTCCACATCCAACTAAGGTCTGCTTCTTAAGAGATTTCTTGTTCTCACTTCCAGCAACTGAGATACAAAGACCTCGCTACAGTTGTGTCCGTGCCCCTTCTCCAGGGAGTACATAAAAAAGAGGATCCCAACCTGATCCCAAACTTTTCCCAAATTAAAAAAAAAAAAATCATAAGAAGCAGTGCTGAGAATTTAATCCGCCACCCACCATTTGTGTGCTCAATAGCCAGTGATTGACAGCTCTTGGACCTGAGCTCCACATCAACTTTTCCAGCTGTCAAATTGTCACCATATTATTGTGCTCTAGTACCAGATTGCAGCATCGCTCTAGAATAGTATCTGGGACATAGATTGGAGTGGAGCGTTTAAAAAAGAACACAGCAATGCATGAAATCACTGTGCAAATTTGGGTGTCGTAAGAGACAACCAGCTTTATAATGGTGGCCTCCCGTGTTTTTTGAGATGGGATTTCCAGGGGCCAGCACCCCCAAGAATGCATCCTGCTGGTTCTCCACACAGCTACAAAGAGGTGCCACTTGGAAAACTCACGGGGGCTGGGTCAGTGTCCTGGGAATGCAGGAGGGAGAAACAGTCAGTTATATTTACAATATACAGTCATCAACTTCATAGTTACACAGTTTGATACTAGTGAATTAAAACGGATGGTCTAAACGGCATCCCTCGGGCGTCTCATTTTACAAAGCAAGGCGGAGCATCTCCGGGGGGTTCACAAATGGCATAAGAAGCTAGCAATGCAAAGGTGAGGAGGGTCAGGCCCTGGTGTGGCTTAAAGTGTCCCCAGAGCTGGGGGAAGGTCCAGCTTTGAATTAAACCACCTCACAGCAAGGCAGGTGGCCTCAGGCCCATGTTCGGACACCCTAAATGCTTCCAAAAAGACAATCAGAGAAGACAGTCCTGCTTGGACGCCCGTAAAGGTGCCAGGGGGCATCCACAGCTGTGTTCCTTGGGGAAGATGCCCTCTCCTACCCATGTGGACAGTCAGCAGGACAGTGTAACCCGGCCAACTGGGCTCCCTCCGTTTAAATCCACCCTGGAGCGGCTCCGTGTCATCTCCGGAGTCCCGGAAGCAGCCCATTGTCCATTCAAGGGGAGAAATTCATAGTTAGAAAGGAATGTTAAAAATACATATCTATATGACCGAGTGGAAGGGATGCTGACAATGAGGTTCATGCGGACGGGGTGACTCTAGTTTGTGGCATTCGTTTTACATCGGTTCCTCAGCAACCTGGCCCAAATACGGACTGGCCACTAGGATGTCATGTTCCCACCACCCAGTGGGATGGGGCAGGTGTGTGTGTGTGTGGAAGAGTGGGGGGTGAAGGAGGGAGAAACCCCATTTAGGCCATTCAGTAACACAACTCGGGACGCAACCCAGTCTAGAGGGCACAGGACGCATCGTCCACGGAGCGTTTCTTGAGCTCCTTGCCTGGCTTGTGGTGCTGGTGGTGTGGGTGGGAGCCGCTCAGTTTGCTGTGGTCAGAGAGCTGCAAGCCCAGCAGCTGGGTGTCTTGCATGTGCCCGGTGGGGGAGCTGTGGCGGTGGGGCTCGGTGGTCTCCTCTGGTTCCACCCGCAGGTAGGCCTTCACTTTGTGGTGGCGGGCTTTGCTGTCGCTGAAGTCGATGACGCGACACTCGTAGGTGCCTTCGTCCGTCGGTTTGACCCGAGAGAGCCGCAGCTTGTGGGAGATGTTACTGCCGACCACTTTCACGACCTGGAGGAGGTTGCAGGGGTTGGGCAGGGCAAGGGAGAGAGAGCACAGGATTGAAGCCACTGCAGATATTCAGGTCCTGACACAAAACTATTCCCAGACTTATCCCTACCCAGCAACCATTTTTATTCACAGCAGTGACAATACCTGCAAAAGTCATGTCGGGTTGTATCCAACAAACATCTCCTCAGAGTAGACCCAATGAAATTAATAAACCTCACTTCATTAATTCCAATGGGTCTACTATGAGTTGCACTAATATTGCACACAACACAGACTTTAATTGGCTCCAAAAGTCAAGAGGAGACCTTGTTGATGTTTCTATATGCAGAAAAGGCTTTTGGCAATAAAGAATGGCATTTCCTTTTTGGAAACTCTTAAAGCTTTTGATTTCAGATTTGCAACAGACAATGGATTTAAGCCATTTATTCAGATTCAAAAGAAGGAATTCACACTAATGGGAGTTTATCAAAAAAGGTTAATGTGGCAAAAGGCAAAAGGAAAGGATGTCTGTTTAATATTTCTCTTAATTTTAAGCAAGTAAAATAAGAGTAAATAGTGTATAACTGGGGTAAAAATCGAAAAGTAAATAAATATGTCTGGCCAGTGTCACTGTGACACTAACTAAACCAGGGCAATCCTTTACTGAAATGGAATTAGTAATAACTGAATATGGTCCCTTAGCTGGAAGGGAAAAACTGAAAAATGTTAAATCAATGTAACTGCTAATTGAGGAGTTGAAATAAAAGAAAAGATAGAATAGAGTTGGTGGGTGAGAGCCAGTAAGATATGTGGGCATAAAAACAAGATGTCAGAAAATATTTGGAATTATTTATGTGTTTCTAGACAATGTACTGCCCCACAACGGGGAAAGTTACATTTTTCTTTCCTGGGCAGGATTTCTATAATAAAAATTGTATTGTTGCTGACTAAATTTTCTTTTTCAGCCTTTGACAATAAAAACATCCAACCAGCAAATAACAAAATGGCAATGATTATTCTTAAAGTTTATTTGGAAGAATGGAAAGAAAGAAAGGTTTAATGGCAATATTTTATATGTGGATGGGAAGAACAGGGGAGAAGTATCAGCACCACGCTTAGAGCTGAGGTGCAGCATAAAAGCAAGTTGTGCAAATACAGCCAGTTGCACCAGGTCTGCAATATGGCAGGAAACGAAAGGGTGAAGCAGCCCCCATCATGGATGGAGGGGCCCCTTCTGCTCAAGAACGTAGTTTCTGTAGCTGATTTGGGCTGAAATAAAACCAGGAGACTGAACATCATGTGCGCACAGGAACACAGGCATCTGCCCCACACCAGCGAGTCAGATCACTGCTCCTTCTAGCTCACCATGGTCTACTCTGACTGGCAGGGTCTCTCCGGGATTGCAGCTGGAAGACATTCCCAGCCTCACCGGGAGATGCTAGCAGGGATGGGACCTTCTGCATGCAGAGCAGACGCCCGACTTCTTTCCTCTAAAGAAAACAGCACACCGCGGCAAGATAGTGCAATCACACCTTGCGCCACTTTAACCATGTGTGCTTGAAGGTCGGCTGGCTGAAATGACGCAACTTAAACCCAAGTGAGGTGCAGAGCAGGGGTCAGCAAACCTTTTCATCAGGGGGCCAGGCCACTGTCCCTCAGACCTTGTGGGGGGCCGGGCTATATTTTGAAAAATATAAATACCCTGCAAGCCGGTCCCACAGCTGCCTCTGGACCTGGAGGAGGAACGCATTCTGCACGCGCTCAGGAGCGCGTCTCAGTGCCACCCGCTTACTGGTGTTGAGGATGAGCAGCAGCTGCTCCATCGGCCCATCCCTGCAGAGCTCCCAGGCGGCGTGCAGCCCGTCGCCTGAGGCCAGGTTGGTGGCAGGCGGCACGCAGCTCATGCTCCACCGCCGAGCCAGGCGCGGGGCCAGCAGGCGCACCAAGCTCTGGCTGAAAAACTGTGACGCGCCTGTCACGATGCCCATGGCACAGCCCAGACCCGCTACCCACCCACCGGCCCCTCCGTCCATGGCCACACTGGGTTTACCTCAGTGTGCGGGCAGCGGGGCTTTGGATTGGCTGCAGGAACTTCCTGCAGGCAATCCGAAGCTGTGCCAGCAACGCTGCCCAGAAGCCATGCCAGCGTCATGAAAGTCAGTCCCTATGTGGCCAGGCGTCCACAGCTCGTGGGGACTGACTGAGCGGGTGGCAGGGTCCACGGGCCAGATTTACGGCTCTGGGATGCTCACGCAAAATCTGGCAGGGCAACCGAGTTGCTGCAAGATCTCATGTGAGCATGCCTAGTAAGCCAGGGCCTGCGCACCGAGCAGGCCTTGCCCAGCAAACAAGACGCAGAGCTTAAAACCTCTTTTCGCAGCAGGCCGGTCAGTGCAAAAGAAGAGCTCTCTGCCTTGCTGGCTGGGAAAGACACACTCTGCGCATGGGCTGTGGGAGCATGGGACTTTCTCCCCTCCACTCACCCAGTAGCCATGGGGTGGCTCCAAGAGTTTGGGCAGATGCAATTTTCGTGTATGCGTAGAATCCTTGGAGCCAAACCCTACATAAGATTCGAACATGATATAAGGTCAAGGGACCCCTGACAGTTAAGTCCAGTCGCGAATGACTCTGGGGTTGCGGCACTCATCTCACTTTACTGGCCAAGGGAGCCGGCGTTTGTCCGCAGACAGCTTCCAGGTCATGTGGCCAGCATGACTAAGCCGCTTCTGGCAAACCAGAGCAGCGCACGGAAATGCCGTTTACCTTCCTGCTGGACTGGTACCTATTTATCTACTTGCACTGCGTGCTTTCGAACTGCTAGGTTGGCAGGAGCAGGGACCGAGCAACGGGAGCTCACCCCGTCGCGGGGATTCGAACTGCCAACCTTTCGAACGGCAAGCCCAAGTGGCGAAGTGGTTTAACCCACAGAGCCACCTGCGTCCCTTTTTAAACATGCTATATTGAGCTGCAAAAAATTCTATCCCCCCTCTAAGTCTTCCCACACACTAAGGCCTCACGTAACCAATAGCCAATACCTCCCTCTGACACCCTCTTACATATTTGCCTCACCTTGATGTGACCGGCATCATGGCCAGCCCTCCTAAGGTCTAAGTTTGCCATTACGGAGCACGCCTCAAATTAAACGATCCTTATAAACAGGATATCCTGTTTATAAGGCTCTGGAGGGCGTGGTTTTCTTTATTGAAGAAAAATATTTTTCCCTGTGTTTTTCTATCTCTCTCCCACACACTTCATAATTTTAGCCAGTCGCTCCTTGGTGCAATTTGTGATTTTTCAGGTTTCTTCCATTTGCTTGTTTGCTTAAAGCCATGCTGGTTTAATTGATTTTAAGCCACCTTGAGCGGTCGAGGCACAGAGGTTATAAATAATAAGCCAGAAAAACGCTAATCACAGACATTCAGCTAAAGCAAGCCGTGGGCAGGACTCAGCAAACCAGCCCAAGGATTTCCGCTTGCACTGGACTAGATGACTTCCCTCTCTGCCATTCTCTGCTCTCTGCTCTCCAGCAGTCTCTTCCCAAATGGTATTGGGGCCGCTACCCCCACCCCATGACTCCACCCCGGGGCCCTTCATCCCACGCCCCCCTCCATCACCAGAAGATGAGATCCAGCCCCCTCCAATGCGAGGCGCCCCGAGATCGATGTGGAATCGCGGGAGCTAATTAGCTTTCCTACCAAATTGATTCGCTCTCAGTATTTATCACCTAATGAAATTTAAGACTTACTCACTAGCCCGAGCTGCTGCTGCTGCTGCTGTTATTGGGCTGGGTCAATAAATCAGATTTTATTACCCGCCCGGAGGCTGCTGGCTCTGCTCCCTTTAATCACGCGGGATGCTAAAGGCCGCCCACCCCCTCTCCCCACTGCCCTTGTCTCCATCACCTTTGTTAGCTAAAGATTTTATAGCATCTAGGTAATGGGATCAGGGTCACACAAAAACCCACCGTGTTTCTGATGGGCTAAGGATGTGGAAAGAAGGAATGATGGGCTGGACTGATCTGAGCGCTGGGAAGATTTATTTGGAAAAGGCCTTTCTTGAACTCAGAGCGATCAACAGGGGATGGAGAGGAGAACGGCTTTTGCTTCTAATTCTGCACCTGGCCTCAGACACCTTGGCACAACCTTCCTTGCAAGGGGTTGGACTAGATGACCCTGTGAGTCCCTTCCCAGGGTACCATTTGATGGCTCAATGCCTCAAGCATCTGTGCCACATCGGGAAGCATGTGCATCACAATGCGGTGACTTCCAAGCTGGATTGCCTCAATGTGCTCTACGTGGAGCCGGCCTTGAAGACGATGCAGAAACTTCAGCTGGTCCAAAATTTAGCGTCCTGATTACCGGCTCAGGTTCCATTGAGATCTCACACAACCCCGTTTTAAAAGAACTGCGTCAGTTGCCATTTCATTCCTGGGCCCAATTCCAGGTGCTCACGTTGGTGTTTAAAGCACTAAACCAGGGGTCAGCAAACTTTTTCAGCAGGGGGCCAGTCCACTGTCCTTGTGGGGGGGCAGACTATATTGGGGGGGGGGGAGAGAACGAATTCCTATCCCCCACAAATAACCCAGAGATGCATTTTAAATAAAAGCGCACATTCTACTCATGTAAAAAAACGCTGCTTCCCGGACTGTCCGCGGGCCACATTGAGAAGGTGATTGGGCTGGATCCGGCCCCCAGGCCTTAGTTTGCCTACCCATGCCCTAAACGACTCAGGCCCCAAATACCTGAAAGACCACCTCCTTCCCTACAGACCCTCTTGAATGCTGCGATCGGCAGAGGGCCCCTCTTGGTAGCCCCTCCACCTTCCGAGGCTTGTAGGGGGTGGTGGGCCAGGGGGAGAGGGCCTTCTCTGTGGCAGCCCCTAAGCTGGGGAAATCACTTCCTGCAGAGGCGTGCCTGGCACCTTCATTGCACATCTGCTGGAGGATGTTGAAGAAGCACCTCTCTGCCCTGGCTTTTTGAGACTTGAAGCGTGAATTTTTAGGACCCACCTTGTTTTTATGGATGTACATTGTCTTACATTGTGGGTGGGAATGAATGAATGAATGAATGAATGAATGTGAAGCACGGGGGCCAGTGAATATCACAGCATGAGATCTCTTCCATCATTTCTGGTACCAAAGCAATGGACAGGCCCCTCGCTCAGGACCACCAAGCATACACTGCCCCACCATTTGATGGGGAAGCTTTGGATCAGATGGAGGACCTCACATATAAAATATATACACCACTGAACTGCAAGCCCCCTCCCCCCAAAAGACAAATCCTCAACACAGTTTACAAAAAAAGATAACATGATAAAATAACCAGTAGGGGGGAAAACCACACAGTAATAATGTAAACCTTGCAAAAAGTTAAAACAACAGTAGATTATAATGTGCACCAACTTTCTAAATATCTGGACAGGCTGAATGTTTTTAGCAGGCACTGAAAAGAGAGCAGTGAAGGCTCCTGCCTGCTATCAATAGGCAGGCAGTTCCAAAGTGTAGGTGCTACCACAGTAAAATATCAAGTTCTTTAAAAAATGCAGAAAGGGGGCTATGTGGCACCTCTAACAGAGCCAGTTCCATCAAACCCATTATAGGGGGATGGACTAGATGACTCTGTGGTGCCCTTCCAGTTCTATGATTCATGAGTCCCCCAGTGCAGCAAGCATGGGGGTGTGAGGAGGAAATGGGTGGGGGGGTGAATGGTCTTAGAAGGGGGGGGTCCCCCATTGTGCCTGGACTGCAGCCACTTTGGAAGGGGGACCAAGATACTGGCTCCTTCGCTTGACCTTCCAGTGGAGCAACGGGCCTTGGTGGAAACTGGAGAGGGCTATAGTGTGGAGAGCCAGTGTGGTGTAGCGGTTAAATGCAGTGGACTCGTAACCTGGTGAACCGGGTTTAATTCCCCGCTCCTCCACATGCAGCTGCTGGGTGACCTTAGGCTAGTCACACTTCTATGAAGTCTCTCAGCCCCACTCACCTCACAGAGTGTTTGTTGTGGGGGAGGAAGGGAAAGGAGAATGTTAGCCGCTTTGAGACTCCTTCGGGTAGTGATAAAGCAGGATATCAAATCCAAACTCTTCTTCTTCTCTTCTACAGGCAACCGAGGGGGTGGCAGTCACAGCCTACCTAAAGCTGGAACAGGAAGGCGAAGTCTTGCTGCCTAGGCCCAGGCTCCAAAGGTGGGAGCAAACCCACCCGCCTGCCTGCTCTGACGGGCTGCATGTCTGCAATCCTGACAACTACGTGAGCAAGTCTCCCAAGTCAACAGTTGTCATTCAGCAGCAAAAAAAGGCTAACACAATTCTAGGCTGCATCTGCAGATGTGTAGGAAATAACTGTACTGCTCTATTCTGCCTTGGTCAGACCCCAACGGGAGTCTTGTGTCCAATTCTAGGCACCCCAGATCAAGAAGGGTGCTGACAAGCAGAAGGTGCACAGAGGAGGTCGCCCAAAATGATTGAGGGTTGGGGCTCTGTGGCACCTGTGTTATGGAAATTACCGGGGGGGGGGGGCACATCTTTAAAGTTAAATATTACAAATATTTTGCCTGAAAGTATCCTTTCAGCTTGACAGCTCAGGGAAGTTACCCAGCTTTAAAAATAATATAAAATCATCTCCTTTCCCAGTTTCCTCCATCCCAAAGCTATTTGACCCTGGAAAAGGGACTCCAGGAAGTTCCCAGAGGTGATAATTGCTGGGCTCATTGTTAGCCAAAGGAAGCCAAATCTCATCACCTGACTCGCCTCAGGCTCCAGACATGCAAAGGAACTTCTTCTATTGTACTTTTGGGTGGTGGGTACTTAAGACATATTTGTC